TTGTATCTCACTTTCATACAAAATTTGTTCATCAATGTATCATACAGTTATGTAACAAATCCTTTATTTTCGCCTTAATAATGACTGTTTATCCAACTACCATTGATTGCTGTTGTAATCGATAGAAATGTCAACTCTAAATAGTTTTTGCAACAGGTTATATATATAAGTCCAGAAAGTTCTAGGGTACTACATTTAATACCAAGATTATGAGTAAAGTAGGTTGTTAGTGATATGTTTGAAATAAAAGTCTTTACATTTAGTCTTGTTGACATTAAATTATATTTACAAGCTGTATGTGTTAAGACAAGGGGAAAAAGAAACTGGATCATGAAGACATCAAGATCTGAAGGGAAGCATGGGATACAGTGGACATCCAAGATTCAGTTAGACGATCTAGACTTCGCAGATGATCTGGCTCTTCTGTCGCACACCCAAAAACAAATTCAAGAGAAGACGACCAGTGTAGCTGCAGCCTCAGCAACAGTAGGTCTCAATATACAAAAGGGAAAAGCAAGATTCTCCGATACAACACAGCATGCACCAATCCAACCACAATTGACGGAGAAGATTTGGAAAATGTAAAAACCTTTACATATTTGGGCAGCATCATTGATGAACATGGTGGATCTGATGCAGATGTGAAGGCGCGGATCGGTAGAGCAAGAGCAGCATATCCACCACTGAAGAACATCTGGAACTCAAAGCAACTGTCAACTGACACCAAAGTCAGAATTTTCAATACAAATGTCAAGACAGTTCTACTATATGTGGCGGAAACCTGGAGAACTACGAAAGCCATCATCTAGCAGATACAAGTGTTTATTAACAGTTGTCTACGCAAAATACTTCGGATCCGTTGGCCGGACACTATTAGCAACAACGTACTATGGGAGAGAACAAACCAGATCCCAGTGGAGGAAGAAATCAGGAAGAAGTGCTGGAAGTGGATAGGACACACATTGAGGAAAGCACACAACTGAGTCACAAGACAAGCCCTCACATGAAATCCTGGAGGCGAAAGGAAAAGAAGAAGACCAAAGAACACATTACGCCGGGAAATGGAGATAGACATGAGAAAAATGAACAGGAATTGGATGGAACTAGAAAAGAAGGCCCAGGACAGAGTGGGTTGGATAATGCTGGTTGGCGGCCTATGCTCCATTGGGTGTAACAGGCGTAAGTAAGTAAGTATATTTTTGTTTATAATCAAGCACTACTTATTACTTTCAACTGTATTCATTGTTTATTAAACTTATATTTTAAGGTCATCTGTTAAAAATGAACAATAATGGTAGATAAATTTCATGACATATTTACAACTGGTAACAGCTAGATACAATTAGATCATTTTGAGATACTCAAGTAAACAAATTTTCGGGATCAGTGAGTAAATTAGAGGTCACTTGTTTGCCTCAAGTTTTAGTATAACTATGATTATAATAATAATAATAAAGTTATTGCAGTAGAAATGTTAATCAAAGAACAAGTTCACAGATATATAGTATAAAATGGTGTCGTTCTTTATCAAAAATAGACTTAATGAGTAAAATAACTAAAATAAAATATTGTTGAATCTGTTATGTAGACTTGTTTGCTTAGATTTTTTATTATTGATACATAAGTTACTTTAAAAAATATGGTAAGTTTATTCAGTATGAACTATGGTACCATTCAATACATGAATTTAAGTGTAATGTAAACAAGTAACTATTGTCAGCCATTGATAATTCCTTGAAAAGTCTTCAATAGTTTCTAAAGTGCTGAAAATACCTCTGCCAATTAGCGCTCTCTAGAAACTTCCGATTAGACAATAACCACACTTGTTCACCATTTCTGCATCCTTGCCAGAATCTTCTAGAATATAAGTTCTACACACAATCCCATAAACACCCTTCTTTTTGTACATAAAATAACCTTCAAAGTATAGTTTTCTGTGATTCCTATCTCTTATGCTTCTCTTCGTGGTTCAAAAGTAGAAGAGTTCTGATGACTAGGAAGTCGTTAGGAAATTGTTGTCTAAATAATCAAGTACAAAACGTATTATTAATAATAAAAATTAGAGTGGAACTAAAACAAAGTATTAGAAAAGTAATAATTTTTATCACGAGCTAACATCAATTAGAATACCAAAGATTTGTCCTAGTTCAATGCTTCGCTTTAACGAGTTCACATATTTAAACACGGGATTGAATTCAAGACGGCGCAGTTCCAGGAAATGTACGATGTACCATTACTATCGTTGAGTTATAATCCATCTGTTTAAATTTTCAATTGTAGTTGAGTGTTGTTTTAAAAATCAGTATAATAGTAATGAATGAAGCTAGAGTTTAATACTGATTAAAATGATGAATTGATATAGTTCAGTGCACCGTAATTCTTAACTGCTCATAACAGAATTCACCTTCAAAATATGTATGAATCATTACAATTGATCGATTTCTATGTTATGACCAATATCATATTTTCAGTATAGGATTTTGAAGATTGTTAAGTTTGGACTGATAATACGAATCGATCAATGTTAGACCACAATTGGAAACCTGGGAGCACTAGACGGCCCTTTCGTCCTAGTGTGGGACTCCTCAACAGTGCTCATCCACGGCAAGGTGATTGAGTGAAAATATGGCAAGAATAAAGTAGTGAATTGTCTATGATATAGTAATTTGTTTTCAGAGTTCTTGTAAAAAATTCTGATTTCTCTCAATGTTTAGACCACTTTTAAAAGATATTCATTACATTTCATGTTATTTCGTATTTCGTGATAATCGTGTAACTAAGGTCATAACAACACCAAATAAAATTTACAAATACTAGATCCTATTCGTCTAAAAATTAATTATTCACAAGAAATACTCAATAACATTCATCTTCATGAATGTCGATAAAAATTTACTGATGATCTATCTTTTATTGTGTTTCCTTTCAATTATTTTAACTGAGATAAAATGATTTATTTTGTCTTAATTTTTACAAATTGTTACTACATAGTTTAAATCACTGAATTTATTTGCCTGTTTCCATCTACAAGAGGTAAACTTTATTGGTATATCTTTCAAAAAATATTTTTTTCTTTTATTAGCTACCCGCATGACAGGATTACTAATTATAGGTGTGGTTGAATTCTCGTGTTCACTTACTGACCACTTCACCTATTAATTATAGAAACAATGACATTCTTCCTACCAATCACTCAATGACCATGAACAGGCCATTAAGATCCTAACGTCTATTGATTCATGAGTTCCTGTTAGCTTAGCGTTCAGTCTGAAGGACTAAGTCAGCAAGCAAATATCTTGTCTATTGTTTTATTATTATCCTTACTCAAAAACTCATACGGTATTTTACATCTATTCTTTGAGCACAACTACGCAAATAAGAAATCATAATAGGTACATGACTGACATAAATTACATAGTATCGAAGCAATAGGGAACCAGCTAATTAATCATAAATCAGGAACGGTAAAATATATGACAGAGGTTTATGGGCCAATCTAAGGTTTGCAGTAGGAGAATATAAAAATACAGTAATTTAGTAATCATACAATAAAGATATAAATAGTAATTCTTTTTAGGATATTTCTGATGGTTCAAGTCTTCCAATATTCTCTCCATTACAACAAGCATCCTCTGACATTACAATAAAACTCAAAGCCTAATACTTCATTTTGGCTGGCATGACTTTTAACTGTTTAACAAGAGAAAGCCGATATGTGTGTGAACAAGATTTTTACTTAAATACTTTACGAACAAGTAACTCAATGGAACAGTGATATGAAAGTTCAACTACATATGTTATTCGTGTTTGTGAAAAAAGGCTATAACTTTCATGTGATAGGTTCCTTGGCCAAACACAAGATTTGATTAATATTTATCCACTACTGAACAATTGTTTCTAGGATTTCACTAGGCAAAAGTACCCAAATATTAAAAATAAATGAGATTTATAGACTGTACTGTTGAGCATAAGTAAAAGAGTGAAACAAATTTAATAGAATTCTTATTTGTGGACTAAAGAAGTTCCGAATTAATCGGGTTTTTTTTCAACTATTAAATACTGTTACTATAGAACTTATATGGAAGATAGATATGCCCACACAGCAATTAGTGGTATAAAGTGACTATTACCGTATTGTAATTTAGATTTCTTCTTTGGCTTTCACAGTGTGAACTGTTTCATTTATAGTTAATAGAACTATTATCTTGCCTATAATCTCATTCTAAATTGTTGGTGGGAAATGTGTATCTGTGTATCACATGATCGGATCTAATGGTCTAATTAAAAAATGTATGATCGAGTGTCATGGTCTAGTGTGCTCAGTTGTGTTGTCCAATCATGAGTTATTCTATGATAGTATTTCGTATAACAGGACAAACTATTATTTTTTCTGTCACAACAAATAACTTCAATTTTTATGTCTAGTAAAAACTTGATTGATTCAAACAAATAAATTCATACTTAATAAATCAGAGAGCTGGCTTACCAAAGACATAATATTCGTAACTTATTTACCAATTTTATGCATTTGGCTTTGAGCTACACTATTATTTATGTATAGCTTAATGATACTACCTAGCTGTGCAAACTGAAATAGATAGAACGAAATTTTAACTCATGACCTAATGGTAACAAGTTGAATGCTGTAATCAATAAGCTATCACCGGTGTAAATAACGTAGAAAATGTGGTGACTTAGTGTTAATTTCAACAACCACCATCATTTTTTTGAATGTTTACTAAAACCCCTTTAAATAATACTTAAAATGGTCATCATATAAAGAAGTGATAATTATATATATTGCAAATAAATTGAAAAGTATTCAGTTCATTCTTCAAATTAATTAATTAAACTGTTACCTGAAAAACAACTAGTTGGTCGGAATTACTTCATTTGAAAACACACCAAAGCAATATATATCAAAAAGATATAATTGATGGAAAGAATAACTAAATTTGACTAAATAAATCGACAACTCGTTTTTCGGAAATTCCCCACTTATGGAACAGAAAACATTGGATACCACTTATACTGCTGACTATGATCTTTATCATAATGTCGATGATAATGGCAGTAACAAAAGTAGTAATAGAAAAGAAAATGAAAGCATAATTGGGTATAACACTGAACTTTTAGATAAATCTAATCAACAATTATTTTCATTGGATCTTGAATCTAATATTGATAACTTGACGAAAGAAGATTCCTTATTGGAATATGATGAAACGAATAATATTTTATCAAAGCATAAATTAAAATTCAATTTAATGCTTTCAAAATATTCTAAATCTATTCATTGTAAAGATTCCAATTACCATCAGTCAACTTCTATTAATGAACTGGATACTACCAATGGGGAACTAGATAAAAGTATTATTCTTTTTCACAGTGATTATGATAAGAATGATAATTGTAATGTTGGTATCAACCGTGGTACTGTTAACGATGTGATAACTGATGATATCGGCCATATCATTGCATCTATTAAAAGTGAGTGAATGTATTTTTTTTTGAAAATTGTTTGATGACTATTTTAAGATTATCTGTCAGAAGGGAGGGGGGCTCAACAGCAAAACTACATAAATCATTGTTGTTCTATTCGGTTGACATCTCTAACTAGAGCATAGTGTATAAGTAATTATTCAGTATCATTCATTCAAATAATAAACTGCATGATCTTTATTCCCATTATTAACCAATTTATCTGTGATGATGAACACTATGTGTCAGAGTTGAATGGAAGGTATTGATGGTTATAGTACACATTAGAAATCAAGGTTTCGAAGATCTCATTAACTCCTACTATCGGCTAACAAGACTCCTTTGAAATACATTAATTTCGAATAGGAAATTAGCTTAAGTATTATAATTTCTTGCTATAGTGTTAAGATACCGATATAAATTTGTTAAAAAGCCAATCAACTAATTACCATAGAATGATGCTCTAACCTGAAAAACAAGATTTCCTGAATCCCTCATAATTCGTAATGAAACTATGAAATGTAAATGCAACTTGATAACTGTAGCGTATTTCATCACTGGTAACTCCTCTAATTCCAAGTTCAATAGCCTGACAAGAATTAACACATTTCCAAATCTCCAATCAGAGCATTAGAATCACAGATGACTGGTCATAAGTATTCAATTATTCATTCGAACACATAACTCGCATGATGACATAAATAAAATAAAAGACAATAATGGACAGTAGTTTATTGATCTTAATAAAGCTGAGTAACAAATTTATAATTGATTAACTTTTAATTTATGGACAGGAGAAGATGCCAATGAGTCGAAACGATAGTTTACAATGAAGACTGTTCAAAAATCATTTGTCAAACAATTAATCTATTGATGTGAAAAACTCATCTGCTAATCAATTATCATTTGCATTACATTCATAATTCACAAGCACAGATCATGGTTCACTAAAAACCTAAAAGACATGAAAACTATTACGTCACATCTCACTGTGTTTATCAATTTAAATGCGTGTGTGTGTGGTCAAACATTCATAGGAAGGAGTGATCATGATCCCCAAGTTAGGGTATCTGAACATGTTGATAAAAACAAATAAAATTAAATGACCTAATAGAAGTAGATGATAAACATTCATCGCCCTCTACTCCCAAACATATAGTTAAAATAAAAGTGTATATTAAAATTTTACTAAAGCCTTAGCCATAGTAAAATCCAGACCCCTTTCATGAATCCAAAAACAGTTTATTCTCACCTTAAACCTACACTGGTAATATCAGCTTACTATTCAGCATGGTGAGTTTCACATTGTTTTTCACATTTTCTTTATTACCTTTGTTTTCTCTAACCATCCATATGTCTAGTTGACCTATTGATTTTCATATGTTTGATGTTCTAAACAGGTATATGCGTGATCAGATCGCTCGAAATGTATTGCGCTAATATGTCACATAGTTCTGATAAACTTCGTCTTCTTACTACACAATACAAATTTATCACAGGGACTAATTGTTTCGAATAACTCAGTTTTCTAAAAGTTAGACACCGACCGCCGAACCCAAAGCTTTTGAGTTCACTTCCCGTCAACGTTGTGTGTACATGCGATAATGCCCACAATTCATCACTTAAGTTACTCTCTGAGGAACATTTAGTGAATTGAGAGGCGACAAGATGTATCGGTTTACTTTTTGTATTTATAAGAACAAACCTATGACTATTCAGTATCCATTCATTTCACGTTGAGTTTCTATTAAGTAACCTTTTGGCAGATATATCACTTTTCTTCGCAGTTCGACAATCCAACAATGAAACCCTAGATCCTATTTCTGTTATTAAGGCGAACGGAATCGACAGACGACATTCTCTGGTAAACCTAAATATCTTCACCAGTTTACGGATCCTTCGTATATGATGAATATTCTAAATAAATTATACAAATTCACGTGATATTGTTCACCTGAATCTTCTCATTGATGTTTAGGACTACAATTATTCAGTCTCTTATTGGCATATGTGCATACTGTGCGTATTGCCTCGATATTGCCTTAATTCATAAGCATTATAAGCAAAGATGAATCGATCAGTGTTTTTTGGTATATGTGGTTCGTCAGCAGAATACTACGATATTGCTATTAAGTAGAAAGCGTTATTAGGCAGAGTTGGATAGTGGCTAGCGTTGGAATCCAGGACGGGTGTTATAAGAGCCAGTAGCTATCTGAGCTTGATAACTGAATGGATAATGAATTGAGCGTTTGAAGAGAAAGGTACAGGGTTCAGGTCCTATTATAAGCATAATTACTGGGTACAAGTACATCCAAATGATGAGCACCGAATTGGGTGAAACGTACATATTGGATTCCACTGTTATTCACTATCCAACTCTGTTTAAAACTTTTTACCTTTGGCCAGAATTGCAGAAATGATATTTTCTTCTCACATATTTTTTAAAGCTCAAGCTTTTGAAAGTAATATTTTTCTGTTATAATGAAGTAACGGTCTGTGAATATCGAAAATTTGCACAATACTATTGGAATAACCTAAAAACCTTTTATGTCTGTTGCTATATCAAGCCGAAATGAGTTATTCTAGATGACGGACACGTCGATCAATTTATTCATTTTGAGTCACATTTTGACCTTGTCATTTATTCGCGTGTATGTGTACCGTTCACCTTATTCATCACATATTTTTGGCTTATTTTTGTCTTACCATAAACATATAGTCACGCTTTACCAAAACGAGTTGCAAAGCAAGTTGCCTTCTCCGCTTTACTCTCCTGCTTTTTATTGTGAATGTCTGTTTTGAAAAACAAGTGCTTGAAATAAATTCATCCTACTCAACTCGTATTTGGTTTCTTATTACCGTCGTCACACAAACGGGGTTAGCCTAGGCAATATACGGAGTTAAATAGATTTATATCTATGTGATATCTGTTCGTTCTTTCAAATTAAAGTCAAATCAATTGGTCACAAAAGACTTACTATCTTAATTTTCAGGTCATTAGTAAAACTGACACTTGTTTGATGCTCCATTTGATATAGGTATATGTGTGTCTGTTGTTTACTGTGTCATAGCAAGTCAGTTGTGAGGATTAATCATCTTAAGGAATGAAAAAAGAAGAGCGACCTAACGAGGAAAGTTAGATCGGTCCATGTTAAATATTAATATACCCTAAGGGTGAGGTTGTCCGCAATGTTTCGAAGTTTAATAAGTGTGTTGTATCCGGCACTTTTGTTTACTTTCCCGTTTAGTTAGTTGATCAGTCCTGTATATTAAGAGCGAAATCTACATAAGACATTCTGTTTCAAACGTTTGGAGGTATCCCCAACTGTCTGCTATGAGCATGTAGGTGTAGAGTAGTTCAACGTGCCAAACAAAAAATACAATGAACGTTAGGGTTTGAAATGAAATCTCTTGTGAAAATTATGCACGTTATGCTCATTAAATAAACAGAAAAATTTCATCCACATAGTTCCCTTTATCATTTTGAAAAGAGCAAGAACAAACATTCTAGCAGAATAGCATGAATTCCAACCAAACTCTTTCATGTAAGTAATTTAAACCCATTATGTAATTATGATTTTAAATATCATAGGTTGTAAGCAGCTGACAAGAGCCAACGAAATAAAAATGAATTCATGCTATTCTGCTAGAATGTTTGTTCTTGCTCTTTTCAAACAGAAAAATATCCGAAGATCTTGGATACAATATATTTGAACATTAAAAACCTTGAGGATAACCTCAGATATAAAGGATATTAATATTTATAATTACTAACGCAACTTTCTTCGCTAGGTTGGATTTGTCTCTTTAGTCGTTAGGATAATTAGTTATCACAAATGAGTTGTTTAAAAAAATAAAGATTACTACACCTGAAATACAAAGAAAGACAACACATGTAGTCTAATGGCTGGAACGAAAATAAGCGTTAGCTCTTGAAAGGTGATTTACTCATCTTGAGCAAACACGATTTGCATCTAGATAATGGTTAGAAAACAGTGATTCAAAAATAACTTGTCTGGTACACAGCCTATGAATCACCCTTGATCTTAACATGTACTATGTTGATGGTACGCAGATAAAAACGTGTCCGTAATCAAGGTCATTTAAGTGATTCATATGTCATAGCTTATGTTCGTCACTATTTGATTGGTTTGTCTACATACGTACCTATATGACTCATTCAGATGGGGAAGTTCGATGAGAAAAAAGCACTTACGTTTCATCTTGTGAAAATAGGACAAGAGACAGTGGAAAATATTTTGCCATTAGCTGATTGGTTGCATACATTTAAGATTTGAAGGTCAACAGATCAACATGGTTAAACAGAGCACTTTTAGTTATAACGACAATTGGTTTGTCAAAAATCGAGCGTTTGATACTGTGGTTTTACTTTAACTTCCTACCAATGTTGACGTCCATCAGACGTTATCATGGTGAGTCCACCTTTAATTAGTTCGTTTACATTTGATAAATTGCCTTTACTGTTAGATCAACTGTGGTATATTCATATTTGTGTCTGCTAAAGTACTTGTCTCTAAGTTTTGAGGGAAGAGTCAAATATTCTAAATTATCAATAGATACTGAGTGAAAAAAGGAGCAACTAGGTTCGAAGTATCAAACTACTCGACACTACTGGAACAATAGAGAATGTTTGCACTACTGGTCATATTTCGGTTTTGTCACCGAATTTCCTTAATCACTAGTTATTGATATTTGATGCTTTCTCATCTAGAAAGCATTTACTTCTACATACCACTTAAACCATTAATCAATGACTACAGTTAACAATCCCAAACTTTGTACTAGACACTGAAAATCTTCCTTCTAGTTTATACCTCCAATAAATATGAAAAAATCTCAGTTGATATTGTTCGTTGATTGAATGTTCACCAAAATATTGTGTATACATTGTTGTCCTGTCAGTAAAGACTTTTTAACAAACCAACCACTGTACTGTACCCATCGTCCATAGTGTATTCTACCTACCAGCATTTTCCGACACAGCCCAATGGATTAGTGCTCATAATATTAGTTTTCCAAGCTCTAGGTTTTAGGTCCAAACTCCCATTCATAAGTATTCTAACAGTTGGTCAGCATTATTAGCCCTCATACAAATCATGGCTCAAAGTCTAATACAATCTGTATTTGCTTACAGAATTACGTCAAATTAAACTAATCATCAGTTGTGCTGAAACATGCAAGAGGTATGATGAAGTCGTTAATGGAAAAACTATATGTATTATCTCTAAAATGACTTTGATTCGCACTGCCGTGTCGTCAGTCTGAGTGTTAGTGATTATGGGTGTCTTTTCGAAATGAGAAAATACAATAATCTTACGTGACTAGTGAGGTTATCATTGTTTCTTGTCAGTCCTTTTTGTCTAAAATCCAATTACCTGTTGTTTAAGGACATGTTCATACGTTCTTACAAGGTACCTTTTCTGCAGTCTCCGGACGACTAAAACATTGTGTATGCTTTAGTCATCTACGTAGCATGAAATGAGGTATCCAGTTTCGTAGCTCTGTAAGACGACCGTTCATTTTAAACCTAAGTCAAAACACTTTTTACATCGTAAATGGATATTATTCAGTGTATACTTGTGTATTTATTTAAACACAAACATTGGTGCAAGGAGGCAACAAATACAGATGCGCCACATAAACCATTGGATTTTTGTGAGGGCTGGGATACTGCCTGTGTGCCCAGACTGAAGCAGGTGACTTTCTTAGGCGGCCACACCAAAAACCTTTGACCTAAAGATCTAATCCACAAGGTAGTGGAGCAACGTCAGGAGATGGAGTATCCTGGTAGCCGGTGATCAACAATATGTTCATATGTCATTTGTTCCCTCAAGATCCTGGAGCCTATGTGGAACGTTGGTTTGGAATCAGGGTTTCCCCCTAAGTGGATCCGCCGTATCCACCAACCTAGTTAAAGCGCCGGACATTCGCTTTCTGTCCTTCCAATTTCGTAAACAACACCCCCGCCACGAGAAGACATCGGGTAGGACTTCCCTGATAATGGTTGTAGGCCGTGGCCATGTGAGAGCATTTCGAAAGGGAGATCTGACTCTCTGCACTCTCGAGTGTACCAGGGCATTTGGAGCAGGGTGAACTCTTATCGTTTATGAGAATGTAAATATGAAATTCATCCAATTTTCCATTTAACATTATTGCGGTTGAAGCCAATAGAGTCTTGATAGCATTCTTTCGTAAGCTGGACGAGTCTAGATATCACTTGTCTATGCTCACATGCTATCTCCGGATCAAACTGTAGGGTGAGAAATTATAAACAACACATCCTACTGTAGGATGCCAACTATGAACCTAGTTAAGATACCAGCTTATTTGTTCTCAACTGGGCCAGAATGTTAGGTATATATATACTTATGGTTTGTGTATATTGATTGGGTTTGCCAATAACAGTTTCTTAGTCATTTCTCATTCTTCTGGTTTGCATAAACAGTTGGGCGAGAGTGTAAAAAGCCTGTGTAATTGTAGCTGGAACGTACGTTCTCAGAACATAACATAATGTCAATCAGGTTGTAGTGTAACTAACTGTCTAGTTCACTACACATCAATCAACACTATGGGGACGAATATAACACTGATCATTAACCAGTGATCAAATACTGAAAATGTTTATCGTACAAACTGTTAGTCATGGTCTGAATAACTCTGTGGCAACGTCCCCAACTGTGATATTGGGTTCGAACCCCGTGGGAAGTCTTAATTTTCTTAGAACTGTAGATACTGTTTACTGACGAGTGACAGTTATCATAAGATCTCGGTCAAGCAAAGTTTCTTGCAAATTATCTCCAATCACGTGAATAAAACGTTAATTATTACACAACACATCAGATTCATTATCCCTATATTTATGTTCTGTTAGTTATATTTTTCAATTTATTAGTTTATATAATTGAAAATTTCTCAATAATTCATTCATTTATTGGTAATTCTCAATATGGAATTTTTAATGCATCAAAGATAACCAATCAGAATCATGATTACTTTTTGCCTATTGGAGTAATTTGAAAAAAGCAATAGGCCTTAATAACCGATATGTATATATATATATAAACTTGACATTTCATTGGTACAGAAACAACCTTCATCATCCGTATATTTTTTTTCCCATAAATATAAACTACTTTTACCTTTATTTATTTGCATAACTTTTGTAAAATTTGCCAACTGATTATTTTTGTTGTTGTTGTTGTTGTTGTGGTTAAGATTCTCAATGAAATTACTATTACCCAATGTGGATTGGGGTTCAGTAGGATGAATACTGAAAGCATTTTTGTTAAATATACTTATTTATCATTGATCATTTCTTCATTAGTTCTAAATTATCCCATTATACTAGTGCATTAATGGATTATTCATATTTTAATAATGTCAACAAAACTTATATTTAATTGTTTGGATTTAAATTCAGAGGATTATTTAGTGATTAGTCCTCCTCTCTGTTAGGGAGGATGAAAAAAGCTTCTGAACAGAAATCAACAGGAAATAATGTTAAGTCTAATGTTCTCAGTGAGTTTTTTTTTCTTTAATGTTGTCGAATTTTATACATTTTTAAGAGGAAAAAGAAAACGAACAAATTTTACCTGAGTGTTTACGTTGCTTCAGGACTGGTCTGCGTCAACACCTGAACTAAGGATAGGGAATGAAGTAGTCGAACGCGTCGACAACTTCACTTATCTTGGAAGTCTGATCTAATAAGTTGGTGTCTGACGAAGTTTCGGCACGGATTCGAAAAGCTCACCTGGCCTTCTCCAACTTACGTCACCTATGGCGAAGGCGAGATATCCGTCTATCAATAAAAGAACGAGTATACTGCGCGGCAGTCCGTCCTGTTTTAATTTACGGCAGCGAAACATGGCCATTAAGAGTAGAAGATACTCGTAAGTTACTAGTATTTGACCACAGATGTCTTAGAAATATTGCTCGCATCCGCTGGGATCACCGGGTAAGTAATAGTGAGGTTAGACGCAGAGTGTTAGGGAATGATGATGGTAAATCAGTTGATGAGTTTGTGAATCTTCATCGACTGAGATGGTTGGGCCACGTGTTACGTATGCCTGAACACCGATTACCACGACGTGCAATGCTAACCGGCGTTCGGGATGGTTGGAAGAAAGTTAGGGGCGGCCAAACCAAAACGTGGCATCAGTGCTTGAAGACACTAACTTCTAGTCTGAGCCATGTTGGGAGATGCAGACTACTTGGTTGGGGTCCGCGTGACTATCGTAACCAATTGTTAGAGTCTTAGTGACATGGTTCAGAATCGATCACAATGGCGTCGGTGTATACACTCTCTATCTTCCCTTAAACTAAGAGATTAAAATCGCTTCATATCTTTCTTTCTACGAACTAATTCTTTCTTCGTGTACTATATCCTTATTGCAATCTTTCTTTTATATATTACCACAACTGAATTAACTACTTTTATGAATCCGGTGTTCAACTTGTTGTGTTAATGAGGTATGGCAACTTGGACCGATGCATATATGTGCCTGATCCTACGTTGTAGCTGACTGACTTACGTTATATTATCTTTTGAAGTGAACTTTCATCGATTGGATTCTATCAGGTCACATTAATCTACCAGTACAGTTGATACGTATGTTTATTATGTACATATATTCAGAGTTCCTGAATGACTTTAAACATTTGTGATCTATAGCGATGTCTTAATCACTGTCTTCTTTTAAGGTGTCCTTAAATAAGTGTAATGGTTAGAAGCGATGTCTAACATATCAAGTCGGTTTGTGGATACAGAGGTTCAATCCAGAAAATTTGAGGCGGCTCAGTTGTCTAGTAGGTTAAGCGTTCGCGCGCGAGACTAAAAACCCTAGGTTCGAATTCTGCGGGCGGGATCGTGGATGTGCTCTGCTGAGGAGTCACACAATGGGACGAAACGGCCTTCAAGTACTTCCAGGTTTTCAGTGGTGGTCTAACATCAATCGGTTCATGATCTTAATTAAAACTTAATAATCTCCACAACCCCTATACTGAAAATTTCGGGAATCCCGATTCCGAATCAGTGGTCTACATGAACTTCAGGTTCCTGAGTGAATGTACCAACCTATTTTGAAAGATCTTTGTTTTCTAACTTGATTTTATTCACGTTATAGCATGATCGTCATTCTAATACTTATTATTATATTATTACTGTGTTGATTTCTCACTCATCGAAGGCATTAAATCAAGTCACTATATATAATATACAATGTAAACAAACAATAGTATATTTATTTCACTAAACTATTCTTTATTGTTTCTTAAACCTACATATTTCATAATCTTGAAGGCAATCTCTAGTATCTTTGTTATCACAATTGAAATTAATCTAATTTGTTTTTAGAAAATGTGATTCGATTGTACATGTTTAATTTTACATTTTCTTTGGAGTAATTTTGGAAAATATTTTCAGAAAAGAAGTTCAATGACCCCTTCGTACTGTAAGCTTAGGTGATTACAATAAACTCGGATTAAAGTTAAAAAAAAAGTGATTCACCTTTATTGTAGAATGGATATACAGCTTTGTCGTAAGACTTATGACAGACTTTGGTCTTAACTACATTGTACAGGCAATTTTTTTGTGGCTAAAGAAGATAGGCGTGTTATACATATTATCCATTCTCTCAAATGAAATCCATCCATTTTTTAGTGTATTGTAGCAAATTAACTGCTTATCATTCTTTCTTAATCTTTTCCTGGTCATGTTTTGATTTCCACTAGTTAACCTATTTACCTGTTATCCGACTTCGAATAATTCATCCTAGGTTCAATTGAGCAAGATTACCTTTGTTAGAACTGAATATTTTTTAATGATCACTATTAAAGTTTTAAATGAATTGAATATTGAGTGGATTGTTTATAATAAGAAAACAAATATTTGTACACATCCCGATGAGCCTAAAATTAATTTTCTGATGTTGAGTAAATGACGATGTTGTAGATACTGTATTTGGTTAAGGTTAAACAATATTATCGTTTCAAGGCTCTCTATATTTTTAATATAGCCGAATATGAGATATTACACTATCTCTAGAATTACAACAAATGCTGAAACAAAGAATTAACCCTTTCTATAAAACATCTGAAACTTCGAAGTGTTTTGTTTCAATAAAAGTCCAAATTTCATTCATATAAACTATTGACTGTCTATAGAATAGGTTGTGTTAATTGTGACATATTGAAATCTTGTGTAAGAATACACTCGTACGAATGGACATCTAAACTGCACAAAAGAACCTAATAATCATGCAGAAATTAAGAATCTACAAATTAAATGAGCAGTAACAGTACATGACGTAATCGAGTACAGTCAAATTGAGGCTGAGATTAACCTCAACATATGCAGTCCCCAGCTCTTCCAGTTGCTTTTCCATCAATTTAGTGTGTTTTTGTTATGCATCAGATTATCGTTTTCATAAAAGATTTAGGTTCAAAACTTTTATTATAGACATGTTCATGCCGGATGTCAGGCTGCGCTACACTGAACTTGTCTGTAACAGGCAATTGTGGATAGATCCAGCCTTTCGTATATCACTAAATCCTACTGCGCTAACTAACAATCCAAACAGTTTGAATAATCGTTCAAAACAGTCATATTAAGTCTGTTCGTAATAACGTGAACTCCAAAACGTTAGTACTATACTAGGAACCAGGCTAAAACCATCCGTGTTTAGTTCTAAAAACGGCTTAAATCCATAAACATTTATGTCGTACAACTACACAGCTAATGTGATATGACGTGAAAGTAAATTAGTTTAACATTTTGAGTTTTTTTACGGAAAAGGAAGCCCCTACTTTGAATCTGACTAGTTCGTCAGTATAGTATGCTTGAACTCATTCTTTTCTTGAACTGTGCTGATGATCCTGTCTAGAAAGACAACGAAACTTCACAATTAAACCATCTAGTTCAAAAACACCATGTCTGAAGCGTTAACTACTCACTGAGTGTACTTGTTTGTATCAAGGCTGCAGTCAAGGGTATCTGATTGATATCTCAGGGTCCCCGCTGCATTGTGTCCTAACTGATGCGAAAATTATTCACATATATTACCTGGATTCTGGCTGACTGATGGCTGTATTAAACTTAACAAGATCACATTTAGAGCCTTAAGGTTGTCAGCATAGTATAGTTGTACCGAGAATGAAACCAATTTTAGAGAATGGAATACTTTCGAAGTTCTTTTCTCAGGCCACAACTCATCGTCTAGCTATGGTTGTAAGTTCGCAAGCATTGTCATTCTTGTCTTTTCTTAGTTTATCGAAAGAATCAAATGTATATTTTCATATTGATAAATATTTTATCCACTAAAATGCTTCTGGTTCAATATCTGCTACCTTCATGTAATTTAAGCTAAGTCGTTTTACCATTTGCTTCAAAACCTTAATGTTCTTTGTAAGGTTGGATGACGATTAGTGATATCATTTATCTTCTCGAGTTTAGCAAAATAGCTGATTTTCATTTATGTTATAATCACTTTATAATCGTATTCGCAACTAATATGGATTTGATTATTCAAGCTTAACTGGATATCGACTCTGAAGGAAGATTGGGAATGCACCTATATATTTGGTTTATACAATAACTAACCATAATTGCTAATAATTGAAGTGAAATGTGATGTAGGAATTTTTTCTCATAATTTACATAGATTATTAGTGGCGTTTCAGAAGTTAGACTTGAGGACGAGGTTGTACTACTGATGACTGACGGTGTGATGGCAGCAAGGTTTCTTACCAAGATAACCATAATCTCCAGCGATGCTACCTCACAACGATAGGAAAAGGTTAAAGTGGTCAACCCTAAAGTTAACACACTTCATATTCTCATATGGGTTCCCGTCGTCAGCGGTAAGGTCTTGAAAGTATGAAGCTTACGCATCTATGAGTACTCATAAAATAGCCATGTGTGATCGACCCCAAGTAATCGTCTCGTAGGTCCTGAGGTCATGCTCTCAGGTTGAAAGTAACCACTACCAACACAGTCTCCTTTTCAATCACCTCAGGGAGGGAAGTATCCTTTCACGATGTGAAAAGTCAGGAAGTGACAACCACCGACACATTGTTAACATCACTTGAGACTGTACGAGTCATGTTGATTTATCAAAGAGTTTAATTATTTTTGTAACTAGATGATATATTTATACTATGAAGCGTTATTTATTATCTTTTAATGATTATTTCTTAATTGTATAATATTTATATTCATAGACGAACAACAACGTGTACAGAAGAAAACTTTCACTAATTGGGTCAATGCATGTTTGCAAAAGGTATGTTTAAAACATCGTTATTATGAATTTTCGAGGTTTTTTATTTCTTGAAATCAAAACATTTGTAGTCAATTCATGAATTTTCTCCAGTATAATTGATTGAAACTAATTCTCGTGTGAATGAATTTACAATATAAGGATACATATACACTGCCCTTAGATTAAGATATACTGTGATTTTCATAGTTGAAATCATAAACCGGTCTTAGTTAGACTACCATTGAAAACCTGGAAACATTGAACAACCATTTGGTTCTAGTCCGAGGCTCCTCAGCTGTCCCCCAGCACGGGAATCAAACCCAAGAACTTCGGTCCCGCGCAACTGTATTAGTTGCACTGTATATATTTTGGTTCATTGGAATAAAGTACTTGAGGTGGATCAGTCAGAAAAATCTTGGGTTTTCAGAATATTTAGACGTAAATACAAAGAAATAATCACTTATGGTTCTATAACAAATAATATTTAGCTTGGGTTGCAAAAACTGTGATAAACTCAATTGCAACAACAGTCAACTGTCAGTAGAGACAAGCACAAAGTGACCAGTTCAATAAGGCCGCACGAAAAAAGTGTGTCAACTAGTTAGAAAGTGGTGGGAGATGGCCGTGCAATATTGTGAACTAATTAAAGTTAGACATTGACACCGCTGGATGCTGGTCTAGAGGTTGGACGTCTGCGTGGGAGACTCAAAGTCATGGGTTCAATTCCCCGTTGTAGGGTCGTGGATGCCGACTGCTGGTAAGTCCCATATGAGGATAAAATGGCCGTTCAGTGCTTCCGAGTTTTCAGTGGTAGTCTAGCTGAGATCAGTTTGTGGTTTAAACGATGAAAAGTATAGAATCTTCACAAACCCCCCTATACTAATTAGGGAACAGTTAGTTAACAATCAACCAGTGAAATACAAGGAGGAAATCATGCATTTAAAACTAGTTATTCCCAATTAATATAATTACCACAAATGAATTATATAAACTGTTCATATAAAAATTGAAACAAGAATTACTAAGTTAAGTAATTTCATGAAGGTTATCATAGGTGGTTCTCACCAGGATTGCTGCCATTTACAGAATCAATCAGAGTTTAGAAGCTCTGAATAACAATGACTTTTTGTTTGACTGAACGTGAAAATCTGGAATATTAGATATTGACCTATTAGTTGTCTTTCGTGTCCATTACGAAAATCTGTAGTATTCAGTTCGATCCTGTATCTGGGATTACTAGTGCACTCCACTGAGGATTTCTAATTTAGGGTGAAACAACTGTAGTAGTACTGTGGTGCATACTACTTATATCTATCGACATAAGTAGTATGTAACAGCGATCAGAAATGGAATGCTTAGCAGCAGAAAGTTGAGAAGATTGGACTGAAGAAGATAGAAGGAGAAAATTAGAGGTATCTAGAATCGGAAGAATCATGAACGATGTAAAAAAGAATTGATGGAAGATTTCTTTTGACATACGGAAGATACCATATATATTATGAAGTTTGTTACACTTATTTCCAAAAACATATAGACAAGAATAAATTGTAAGCACTTAATTATTGATAATGTTCAGTGAAACAGTGTGTAATAAAGTTACTGAGCAAATCATGTTAAGTTATAATCACTGGTTAAGTTAATTTACCGGAATTAGAAATGTCAGTTATCTCTAATACCATTAAAATATTGATGTGAGTTGTGTATAAAATTGTGGCACCAAGTAGTATGTAATAGAAATCAGTATTATTGTGTAAAAGGTCTTTAATATTTATCTCGCCTTATTTAAAACGTCTAAATATTCTATATTTTATGAAAATACATTTCTTTTAATTTATATAGCTACCTGACCCAATTCATATCAATGATCTTTTCAAAGATATTGGTGATGGAACTACTCTTATCCATCTTCTTGAAGTATTATCAGGAGAAAAATTGGTATGTTTACCTTAAATTATTATATGTATATTCAATAACTATGCCTTTAAAGTAAGTCAGAATAGTTTAGGGTTTTCTTTCTTACCGTAATTAACAAGTTTTATGTTTCTTTACACAACTCAAAGCCTTCATTACACCAATATCGATCATTATTTTGTTTATCTCTCGGATACTTTATTTCTCAGTGGATTCATCAATATATTTACTTTTGTTTTCTATGCAGAAAATCAATTATTTAACATCCAGTTCAATGATAATTAAAAATAATACATTTTCCATATCTCAATGAGTAGAAAAATTTTCTGACGTTTCGTAACTCAGTGTAAACCACTTCTTAGAGAATGAATAAACAAACTAAATTAACCCGAGTTTAAATGGTACAAAGGAACAAAGTAAAAATATTTGGTGTGATCAATCAATTGTGTATTCAATTGTATAATGTCTCTGAATGTGGCACTGAAAAAATTAATTTATAACTTTGCTAGAAAATATCAGTATTTTTATAATTTGTGAATAAGTCTTCTTGATTATATACGTATATATGAAAGTATCTAGGATATATTTACTTCAGTGAATTTTAATCAAATGAACTAAATGATCACTTTATTTATACGGAGTAGTGACTAAGTGGTTATATAATCTAACTTGTCACTAGTAGTAAGTCATGCGTTCGAAACTCCACTTCAGTTAAGATACTATCAGTTTCCTTGAACCTTACATAAGTAACGGCATTCATGTTTAATTATTTGAACGCCTGTAATTCATAAAAAACTGATGTATACATCTAAATTCATGACGATTGAGGTACTCAGTTCAACCTACAGTATTTTTTTTGGTCCTTTTCTCTGTAACTAATTTATCATTGATAAGAAAACATTGGCGGTAATATGCTCAATATAGAGAGGCACGCATGATTTCTATATTAAAGCGCTAATCATAACAATTCTGACTTGATCAAACTTTTAACTTTCTAGTTTAAAGTCGAGTACTTCAAACAAAGTTGATGTAATACAACTCAAGTAACCATAATTTGTTATCTGCAAAAAATTCCCTTTTCTGTTCATTTAATTATTATTTCAATATTATTTTCTACAGTCAAACACTTAAAACAACTGAATGATACAAAAACGTATGTCACCAATTCTGCAAATCACTGTTTTTTCTAAATCCACTATTTACAATTAATAATCATTTTAGTATTATCATTAATGACCGTAACTATTTATTCATTCAAACAGTGTTTACGCATTATTAAACACTTTGTGATAATTATATTAGAATGGGATAACAACTAAGTAAGAGATAGCAAGTGTTGTTTTTTCTTCCTTTCAAAATTTGTAAACTGTTTTATTTCTCTTTGGTCCCCACCCCCGTCACTCTTTTCACCGCAATTGATTTCTCAATTTATTCTAACTAACCAATAACAATGTTAATTGTGTTAACATATTATACAAATAATAAATTATATTTTGAATTACCCGCCTAGATTTTACTCATTTTTTTTAAAAAACAATTGTGCATCGGTTTCATTTCATAATGGAAATTGTACGTTAGATGTATGCTCAATGAATTTATTTAATTGTAATTTTTATTTTATCAATTTTTTTTTTAACTGGAATACCCTGCTGACATCATCATCATCATTAACTTTATCTGAACAATGACCAGATTTGCATTACGGTAACGCTCTCTCTCTCTTTCTACCTCAATTACAATTGCATTATATGCGTGTTGCTTATTTTTTCTCAAGGAAAAAAACTAATCAATATTGAATGATGTTATTTGCTTTGATTGAATATAGAAATGTACATCTATCTATCTACTCAACCAACTACCGTTTATCCTTTGATTATACATATGCTCAAATATATGTAATGGTGTGTTGTTATTTAATAATTGGCTTTATTATTACTATTTTTTTTGGAAGAAAATAATTCATTACATTTATTTATTGATTGATCAGTAATGAATTTGTGTTGTTGTTGTTGTTGTTACCTTAGGCAACGCCCTGTTCTGCATTTCTTCTGCTAAATGACTCATAAAAATTAATTCTTTTTTTCAGATCAGGTTTATGTATTACTGTTTGTTAATATGGGTATATGCATATATTACGCTACAATTAATGTTCTGTTATGATTGTTACAATTATTATGATGGTATAAACATATTATAAGTTAATTTTAAATATGTAAAATGCTAATGAATATTCTAAAATATTTTGTTTATTCTCCACGAAATGGATTTTTTCTCTATAATAAAATTTGAGTAAATTTTACAATTCACCTACCATTTACGGATTTATGTGTAGTGAATGAGCACTTCATAGAAGAAAACCAATTTATCGTTTAGTGCAAAATTACAAAGTATGTTAGTAAAATATGAAAGCCAACCATTCACTACTTCATTTGCACATCTTACATCATTTATCTCATATAAACTTCATCGTTCCTTCATTCCTATTGTTAGTACAACTACTCACTGTTTACATTCCTTTTGTCTTGTCTTTAATTCGATCTTCCCAATTTTCTGTTTCGAGGCCTTCCAGTTGTGATTAGTGTTACTTACTACTTATATTTGTAAACATAAGTGGCGTACTTGGTTTTAAGCTTTACTGTTTATGCAAAGACTAATGATAATATCAGTTTTCCCACCACAGCAAGTAAAGATGGGTCAGATTTTGAAATTATGGCATACTGGTTGAAAGTCGTGTATTTTATCTATTATGCCACTGTTCCACAAAATTCAGATAGGAATCTTATTGAATTCGTCTAGAGAAATTAGTGATTTCAATTAAATTCCCAATGATAGAAATGTTTAGTCGTTTAATTTGTGTTTATTGTTGCAGCGAACATTTCTACGAAGATCTAGCTTATCCTTAAGACTGTCTACTGATTGAACTAATATTATTACATGATCTGATCTTAATTTCAAATTGTCAATCACTTTATGGAAAAAAAGACAGAACCCTAACTACGGTTTATTCGGACATAGGTTTGCAACCTTCTTGTGATAACTTTAGAGATAATCAGTTTAATAGGATACAAAAATTAATCCACTAATTAGCACCTGTTATTGTTTTATGTAAGCAGGCAAATTCTAGTTGCCTTAATTGTTCTTCACAGGAGAAGTTTGAATCGTCTAGTCACTAATTCAGTACATACTATTTGGAAATAATTAATCTTATCAGCATTTTTATGCAATGATGTTCTTGTTCCCTAGACATAATAATTAAATGATCTCTCACCTAGGTGGTTGTGTAAAGTCACCATCTTCTCGATGCGAAATCATTCGAAATAGCTATGAAACCAACTGTAATACAGTATAATATCATATTTCATGTTATTGTTTATAATTACCCCTAAGTTTATTTGTTCTAGAACCTATGCCAGTTGTATCTTATCCATGATGTGCTGTTGATGATGACTACCGTGGTAAATGTTAAATTAGTGCATTATCAATGCCAATAATTTTAAATTACCAGTTTTTTTAACGAACTGGTTATTTCAGCGTTAGATTAGAGGCAATCGAAATGAAACCCTTCATTCTAGATTTCATGTTAGCCAGTACTCATTAGCATGATGTATATACCTACAGTATTAAGGAAATTAGTTTTGTATACGAGACTCGAACTCACACTCCCTAGTGCCACAATCAAGGATGGTACTACTGAGCTACTCAAGCCACAACTGACTTCTTAAGAGATTGAATTATTTACATCAAGGGATAACTGATTAGTAACTAAAGTTCTGTTTGTATAGATTTTAATACTAATCGAATTCTAACGATCAAGTGTCAATTGTAATTAGTTTTTAGGTTTCATCAGTGTCATTGCGTGTATCTCTTTAAATTTTTACTTTTTCTAATTCGAACCACCAATAAATACTATACTGTTTGTGTGATATCCATCATAAATGTTAATGTTACTTTAACATTTGATTGCAACCCCCAAATGCCCTGGTACGGCCGAGGGTGGGGATAGTCCGATCTTCTCAAAATGCTCTCACATGGACACGCGTATACAGTCAGTGCCAGGGAAGTCCTACTCACTGCTTTATCGTGGCGCGAGTGTTTATGAAGTTGAGGGGACGAAAAGCGCTTTAACCGGGTTAGTGGATATAGAGAATTCACATAGTGGAGTTGGAAAATCCTGATTCCAAGCCAATGGTGCACATAGGCTCCAGTATCCTGAGGGAGCAAATGGTGTATGAGCATATTGTTGGTCACCGGCTTCCGTAGGACTGCATTTCATAAAGTTGCTCCACCGCTTTGTGGATTAGACCTCTGAGTCAAAGGCTCTAAGAGTGGCCTCTAAGAAAACGACATACTTCAGTTTTGGGTGCCGGGGTAGTATCACAGCCCTCACACAAATCGAATGACGAAGTGTGGTGCCTCCTTGTACCAATCTTTATATGTTTAAATAAATAAGCTTTAAGGCTGACTAAATCATATGAACTCAGACACTCAAATTTCGATTGCGTAATTAAGAATAAATATAACAGTCATAACAACGTCTGGTGACATAGTATGGTGTTGGGATCGGTGAAGAATCAATTTGAAATACAAAATAGTTTATTATGTACGTGTGACACATATGAGTATGTCCGTCTGCACTCACTATTCAACATAGTCTACCCATAATACAATTTTTTTATACACTCATTAGCAAGGTTCATGTCCATTATATTATCTTCATATTTTGTTGCATTTCATTCATTTTTGTTCAAGTCTTTTGAGATTTACTCTGTGATAAAGCTCTTTTCTCATCATCTGCTAGGTACTTGAATATTGATAGGATATTTGTGGTAAATTTTATAGTTGTTGCCTTATCAGTTATTTTCTTTGTGTCATATGATTTTCATCAATATTTTGTATGTCATTATACCATGATGTTTCCGGTTTAATTAGAATATTATCAGAAAGGGGTTTTATGGATATTCTAGTAATTTAATAGTTGGATTTATGAGTCGATTAAAACACTGTTGGATACCGGCTCAGTGGTCTAGAGGCTAAACGAAGGTCGTGGATGCGCACTTCTGAGGAGTTGGTACTAGGACAAAACGGCCGCACAAAGCTTCCAGGTTTCCCATGGTGGTCTAGCTTTAATAGACTCATGAATTCAACTAAAAAGATATTGTTAGTAGTTGTTTTTTGGCATTTTGCTTTTCGTTTCCGCATACAACTACTTCCAATTCAGAATTATAAAATTGCAGTGACGTCATAAGTTTAGTTGAGGAAGAGGGAGAGGTTACTTTATTGTACACTTATTTTTGTTGTTTGTTGACTAAATGCATGTTGAAAAGTAGTCATTTTACTATGTTGAAATCAGGGTGGTTTGGTTTATATTATTCCCATGTATACTTGTTTTTCATTTTCTTGATTTCTTCCTTTTTCTCAACTGGGCTGATTTTAAGTGCAGCAACTTGGAGGAATACATAGACATTCATGTCAGATTATACGTTGACTATGATTGATTAACTAGCTGACTGTGAAGATTTGGGATTTATTATGTTAGGAAACATGTAACTTACTCACTCGTGCGATGCTAGCAGATTTATTGTACAATAATGTCAAAGCTATGTAGATAGGTAATTATGATGACCTACTTATTCAGTTGAGCTATTGTGGTTGGTTTATCAACTCAATTGAACCGTGGATAATATAAGGTTGTGTATGAAGTTATAATACCAAATACTGAATTAATATACTTACTATGTGTGTAAATTTATTAGTAGACGGACCAATCACAGTATGTTTATATGGACAGTGGCCTTGGTCTAAATGAATAATCTAAGTACTCACTATAGCTTGACAATAGTTACGTTAAACTTACTACACAACTATGAAGTATCATGTTGTGTAACATGTTTACTCGACCAATCATAAAAACAGTTAAAAGGAGCTTTAGACTGTTTATGAAATTACAATTATTGATTTTTATGTAATTCTTAACACAAGCGCGTTAACCGAAAATCGGATAAAGGTAAAATAAATGGGAATAGAGATGGTAGTGTTAAGAACGAGAACACTGGTGGTAAAATGTGCAAACCATACCTTCAATTCTTTATTTTAAAAATGTCTATTAATTATCTCAAACTTTATTGTTCCTTCATTTCCATACCAATTATTCTGCGTTCCCGTTTTCTTCTATTTGATCTTCTCAACCTTATGCTGTCAGGCATTCTATTTCTGACTGGCGTTATATGCTATTTATATCGATATATGTGGCACACATCACAGTAGCAGTAAGTGATAACTGAAATAAAATATAAAAGGTGAATTAAATAAATTAACATAGAGAAGTGTGTAAAACATTAAAATGTTGAATATTTACAGTAACGTTCAAGGGTAGCGTTAGACTTAACCGGATAATTGTTTTTGGGATATTTTTCTGAGTATCCCAACACCTAAATAATGGATACAGCTTTTATTTAAACTTATTATCATTATGTTATTGTTTGCTGTGCAGTTTTGCCTTACCCTGCTAACACCAAGTCTACTAACAACGCTATAGTGTTCGTTATTGCATCGGTAGTTCACAGAAATTCTCATGTCCTCAAACCTTCAGTAGCATAAAATAGATCAGATAAGTGGCCAAGATTACTCTTATTATTTAGGCCTTTAAATAAAATACAAACCCACAACGTACTACAAATAATAGATCACAATAGTTACATGACTTGATCATATTTTTATACTAATCTGAGTAATAAATTTATGCCTAGGTGACTTGTAATATATGAACGGTAAAAGACACAACAACAACTAATTTGACAAAACACAGCTTCAAATTACAATCATTTGCTGAGTAATCAATAAAACAATACGAAATCCAACTCATTTACAATCGATCTATCGCCCATTAGTGATCGAATTCTATCAATCAAGTCTCAATGTGACCTCAAGTCTATGGGAGAGTTATGGTGTCCTGGTAGTTAGAAAATGACTTTCAACCAAGTTGGTCCAGTTTCAAACTTCGTTTGGCCTACTTTGATTTGGGTATCCGAGTAGTATCATAAAATTGTATCACACTAAAGTTTAGATCATAGTCAAATACACAGACCTGTACCTAATAAATTATTTACATCGTTCATATATTTCTTATTATGACTTTTGCCACGTGACAAAATCGCCAATCAGAATACCGAATTCTATGACCTTGCTCCTGTGCTCAAACCAATGACACGTCAACCAGTACTAGCAGTCTTGCATCAAATATGAATCTTTCTCTGTATAGTAGCTTCTCTCCTAACCCATCCGGTTCATTCCAGAACACATATCAGCCTCCTCTATATGACTTATATTCAAGATATACTTGGTTTATATACAAGCAAATCAGACAGGATCACATCATAAAATTAGAAAAAATAATTATATAAGATCGAGCGAAAAGTGATTGTGAGTATGACAGACTGTAAGTAACAGATTGGGAATAACTTAAGAATAGTAAATCATGTAATAGTAGTCGATAGGTCAAATGAAAGCATATAATCAAAGGTATATATATATATATATATATATATATATATATATATATAATTTATTCATTTTATCATTTTATTCTATATGATGCATTTTGTTGTTGTTTTGTTCATTTAGCAAATTGAAAATCGTCGTATTCTACAAAGAGCTCATAAACTTAGCAATGTTCGTAATGCTTTAGATTATTTAGAAAAAACATGTAAAGTAAGTTTGTGAAGTTTATCGTTTTTTTTTCGTTTGTTTGTTTGTGAATCTGATTGTTAGAATATTGTATTTCATATTAAAATATGTCTAAATTAACTAAGTGAGAATTTATCCTGACATTGATTAGGGAATTATTGATCCCATTTAGAGTGTTATTATGTATATATGTATAGTGGATGAACACTCAAATGGGGTAAACCAGTTTATTGTCTAGTGCAAAATCAAAGTATCTTCCAGTGTTTATATAATCTAATTCATTATTGAAGTGATTAGTTTATGATGGGTAATACTGGGACGAGTAAGAAGTAAATCACTCAGTATAGACTTTTTATGCTAAACTGACTGACTCCTAAAATATAACAGTACCAGGCTTGTTTTGATAGTCAATTGGCTTCATTTCCGCGATACAGTAGAATAAAATGGTCTTGCGAACCAGCAGTGCGTATTTATAGCATTTCCAAATTGCCAAATTAAAAAGAAAACGATCGATAGCCAACATGCTTACTTGAACTATGTTCCATGACTTTCAAACTAACTACATTCTGAAACCTGACTGAATTTGTTACTACACTTTAGTCTTTTTTTCTAGCTAACTTATGAGTAGATCAAAAAGAAGATATCCAAAATAAAAATAAAAATATAATGAACGAACATTCAGGTGGGGAAGACCAATTTATCGTTTAATAGAAAATTACAGAATGTCTTCATAATATACGAAAACCATCCATTAAACACTTCATTTGCACATCTTCCATCAACTGTTTCTTACTTTATCATTCCTTTTATTACGACTACACTCTGTCTACATTCCTGTTGTCGTCAATTCGATCTTCTCAATTTTCTATTGCGAGACATTCCAGTTATGATTGGTGTTAAATACTACTTATATTTGTCAACATAATTAGCATTCACCACATATATGTATATAAACATTTTAGTGAGAAGCCGTAAACAGTGGAGTCCAATCCGTGTCGGGTAGAGATACGAATCTACCTCAGACAATGGATGAGGGGTTACGCAAGATCATCGATCGATTGCTGTTAGACACTAACACCGTTGGATGCCAGCTCAGTAAAGTAGAGGTTAAGCATTCGTGCGCGAGGCCGAAGGTCTTGTGTTCGAATCCCGTGTGCGGGATCGTGAATACGCACTGCTGAGGAGTCCCATACTAGTACGAAACGACCGTCCAGTGCATCCTGGTTTTCAGTAGTGGTGTTGGTGTAGCTTAGATCGACTCATGAATTCAACTAATAAATTTAAAACAATAATTTTTTTTCTCGAAGTGCTTAGCGTGTAGATCAAATTAAATTTACAGTTGTATTGAAGTCACAGTGATTTCTTAAAATTTACTATAAAGTTTCTAAATGCATTTAACTTACCATCTGAAGTTATTTATCAATAAGCAAAAAGTGTTTATTTGTTTGTTTTTCTTTTAAATATTTGTTCATTATAGATAAAACTTGTAAATATCAATCCCGCAGATGTGGTCGACGGGAAACCAGCGATTGTTTTAGGTCTTATATGGTCGATTATATTATTTTATCAAGTAAGCTAAATGAATTATTTCTGATATCATATAACATGAAAATAATCACAATTAGCACACTAACTTACAATTGTGGTCAGGTTAGTATTCAATGGACGCAACGTTTTAAAGAAATAAGGTTGTATTATTTGGAAAAATCTGATTCATAAATTATTTTTTAACTGAACGATTACTCACAAAGATGTGGACGATGTTGAAATATTCAATAAGGGCAAAATGCATAATCCGTGACGATGACGTTTTAGAGTAAGACATGGTGTATGAACCTATTGTTGGTCACCAGCTACCATGGAACCGCATCTCCTGACGTCTCTAAACTGCTTTGTTGATTATACATCTGGTTCAAAGGCTGGATGAGTGGCCCCTAGGAAAACCACTTGCTTCGGTCTGGACACCTGGGTAGTATCACATCCCACACACAAATCAAGTGACTTGTGTGACATATATGTATTCGGTGGCCCCATGTATCAATGTTTATGTGTTCAAATAAATAAATATATAGGGGCAAAACATTGCGTCACAGTCATCCGTCTTATATTTACGGAATTGTCTTTAGTAAATAATATAGGGAGGAAATGACACAACAACAATGTCATGAGCGTTTAGGAATGATTTATTATGACAAAGCACCATATTATTTAAAGTTTACATCAGTACTTCTGGGTATGAATTTGAATTCAGGGATGTCTGTGCGTATGCGTGTATGTTGACGATTATAACACTGATAGTTAACAAAAAATACGTGGTAAATTATATTGAATTTTATCGGTAACAGGTTGTCATGGCAACCATTTTCAAACTTTTATATATATATATATATATATATATATATATATATATATATATATATGGATTATGTTCTGTCGCAAAAGGAAATTGATAAAAGCTTTTTATAAATAATTGTTTTCTATATATCATATTAGCATAATCTCTTTACAGATCATAGATAAAGAATTGCGTCTGTATAGTTAGTGTACGTTGTACAAACAAGTTATTTATTTAATAAATAACTTATACACTGCTCAACAGGATATATATGAGTTAAGCAAAACAAAATACAGTCAGTCAGGAATTAAAAAGAAAACACGTGAAAGCTCACTTCAATTTGATTAAATATGTCCATGTTTTGTTTTTCTTTTTCATTCATTTCCTTGCTGAAATGACCAGAATCATTTCCGGCTTTTAGTTTAAGCAAACTGTGTACATGTTGTCTATTTTTTTCAGCAACAAATGGACAAAATATTTAGTGAATTAGTTTTGTAAAAAATCAGTAGTATCTTCACTATAAACAGGCATCAATTATTATCAATAAAAATTATGGATTACAGTAATATAAACTTATCCCATGTAATGTCAATAATCGTTTTACGTATAGATTCATTGCATTAATTATTGGGTTATCATATTAATTGCTTCTTTAGAGAAATAAAATGTTGTAGTGAAACTATGATTTATCGACGAATCAATCAGATTTAGGATAACAGGTCTTGTATTTTGGCTCGAAATTCATTCATCCATTTGGTTAAATAGCGTTTTGGCATTTTAATTGATGTCAGTTCGTGATGAAAGTCCTAAATCTAATTCCTAACCCTAACCATCAACTGCAAATCATAATCCATACTAACACAGGTTTATAAACCTCGTTTAGCCCTGGTAAGTGAGTGAACATTCCTAAGGTCAATTTAGCGTCGCTCGAAGATCGGCCGTAAATTATAGTCTCACCAATGCTGTTTATCAATTAAAATCAGAAATTATTTTTAAAATCGGTTTTTCAACGTTTACTAGATTCAAGGTCATCAGAAAGTATTAAAAGATGCATTGAAATCTCGTCGTAAAAGTCTCTCGAAATCAATCGATTCTGATGCCACTGGAAATGTTAGTAGCAAATCTGAAGAGACTAGTTTATCTGAACAAGTGGATAGTACAAAAAGTGTAACCGTTCCAGGACTCGACAAGCTTTATTAACTTGGGTTGAACAGTCTTTTCGTTCCCATAAATCGTAAGTTATTATCAGTAATAATAATGAATTGATGTATTTGTTTTTGGTTTTAAGTTCGCCTAAATTTGTCTCTTAACTATGATTTCTACATTTTTTCAAATATTCACGTGTTTGTAAGTTATAGCATTTTGTAGTGAGATCATACATTTGAAAGGTACAGATTAACGTACTAGGATTCAGGTCACATTGTTTGTGCTAATGCAAGTAATACTTCCTATCGCCTATCCAGGTTAAATTGGAAGGACGGGGATGTGAGCTGACAATTAACTAGTTGAAAACCTAGTTCTTTAATCATATAAACAATTGTATGTTTGTAAAATGCATGATTATGACTGAATCATAGTGATGTTATGACGGATAATAAATATACCTACTTTTAAGGCCTCAGATGTATCAGTTTGTAAATAACCTATGAAATCTGTATACCCAAATTATTTGTTATTTAAATGAAGTTTAATCATGTTCGTTTTGTATTGGATGTTCTGTAGATACAAGTATATCATTTTGTTTTATGAAATAATTTATCATATATTACTGATCAATTATTTTATCTTCTGATATGTGTTCTTCATGAGCTTGTTTCACTCATTGATTGGATTTGTAAGTAGTATAATTCTTATTAATCTGTCCATAATCGAGTCAAGCAATCGATCTCACACAAACACTTACTGATTTCTCACTGTCACATATGTATCCTTGTGTGCTACATATATGTCTTCTGTAGTTTGATGTGAATATCAGGAAATGCATTGTTGTTTTCATTCATCACATTGATTATTTTTCTCGTCAGTTTACTACTTTTCATATGTGTTTTCTTCGTGTTGTTTCTTCTTTTATTTCACAAAGAACATTAGAAATTAGAGTTACCGACTTCGGTTCATCTTGGCGTGATGGTAAAGCATTTTGTGCTTTGGTGCATAACATTAATCCAAGTCTTATTGATATGGGTGAAGTTATGCATCGAAAAAATCGTGAGAATTTAGAATTTGCTTTCAACGTAGCTGAACAAAGACTTGGTGTACCAAAATTACTAGATCCTGAAGGTAATTTATTTTCATATTGTGTCAAACCGAATTGTTGTTTTTAAAGATTATAAAAGTTCATACATTACGCTGTAACATACTTATGATTAGTATGGAAGATTTGTGGAGATTGTAGTATTTTCATAGTTGAATGAAGTCATTAATGCACACTTCTATATAGTCCATATATCGTTGTTCATCATTCCTGGATTTCAATACTTCTTTAACTAATATTGTCGTAAACAAGAACTGAGGTGGAGAAGACCAATTCATTATTGAACGCTAAATTACACAGTGATTTCGTGTAAAATATGGAAACAACACATCAAATATATTATTTTCACATCTTCCTTCAGTTGTCCATTACGTGCTTCACGATTCTTTCAATCCTGTTGTAATTACAATCGTTTATTGTTCTCCTTTCTGTTTTATTCAATTCAATCTTTTGCTGCAAGGCATTCCGCTTCTGTTTGGTGTTACATACTACTTAAATCTGCCAACATAAGAAACATACGCCACAATGTTAACTCATTTATTTATTTATTTTAACACATAAATACTGATAAAAAGGGGCACGGAATACATATATGCTCACAAGTCACTTGGTTTGTGTGTGGGATGTGATACTACCCAGGTGTCCAGACCGAAGCAAGTGGTTTTCCTAGGGGCCACTCCCCGAGCCTTTGAACCAGAGGTCTAATCAACAAAGCAGTGTAGAAACGTCGGGAGATGCAGTCCTGTGGAAGCCAGTTACCAATAATAGGTTCATACACCATTTGTTCACTCAGGAGCCCATATGCACCATTGGTTTGGAATCAAGGTTTTGCAACCCTCCTCCCTATCCACCAGCCCGGTTAAGGTGTCGGACGTTCGCTTTTCGTTCTCTCAATTTCGTAAACACCACCCTCTCCGTGAGAAGGTATTTAGTAGGACTTCCCTGGCGGTGGCTGCATATGCGTGGCCATGTAAGACCATTTCGAGAGGGAGAGCTGACTCTCGCCACTCTAGGCCGTACCAGTGAATTTGGGGCATATTAATTCATATTTTAATATATTAACTCATACTGAAAAAATAAACTTTCTCTTGAATTGCACCTTATCGAAAAGTAGATGATTACTGTGATTTTATATTTACAATAACATATTCTCCTTACTTTTATTTATTTAATTCTAGATGTTGACGTGGATAAACCGGATGAACGTTCAATTATAACATATGTAGCACAATTTATTCTAATCGCTAGTTCACATCCACCTAAGGTTGGTTGACTTTTATTTTTTTCTCGAAAAGATTTTCAGTTTATACGAATATTCGTATATATTAGAACGAATTGTTTAACAGAAATTGGGCTCTGAGTATGGAGAAGACATTATATGTGAAGATTATGTTTGAAATAAGTTCAGTGATTGAGATTTAAATAGTTTCAACGCTTCATCCAACAAACTTGTTTGGACTTCTTCAAAATCGAATTTTCATTTTGATTATTGCCTTGAAGAGAGAGGCATCAATAACATAGCCATATTAGTTTTGTTCAGTTGTAGTATCATTATTTGATTTCGTCAAAGGATGAACAAATAGACTGAACATATCTTCTGCATATCTGTGTAAGCTGTATTAACGTCGGCTTTTTTATTTGTTTTTGGGAATTACGGGAAGAAAATTAACAATCTCATATGCTGTCAGAACATATACTTTGTTATGGATTCCCAATAGCTTGAAAATTGCTGAACTTCAAATGGATCAGAACAGCCATCTAAAGGTATTATGCTCAGTGTGAAGCCTTAAGTTACTAAGTTTAACGATGTGTATGTGTGTTTGAGATAATTTATACCTGATCACTACTGACGGGTCTTCATCTATAGTTAAACAATTATTCAGTATTCTCTGATCCTCAATGACATTCTAGCTGATATCAAACAGTGTCAGAAACTTCCTATAAATTGATATGTTCTCTAAAAAATATTTGACCAAACTATATTTTATAGTGATCATTAAAATGCACATGATGTAATGACTTCCGTTGCTCTTTTCTTCAAGAATTATTTTGTTGATTTGTAATTTGCTATCTATTCATATAGAATAGAATACATAAAGTGATCCAAATCAGAAAGTTCTGCAGTTAGTTTTGTCGCATTGTAAGCATCACAAACATTAACACAAAATAAGTTTAAAATAAATCATCAAAAATTATTTTTCTTTACTGCTTGATTCACTATTTAATTTCCTGCTAAGATTAAATCAAGATCTGGTTCACGTCGATCAAGTACTAACAGTTCGGAAAAACTACAATCGCAACAGAAATTAAAAGCAGCAAATATCGACATGAAAACTGAATCTAAAACAGAAAATGAACATCATGCAGCACTTAGATTAGCTTCATTTGAACCTGACCCTGAAATTGACCCTGCATTAATCTTGAATGCATCAACTACTGCTAATTTCCTGGAACGTCGTCGTGCCAGACGAGCAAGTTTAAGTGGTCCACAAACTATGGATGATGAAGCACTACATAATCTAATTTTAGCTACAAGTCCTGTAAGTTCTGGGACTGGTGGTGCTTCTACACCTACAGACGATGCCGCTATTGCATTATCTTCATCAACACCAGGTTATACGCGTACTACTATGTCAGGTTCTCCATCTCCTCCTAGTTATAGTACATCACCACATCGATCTGGTCGTGCACGTTCATATGCTGGATTACGTTTATGTCGAGTAGCTAAAAATGTATCAAAATGTCGTGCAATTGCAAATATTCGTGTAACAGCTGAACCACCTCGAGCTACACGTCATATTGTTCCCGTTCTACATTTAGGTGGAGAGGTGCATATTTATCTAGTATTATTATTGCTTGTTGTTTGTTTTATCACGGTTGCCGTAGAGATACTGCATGATAGCTCACCACTGGAAACTTCATCCTTTTGCTCACACGTTTTCCAAAGTAAAATTGTTGTTCGTGTTAGTTTTTTTTAAAGACTGTACGGAGTATTTAGTTGTAATGGGAGTTTTTACATTTGTTGTTAAACAAATATCGGTGTTCATTTTGTATTGTTCGTTTGAATCTTCCCATTAATGTTTAGGACTGCAATTGATCAGTCTCTTATTGACATATGTGCATACTGTTTGGATTGCCTCGATATTGCTTTAATTCACAGGCTTTATAAGCAAGGATGGATGGTGGCTAGTAGTGGAATCTAGGACGTGCATTTCGTCTTATTGGGACTTGTCAGCTAGACGTGCTTGCATCCCAAAGTTGGTGTTCACTCCGGGACTCAAACACAGTGCCGTTCGCCTCAACGAGTTCCGAATAAGCCGAGACGCACGTCCTAGATTTCACTGCTAGCCATCATATATCCTTGCTTATACATATCGATATTGCAACTACAGTTTAGAGATTTATTAGATTAAATATTTCAAAGAGTAATTTAATTAACCTTCTATGCCTTGTACAGTTCACTTCAGCTATATGTAAATCACCAGAGAAGGCTATTTATTAAATAGCTTATTAAGAAAAAACTGCTATTAATAATAACACTGTTCAATAAAAGGTAAGCTACAACAAGCCAGTTAGTTGTAGTTCCTACTTAGTCTTTTCAGCAGAGAAATCCTGTAAACATCTATGTTGTATATGTTCTTAACTTACAAGGGTTATTGTAGATTTCCTGTCCAGTTAATCGTGTAGTTATCAGCACTTACCTTCTTTTGGTAAAACCAGATATTAACTTAAACTAATTCTTATGTAAAATTTAAATGGTTCCTATAAATCTAGTTTTATTCTTATGAAGTAAAATAAAACTATAGACTTTTGCTCACAATAAGTTCTAATACATTTTAGTATATTTAACATTTTCATTATAAACTCAATTCATTCGAACCTGTAACCTACTTATATATCTCTAATTTATAACACGTTCTTAAATATGTATGAATGCAAGAGCTGATTTAATGATTCTTTTTTGTTTACAAATATATGAAACTTCAGACTTGAATGAAGCGTTTCTTTATTCATTGAATCATCACTGAATCTATGCACATTTACTTATTTTTCAGTCTAAATAAATTATTGTCTACTTTTCATTTTATTATAATTACGTTGTCATTTAAACGTTGTGCTGTTTTTATACCAAACATACAGAGTACATATGTTGTTTACTTGTCATGTATATCTGTACGTGTATTTCCTTTTTTTTCTTGTTTTATTATCTCTGTCCACCTTAATAATTAATTAATTCATCCATTCTCAAGGGTAATGAACAAACAGAAGCGGAAAAAGAACGTGTTCTATTAATTACGATTAAAGAATTAATTGCTCGAGTTCGACATAATCCAATTGAATCACAAGATTTTCTCACTGAATTTGAAGTTAGTTCTATTCATCATAATTTTGTTTAAATCATTAAATTCTATGTAAATATTGTATATTTCAAATTGTTTTCTTTTATGAATATGAAAAAAAGTCATAATTTATGACAATGTTATTTAGTGTAATGTTTGAAATTAAGTGGTAAAATTTTTCAAAATTAGTAGTGTTGTGACAAGTATTCGACTTCCGACTGGTGTTGCATACTACTTGTATCTGTGAACATAAGTAGCATACACCACAGTGGTGGTAAATAGTGATCAGTGGAAAAGTCATTCAAAGTTAAATGGTACAAGACAGGTGTTTCATTGAAATTCGTAAAGTCTTCTACAGTAGTATAAATCTAAGAACTAAATAAAATTAATGTGGTAACTTCTAGTCTTCGAAGTGAAACAGGTACTCTTTAATGACATTGAATAAAGAACGGACTATATTAAAAAATCGTTTATAGTTGAATATGTCAACTGCTGAATTCGATTTGACAGTATAGTATTATCAGAATCTCTTAATGATTCTTATATCCTAGATTTTATATAGTTTTTAATTGTTGGTGTGTATTGTGGAAGAGTTCGAAACTTGAACGAAATAAGTATTTAATATAACCGACTTTGTAATGGTTCTTCAAATGACATCTATTTGTGGTGAACATTAACTTTAAATTTATGTGTGTCTTCATAGATCATTTGATTCAATGAAAATGCCAGTATGAGGTTGTGGAGATTGTTTAATTTCGATTGAGATCACTAATCAATCGATCAATGTTAGTCCACCATTGAAAACCTGGGACCACTGTACGGCCGTTTTGTATTAGTATAGGGCCCCTCAGTAGTGCGCATCCACGATCCCGCACACGGGATTCAAACACAAGACCTTTGGTCTCGCGCGCGAATGCTTAACCTGTAGTTCAATGAGCTGGCATCCAACAGTGTTAATATCTAACTTCAGCCACTCCACAATATTCCGCGACCATACTATGACGAAATGGCCGTCCAGTGCTTCCAGGTTTTCAATGGTGTTCTAACATTGATTGATTTATAATTTCGATCAGTAAACATAGTCTAATGGAGTTCTTACAGCTATTTTTGTTGTTTTAGTCTTCTTAAATCAACAATAGGGTTTAATATCAATTCATCATGAAATAATTTCACAATGGATTTTATCGATTTCTCACTTAAATTCAGAAATAATCATTCTTTCGAGTAAAATTTTTTTCTAAAGACTGCTGATCATGTCAGTGATTATTTTCATGCCTAAATCATAAATTTTCTTAATTGTTGACTGTGAATTGTACGTAGAGAATCATTTATTCATCATATTTAATGTCAGATTTTGTTGGATGCTTTTGGTGAATTCGTTGAAATTTGCAGTTATTAACTTTTTATGGTGATTGTTATTATATGTCTAACTTTTCATACATTTCAATACGTATCTTGGACATCTACAGGAACCTTCAAAAGAATAAGAATGACAGTTTCTATAAAAAGATCCATTGCATGATGTTTTTTAGTGGATTACTATTGATTAAAATCATTAGACCTTACATGATATAAGTCGAAATCATCTCAACACATAAAATGATCAAATAAACTTAAACATCGAAACCTCAGAACTCATGTACAATGCCAACTGAAAGAAACCAACAAGAATAACTTCATAGGTTATTAGAAACTCACTACTTCATGTCTAACTCTTCTTATTTGAAAATTTAACATAATAAGAATTCAAGATCTTTCCCAAAAAATATTTAATGAGGGTTGACAAACAACCAGATTAAAGAATTAACAACAAATTAATATTATAACTAGATTGAAACCTCTTCACAGACAGTGATTATAACAGTTTCAACTTTGAGTTACTTCGTTTCAGGTTGAAATTTCACTTTAACAACTTAAGGTTTGACAGATCAGATAGTATCACTTAAACCTAGACTTAAAGTGTGACTTGAAATCGTGTATAATGAATTTGTAACTCGTAATGAATTAATAATATGGCACTCAATTATAACTGTAATATTCAGCAAGCTACAATTTATCGAAATAATACTAGTTAATTAAAATTCTTTGTGAGAAATGTGTTTTACGTTTTGTATGATCCATTCAGATTATTATTATTATTATTATTATTATTATTATTATCATTATCATTATTATTACTATGGTCATGATCATACAGAGTTTTCTCCAAGCTCAACTTGAACATGAAAATATGGCTGCTTATATTCGTGAACTTGATGATAGAAGACGTCAAGGCTTATTACTTGGCCTAAGACCAGAGGAATTAGAACGTGCTGAAGCTGAATGGAGCCGAGTGAAACCTGAACTTGATGAATGGCGTTGGCGTTTAGATAATGTATTACCAGGTGAATGGCGTCAAGTTGGTCAATGGTTGTCAAAATTAGAAAAATGTCTAATAACTGATGCATTGATAGCTTCACAACTTGGTCTGGAATTAGCTCCAGAAGCGAAAAATTTGACTCATGAAGAACGTGCAACACGACTTCGAAATTGCTTAAACGAACATGAAGTATGTCACTATATATGGATATATCTTTTGTATGTTAATTGGTTACCATATACCTTTTTTAAATCAGGATTTGATTTTTTTAAAGAATATTCTTTTCTCAGATAACTGTTATTCTTTGATATTCATCTTGAAGAGAATTCAGTAATTGTTTGTACTTTAAAAACGTTCTTGTTGTCTGATCAGTTATACTATGAGACTATTTTCGACTGATGATTCTCATCTGAGATAGATAATTCTGATATATCTTTAATTATCGTATAAACATGAATAATTATGAATTGTCATTACCAAGCTTGATTGCTTTTAAAATAAAGTTACGAAAATAATTAATTACTTTTAAAGTCACCGAAAGTGACCGAAGTTATTGACAGTATTTCCAGTATTCAACGAGTGTTTCTTGCTTAGCACTTTCTCACATTATTATGCTTATTCAGTGGATGATTAGTGCTGCATACTGAAGTATAGTTTTTGTTAAAGATTTTATTCAAAGCCCTTACTTTTACCAGGTTTGTGTTTTTCATTTGACATGTTGTGTTGCAATTAACTGAATATTTTTAAGGGAAACAAGTGAAGAAAACCCCAGCCACTTAAAATGCAATTTTATGCATAAATGCACTGATAAACTTCACTTATCCACTTAATAAATAGAAAAGTGATAGGAAATACAAAATACTACATTTAGTGAACATTGAGTAATGTTTTGAATGACCTCAGCATCTGAAATTACTGCTAAGGATTTTACTTAATAAGATACTATAAATTTCATTTCAAAAATACAAAACATTTCTGTCTAATAAAGAATTGGTTTGTGTTTATCAACTGTAATATACACAAACACCTGAAGTTTGTGCTGATGTTGTTCAGAAAAACAATCAAAGCTCCACGACCAAATCATCCAGCTCAGTGAGTAAAACTCCACTTAGATCATTCATCTCAGCTACCAATCTTCTCCACCATCTCAAAACTGGAATCATACATCTAAAGTTTATACAAAATATTCATAGGTTTAATATACATAATATTACTGTCACGCATAAGAGTCGTCTTCACGGACGTGGTCATATCATGTAGATAACAATAAATGAATAGTTGAGATCATGAGTCAATTAAAGCTAGACCACCATGGAAAACCTGGAAGCACTGGACAGCTGTTTCGTCCTATTGTGGGACGCCTCAGCAACATATGCTCACTAGTGACTGGCTTCAAGAGATATATCCTGGAGTTCTAGTAAGAAGCAGTGACCAGTGGAGTTCAACCGGGTCAGTTGTGAGTTAGTAACTCACTGATGACAATGGTGGATGTGTCGCTCAATTTCTTGGATTAGTTGAAGTTAGACATTAACACCGTTGGATGCCGGCTCAGTGGTCTAGTTGGTTAAGCACCTGGCGCGGGACTGGTGGGTCCTGGGTTCGAGTCCCGCAAGGCGGGGTCCCACAATGGGACGAAACGGCTGTCCAGTCCTTCCAGGTTTCCCATGGTGATCTAGCTTCAATTGACTCATGATCTCAATTATTGAAATTACTACAATCTCCAGAAAACCCCTTCTGATACTAATAAATGAATATCTTTCATAATGAATTCAACAAAATGTTATGATTGTTCTTCATTTGGTTTCTCATTATTTCAGGATATTTTCAATAATATTGAAGATTTAAATCATTTAATTAATAAATTAAGTGAAGAAAATGAAAAATTAAATGAAATCGCTGAAAATGCTACAACATCAGATGTATTAACTACATTACCAACTCGTTTACCACAAATTATTGTTGATTCATTGAAATCTCGTTTTATCACAGCTTATTTAAATGGTCAATTAACTAAACGACGTTTAGAACGTTTAGTGTTACGTTGGGACTTAACACATAAAATAACTATAATACGTGAACATTTAATTAATTGGCAAACAATTAAATGTAAAGAGACATCTGAAGTAGATTTACATATTAATGAAATTAAAGTAAGCTATCATTTTATTTATAAATTAATACTATTCTAATCTAGTTTAAATCATAAACTAATTGCTATTGGGTAACCTATTGAAAACTTAAGAAACAGTGAATGATTATTTGATAATCTAACTGTGATCAATCTGTAATGCTAAATGATCTTCAAGGTGAACAGTTTTCATTAATCTAATCTAAGTATTAATCTGATTGTATATCAGTTTCAAATGTTTCTATAAGATGGAACTTCGGGTTGTATGATGCCACTTCTTTTTATCAAAACATTTTTTTCTTAATAATTGGTTAGTTTCAGAGGGAAATATAAGGTTCTGTTGAGTAATTTGTTAAAAGCATATCGTTGAGATATGCATAATTAAGAAGTTTTCTACAAAATTTGTATCATTTGCATATAGACCTCTTATATCGTGTGTCTTGTAAACGTAACATAAACCTAGATCTCTCATCGAGTTTGTTTCAACCTATCTATCCTTATCTAATGCTGTAACTCTGTCTGCCTCTCTTTGAACTCCGGTTTATGTGCAGGATAAAGAGATATTAATTCTACAAGGCTCCAACTGAAGTAAATTAAGCTGGGTTTACCCCTACGATAGAATTTAATACGTTGACCACATAAATATCTCTCTGATACTCTATAGAATAAATAACAATAGTCATCTAATCCAAACTATTTAGATTCAAGCAAACGAAATTCATCAAGTTTATTTGGCAAATATAATTGTAATATTTTAGGTTTTGCTCTGTGTTCAGTTAGTCAATTCCTGAGTATTTGGAATCGACGAATTCATCGGTTTTGTTTTAACGATCATATTATATCACAAACCGTAAAACAAATCACATTTCTTAACCCATTGAGAATGGTGATATCCTAGGTCAAACTTAAAAAAAAAACGATTTGTAGTTTGGTCAATGGAAATGCATAGATTATTTTTTTTAGCCTGATCAGTATTATGCGTGAAATAAAACTGCTGTATTGCACAATCAAGATCATTGGTATTTGTCTGGGTATCGTCTTTATCATTCATCCTACACTTTTCTTTTACACTGCTTACTCTCCTACTTATTATTATCATTATTATTGAAGTGAAATCAAAGTAGCAGAACCAGACAACATTCCTGCAGAGGCACTGAAAGCAGACGTAGTGGCAACTGCAAGGATACTCCACATTCTCTTCAATAAGATTTGGGATGAGGAACAAGTACCAAAAGACTGGAAAGAAGGACTTCTGATCAAAATACCGAAGAAAGGCGATCTCAGCAAGTGTGGTAACTACAGGGGCATCACTCTTCTCTCAATGCCGGGAAAAGTCTTCAACAGGATATTGTTAAACAGGATAAAGGACTGCATAGACGCCCAACTTCAAGACCAACAGGCAGGATTCCGTAAGGATAGATCGTGTACACACTAAATCGCAACTCTAAGAATCATTGTGGAACAATCAATTGAATGGAATTCATCACTCTACATCAACTCCATTGACTACGAAAAGGCATTTGATAGCGTGGACATAACAACACTATGGAAACTTCTTCGACACTACGGCGTGCCTCAGAAGATAGTCAATATCATACAGAGTTCATATGATGGATTACACTGCAAAATCGTGCATGGAGGACAGTTGACAAAGTCGTTCGAAGTGAATACCGGTGTCAGGCAAGGTTGCTTACTCTCACCCTTTCTCTTTCTCCTGGTAATCGACTGAATTATGAAGACGTCAACATCTGAAGTGAAACACGGGATACAGTGGTCAGCTACGATGCAGCTGGACGATCTAGATTTCACGGATGATCTGGAGCTCCTATCCCAAACGCAACAACAAATGTAGGAGAAGACGACCAGTGTGGCAGCAGCCTCAGCAGCAGTAGGTCTCAATATACACAAAGGGAAAAGCAGGATTCTCCGATACAACATAAAATGCAGCAATCCAATCACAATTGACGGAGAAGATTTGGAAGATGTAAAAACCTTTACATATTTGGGCAGCATCATTGATGAACATGGTGGATCTGATGCAGATATGAAAGCGCGGATTGGTAGAGCAAGAGCAGCATATCCACCACTGAAGAACATCTGTAACTCAAAGCAACTGTCAACTGACACCAAGGTCAGAACTTTCAATACAAATATCAAGACAGTTCTACTATATGTGGCGGAAACCTGGAGAACTACGAAAGCCATCATCCAGAAAATACAGGTGTTTATTAACAGTTGTCTACGCAAAATACTTCTGATCCGTTGGGCGGACACTATTAGCAACAACGTACTGTGGGAGAGAACAAACCAGATCCCAGTGGAGGAAGAAATCAGGAAGAAGTGCTGGAAGTGGATAGGACACACATTGAGGAAAGCACCCAACCGCGTCACAAGACAAGCCCTCACATGGCATCCTGAATGCCAAAGGAGAAGAGGAATACCAAAGAACACATCACGCCGGGAAATGGAGATAGACATGAGGAGAATGAACAGGAATTGGATGGAACTAGAAAAGAAGGCCCAGGACAGAGTGGGTTGGAGAATGCTGGTTGGCGGCCTATGCTCGATTGGGAGTAACAGGCGTAAGTAAGTAAGTAAGTAAGAAATCAAACATGGACAGAGACAACGGAGTTGTCAGAACACTTCAGGTCTTCCATATTCTTCATGAAATTTATCACGAATGTATGTTTATTGCATCAACTACTTAACACACTCAAGCTAAACGTCACCTGGATATTATCAACTTAATTGTAAGTACCCAGGGTCAGTAAGCGGTTGACATTGTTATCTATACTACTTATGATTCTACAAGAATACAATCAAGGCAATCATTTGTATATATCGAGATGTTCCATCTGGCTATAAATGGTTTATTAAGAAAAATCCATAGACTTTAATTACCCCAAATAATGAAATTTTAGAGAAATCTGTCGAGAAACTAAACTTAATTTATGTATAGCACACAAATTACGATGTATTGTGTAGTTTTATATTTAGTAATTAACACAGTTTTTGATTCGCCTATGGTGTTGAACAGATTTTACTCAATATCGTCAGTTTATGGAAGCTAAATATGTATACTACTGGATGCCATCTCAGTGTTACGAAGCTTAACTCTTCGCCCAGAGACCTCTGTCCAATACTTAGTTTTAATTGTTATCATATTCTATCAACAATGTAAACGATGATATCCAACTATCTCCACAAACCTTCTTTTAGTAACAATTCAATTTATTATCCACCAATTGTTGAGTCTAGTAACACTGGTTGTATTTACTTATTTTTATCCCTTTATCAAAAGGATTATCTATCATCCATGAATATACCTGAAGATATGGATAATGGCTTGGATAAGCTTAAAGAATTAGCATTAGAACGCGATGATATTGCGTGTCAAATTGCTGAACAACGTGAAAAATTGGAAGCCAATGCAAAATTATCAGGTCCTACAGTAAATCAACAAGCTTCCGTTAGTACCGGTGGTGGAGCATTCATTTTAACTGACTATGCTGAAACTGAACGAAAAGAAACTAATTTCTTTTTAACTTCACTTAATACACGTTGGAAAGATACATGGTCGGATCTATTGAATATACAAACACATTTAGGCGAACTTTCTGTTAAATGGAATCTATACGAAACGGTTTGTTTTTTTTCCTTTCTAAAAAGTATTGTTTTTATTGGTTATTTATTTTAAAGCAGCATTATGTTTGATATCAGTCGACCTCATTTCATGTTCACTCGGAGATATACGTCAAATAGGATCATTGATTGTTGGGTCACGCAATGATGAGTTTATTCTATACCAAACAATAGTAATGGCCTTCACTTTACTGATTGTACTTTTTTTCAAGTGATGTTTGACGTACTGATATTGATGACGTTGGTTGGAATTTAAGGTATAGACACAGACTAATATCAACGAGGTTGAACTTGTCAGTTGTTTTACTTGATTATGAAAGTCCACACTAAAAAAAACCTATGACCTCACTACGAGTTGATCAATATGTGAAACGACATCCTATGGCATTTGGTGAACCACGAGCAAGTTGGCTATTACAGTTACTTACTTTGAGATGAGTTCCTGAAGTTCTAGTAGGAATCCATAACCTGTGAAGTTCAGATATGCACAAAGTGTAGCAGTTGTCGCCAATGGGATTGAAGGATCTCTCCACTATGTCGTAACTTAATTGAAGTTGAAATTACATCGCCAGACTCCTATCCAGTGGTTTTGATTTTTAAGTGTTCTCTATGAGAGCTGAAATTCAACTTTGTTCCTTTGAGGAGGAGGCTATCAGTGTACGTTGCTTGAGTGTCTCATATTAGGACGAGACAGCTATTTTCCATAATTATATATATTTACCACTACTCTTGCGCTGATTATAGATTTGGGATGGTGGAAATTAATTCAGCAGATTGAGTACTTTAAAATACAATAGCACACAGGGGATTGGTTTTTCGCTAGTAATGTAAAACTTAATTAGTGCCATCATTCTGACCGTTTATTGTTCATGATTTGCTTTTCATGTTGATTCCTCTACCTGTCTCTCTTTGTTCCACTAAACATTGACCGGAGTTGAACTGACTCAGTATTTATCGTATTTTGTTCAAATAACTATGGTCAGTCATTTAATAAGCAAGGTAGTTTAGTCAATATCAATCCATTTAATGTATAGAACAGTTTACTTTCATTCTAAAATTTATCTTTATTTTAAAATTTTTTTTCTTATTTCTTCTTTTCTACATTTTATTCTTAATAAAAGGAAAAATTACATCTAAGCAACTGGTTAACAGAAGTGAGAAAACTACTTGCCGATGAGAGTACGAGTGCTGAAGAACGTGAAAAATTATATAGTGATTTAAAAGAATGGCGTACACGTGTATCAGCTTTAAATGATCTTGGACATGAATTAATGCATAGCTGTGATATGACAGCATCATCTATTTTAGATAATGAATTGAAGAATATTAATAAAAATTGGACTGAAGTTACTACTGAAGTAAGTGCTATTATAATGCGGTGTCGTATTGTATGGATAGTGGCTAGCATTGGAATCCAGGACGCGCGTTTCGTCCTGTTTGGGACTCGTCAGCTGGATGTACCTGCATCTCAGAGTTAATGTTCACTCTGGGACTCGAACTCAGTACCATTCGCTTCAAACGCCATCGCGTTATCCCTGGTCCACCAGTGTGCTTGGTAACTGTGTGGTTGCGCCACAGGATTGAGCTGTACTATTCAGATTGTAGCGTTAAAGCCTATACGGTGTCTGGTTCCTCTGCTAAACGGGGTTGAGCTGTACTGTTTGGGTTTTTACGTGAAAGTCCGGATGGTGTCTGGTTCTCCTGAAAACCAATGTAAAATTACCCTGGCCCACAAGGGTATATTATATTTATATAACTGTCGTATTGTATGTATCCAAGTAGGTAGATCGGCACTTACGTATGTCGGTAAAATGTTTTCTTGTTTGTTCGTTTCCAAACATGACTGTGTTGATGATTTACCAGGTTGATTTAAAGTAAGAACTACCTAGAGCGAAAACATTCAATAGATTTAAGTTAAGAAAATGGGTTAAAACCATACTAAATGAATGGCTTCAAGTGATCAATCAAAATTAAGATAGCCAATGTTAAACATTAGCGCGAATTTAAAAGGCTATTGCGTTCAGCTTGTTGCTGGAGTTTGGGTTAGGTGTATTAGTGTTACGAGGATTCATATTAAGAGTTAAGATTTATCTGGGTTAATCGGCACTATGATTTCCAGCCAAATTTATTGATTATTAACATTATGAGGTTTATTAATCCTGTTAAAACTCTTAGTCCTACCTAGTTTCATCATTTTTGTGTATCTTAGACCTCCGATTAGTCAGCTTCAAGGTCACTCTTAAAACTTCTAAAGGCTGTCAGTATAGTATAGATTTATCGAGAGAGTTTAATAATCAGTTATCATTATTATATTAGACTTAGCGTAAATAATTAATCAGTCCAATTTGTCCTATTGACATTACAAGTGAGTAAATTGACAAGCAAAGGAAAGGAACTAATTCCGGCTTCATTGGAAATCAGTAACATATAGAATACTATTGGAATGGAATAAATCCAACCAAAAGACTAAAAGTTTGTGGTTTTACTACCAACCTAACCGTAATTTAGCGACAGTAGCGCTCTTTACAATGATGATCTTTAATTCTAGCAATGACAGCTTTCTACAGATTTAGGTTTGAATCGAACACTACTTAGAATAACACAACCTACCTCATCTCACAGATTATTGGTGCTAGTGGTAACATTTAAAATATGTGTCGAACCAATATTACAAAGGTAAGAGCTAGTATGCATTGAAAAGCTACGTAAATTCGAATAGTTTCCCCTTGGTTTTTCTTGGTTGTGAGGGTTTTTGATGGCTACACGTAACAGTGGCTCTGTTTCTCTGTTCCTCCACGTAGAAATAACTATACACACACGATAACATTAATCACAAACACACAGATGAAGAACTTTCTGTTAACAATAAGAAAGATGCATTTTTCACGGCCAAAGTTTTTGGCTTATCATTATAAAAAGAGGCCACCTTCAAGTAGTATATATATGAGCACGGTTTTACTTTGAATTAAATAAAAGTGTTAACAACTTTTGTGCTTGAACGTGTTATAACGCTCGGTTTTACTTCATCTAATGTTATAACGGTTGGGTTTCTACGTTTACACGTATGGGACGTTAATTTACCTTAGACGAATATCTACACTAGATTCCGTTCCAGTGTCTATTCTACAGGACTTCAACACAACTCAAATCAAGAACACGTGATTAGCCTGACCATAACGTGAATATATTTCCACACCGAAACCAGACACAATCCAACAACAATGAACAATCAATAATAAGTGAGTATAATAGTAATAAGGATAGGGGAATATATACCTCATCTGACACCTGTCAGAATGTCTACATGTCTGAATTAGCAGACAACTAATCATTATCATTCTCGTCTACACATCAGAACGTTATTTAATAGAATTCTACCATTTCGTTAAGATTACTAATGATCGATATCATTTGCTGAGTATGTACACACATTTTACTGCACAAAATGTCGATGGAAATGTAAAGCACAATATAAATGTTGTAACTAAATGGTCGACTGTTATATCGACGTCACCACTGTTGTATCTGATATCGTCAACAGGTTATATTTAATGAGTCTTCACTGTTATGTCCAGATGGGCTCTGTTGAGTCCTCAGCATTATTGCTTTTATTTGACAATTGGGAACCACTTCAGTCCCTCGATCTTATTGCTTATACTGGTAAAAGAGAAATACTGTAATTCCCACAATACAGAATGAGAAAAATATGGTATAAAAGATAAAAAACGAACTGAAGAGCGATGTCTATGAAAGAATACCATAACACATGGTCTGTAGAAGATTAAGAATGAATGCATCTGTTTCGTTGTGATCGATTCTAAGCTCCATGTTAACCAACGTCTTCAACCACTGATTATGGGATGTTTGTATGAAATGTTTTACAACCTATTGTGTACAGTTCACATGAAGTAATCCACTTTGGACAAAAAGCGAGAAAAAGTTATACTCCATTGTCTTCATTAATTACAGTACAATATCATCACATTTTTAAGTAAGTGGGAGGATTTGGAAATAAGTTGAAATATAGACAGTTTAAACAAGGTACTTAATCGATTATTGTCATCTAACTAGGTACAGGATTTCCTGTCTACAATAAATTCATAGATTACTTTCTGTTATGTTTTAATGCATTTAAGTGTCCGATTTCCCATAGGTATGGATTTATATCTTTCAATAAAATTTAAGAATAAAATATTAAGAATTATACGAGGATAGATCAGAAGTAGTACTCCTCTTTTTTGATAATGAATATAGATGTAGAGCCAAGCACATATCTGTGGCCTCATTTTTTAGCCTACATTTTTTAGTGTCCGGTTGCACAAACCAAAGTAGGTGGCACCTTCAACCTAGTAGAGGTTGAAAATCAAATGCTTTAACGATTGAATTGCCACTCTTAATACAGATATAACATATATTGATAAGTGTGCATGTATATCTGAATTGCTGAATGCGAAAGCCGTGATTTTATTATAACCGCTGGTGGTGTAAATACCAATAGGCAAGAAACCTGGGTGGTTTTGTCATATTTTTTAAACATGAAATTATCTTTATGAATACGTCTTTAATATATATGAATGCATTACAAATAACTAATTGCAAATCACATGTTATTAAATGTTTATGGTTTTCTTAACTTGCAATCACGCTGGGCTTTAGGTTTCAACAGTATATCACTTTGAGTTGAGTGACTATGTATTATCACTACGTGTTGTAGTTAAAACGTGCTTGGGAGCCAGGTACATTAATCTATACTTTTAAGTAGTTTATTGGTTTTTTTTCCACAGTGAAATGTTTGGCAATATTTAAGTTTGATCTATGGTATATCTCGCTGTGGACACATTATTCACATACTAACTGATCACCCAAGAACAATAATCAATATCATATTCCACTCTGACTGGTATTATAAACATGGTTGGATATCTTAGTGTACTTTGCTTAGTGAATCTTAGTGTCACACACTCTGATTCAGATATCGAACCAGCGATTATTAAGCAGATAAAACCACAGTGGATGTATATTACGACAAAATCCAAAGGGTATGGGGAAAAATATATCACACTGTAGACAGCTTTTGAGTTCGTGGATGCTGACTCTTGAGGAACCCCATAGTAGTACAAAACAATCAGCTGTCATGCGCTTCATTGTTTCCACTACTTGTCTAAGGTCAGTCGGTGATCTAAACTATGTAATAGATAAATCTACCTATCAATAGTTTGACTAATCACGACTTACCTTCAATAGGAAGCCAGCCATTTAAATCAATACTTTGCACTGATTAACGCTTATTACGACTCGAATAATTTTATGCAGAACCTTGTTATTACTGCAAGACTATATCAAAAAGTTAGTTAACTAACAATTCGTTTTATATGTTTATTTGATTTGAAGAAAAAACTGAAATCTCATAGCATAGTTATTCTATTTTATCTATACATTTGATTAGTTTTTCCATTCGTATGAGGCCTAGTTTTTCATGTTAACTATGTAAGTCTACTACAGATTTGTATTATTGGAAATTACACATTTCGACCTACTTGGGAACCATTAGATAAATATATATCTAGCTTCAAATGCTGATGTTCACAGTGGAGGCACAAAACCAGAATTAATCAGTACAAATACCATCGTGTTATCCTGAACCAGATGAAACGGTCGTCCTGGACTCTGTTGCTAGTTACAATTCAAATATAATGAGAACTTGTGACTGGAAGGAATAGTCAGGGCAATCTGCGTAGGATGCACATTTCTGAATTGAAACTGATCTATTCTCAGTCCTTAGTATCAACAACTAAAGAATGCAAAACCTTTGAGATAATTACGTACAAGTATTTTACTTTCAAAATCAATGTATGTCTTGGTGTTTTTCACTTAAATTGATTATATCAGGTTCTTTTTCGTAACAAAAGTTAGTTTCTCAACGTTCATTGTATATATGTGTGGATCATCATATCGAGGTGTAAATAATTTTACTTTATTAAAATCTTTTTTCCTCAATAGGTTATCAAATTTGTCGATTTAGATCATGCTGAAGAATTAAAAAATCGTAATTCTGAAGCTATGCTTCGATTGAATGCATTCATCAAATCAACTGAACTTTTATTGGTCTCTGATTTTGTTCTACCAGAGACTACTGATTTAGATCAAGCTCATTCAGCTACAGCTAATTATCGTCAACAGTTAGAAGAAGCTCGTAAACAATTACTTGAAAAAGCTCGAAGTGATTATTTGGTTAGTGTGAATTAATTTATAATTTAATTTATAAAATCTTTTCCTAACAAGAGTATTCGTTTAATAGTTATATAGTGGTACATTTTTACATCTAATCGTCACCAAGTAGCACTCTAGATCGTCTGACAATAAAACAACAATGGCTTCTTTTCTTTACCCACAGTAATAAATTTTGAGGGTATGACCAATAACGTAAAAAAATATAGTGAGTGGTTTTTGTGTTATTGAAATATGTGCGTGATATGGTCGAGGTGATCACTTTCATTCACTTAAATATGTATGAAGATATAACATGCTGAGAAATAAATTCTCCCTGACTGTAATTGCGTTCGAATTCGAATGTAAACAAGTGATGGCGTGATTACTAGGGCTCACTGTTATTAGAATGATAATCATCACACAAACTATTGGCTTTTATATTAAACTTTAAGTAATAATCTCTGGCTATATCGTTTTTAAAATTCTCAGTATTATTTGACAACTGATTTGAGGATTGCAAAGTGGTGAGGTGTGAAAAACTGTCCACTAATGTAGGGGCGGCTAGGAATGATAAATTTAAACCACAGCTGTTTTAATGTTGTTATTCCAATCGACAATAATTTGCAATTACAGTATCCTGTACCAAACAAATCCCAAGACTTAACAAACTGTACCTGATGATGAAGTTATTGTAAACAAGTTTCCGTCCAATTATTTCGTGTTTTTAAAAATAATACTTGATTCAGATTGTCACATGATCAGTGCTTTAATTTTATGGATACTTGAAATTTCTAGATATTAGAAAAAGAATTGTTAGTAATATTTCATTTGGAATACATATATCATTGATATTTTCATATACAACACAAATAGAATATCATATTTCCTACTTAATAAATGGTTCCGATTTTCTTGTGTGCATTAATAGGAAGCTTTAAAAGCTGCTGAAGAACTAATGTCAGCTGCTAAAGCTGGTCAAGCAGATATGGAACAAGCTGAAGCTGTTATGGCAGCGGTTCGTGCTGCTGGTGAAAAATTAGATCGATTAGCTAATCATTCTGTTCAAGCAAGATTAGATGAAGTTGAAGCAGCAACTAAGAAAGCTGTAGAATTAGCTCTTCAACTAGCTCCAATTAATGATTGGGCTCAAGATAGTGAAGTTTCGACGGAAATATTAAATTCTGGGTCGATTGAAACTAATCTCGATTTAACTAATTTAACAACAGAAGAAGCTATGTCAAAGTTGAAGGTAATTTGTTTTTTAATTTATAGCTGTTAAGTTTTCAACTTTAAATTACGCATGACTGTTCAAATCTTACTTAATGTCAGGTGTATTTTTGCAATTTTTAAAACTCATTCGTTTAATTTGGATTGATATTATGAATGGATCAACGTTAGATCGCCATTGAAAACCTGGGAGCACTGGACGGCCGTTTCGTCCCAGCATGAGAATCCTCAGCACTGTTCATCCAAGACCCCATACACGGGGCTCGAACATTTTTATATTGTAATATAAAGTGAACAACAATAAGGATGTTATTTAACCACAAATGAACATCAGCTTAAAACGTGTTGTAGACGTTTTCTAAAGATTCGTGATTGTCTTTAATATTCCATGTGGGGCATCGTTATGTTAAAGAAAATTCCTTCGAAGAGTTAATCACAACTGGAGAGTAATAAACTGTTCTCTTTATATTTCTTTCATCTTAAACTAGATTTTATTTCTCTTACTATCGTGTAGGGTCATTTCACAGCCTTAGAAGAGCATGAAAAAGCTTTACTTGAAGCTGAGAAACGATTGAATGATTTAAAGGAATCTGGTCTGCAACATATTGATATTAGTCAATTGGAATTAGCTACTGCGGAAGCTCGTCGTAAAGTCGAAGTGAGTTTGATGCTTTGTTCTCGTCAGATATTTTGTTAGAATTATTACTTTTTTTTTACTTATCATAACGATGAGATGAACTGAATTTTCACCTATTCTATGTAGTTAATTTGTTTAGCAATGCTTTGTTTAGAAGTTTTATTTTGGAACACCTGACGTTGAATTCATCAATTTCAAATAGAGAACAACTTCATCGTCTTGTACTGTAAGCAATTTCAAGCTATTGCAATGGTCAACCTTTAATCTATTCTGTTCTTGGAAATACAATTCAAAAATGGTGTTAATTGTGAGATATTGACACAAAAATTAAGATATTCATTACAAAAATAGTTCACTGTAGTGAAGCTGAATTCAGTCAATAATTAGAATTGCAAAAACAAACTGCTTAAATTCGCTAACTTTATGTGCGTTTATCAATTCAACAGCCCTCATAAAGCTAATTACATAGGGTTTACAATTCCGCTGGAGGGTTATAATATAATCAGACATTATATATTTAGAAGGCGGAGAAGAAGAAGGAGAGCAGCAGTGAATTAATTTTGTGCCTCCACTTTTGATTTCTAGCTTCAATTTAGATTCCATCGATGCTACTGACATGACATTTGTGTCCAATTCAAACTAAATAGCTAATAATTTTAAATTGATCAATAGTTGTATCTTTTTTTTGGCCTAAGTGTAGTTTACCAATGAAACATATTTATGTTCTAAACTTTGAGTTACACTTATTGATTATTACCATCAACTGCTTAACTATGCACCAATTTCCCTACCTCCTTCGCAAATCCATTGAATTGGAAAAGCTTTTATAGAGTTTTCAATAACTGTGCTCTCATTTACCTTCTTACTCTTTCATAAAATTTATATGATTTCAAAACAGTATAATCAATTCCTTTACAATTAATTTCATATTTCCGATATTATTATTATTATTTTTATTAGTAGTAGTACTAGGGGGTAGTATCATTAGTTCCATTTGTCCTTCTGTGTTTCCCTCTTAAGTTTAATTTGTAGACGGTTGATTAACTTAGATGATATTTACGACCATCAATCGACTACTGCTTGTTGACAGCTTAAGTAGAAAATTAAATAAGTAAATCATAATTGTAATTTAATTCTCTTTCCTTAATTTGCTTTTTTATTTGTGATTGGAAGATAAAAACTAGTTTGTAAATAGAAAGTTGAATATTGTTACTGGTATTATTTTTTATTAAGTAAATGTCCACGAAGTTGGAGATGAATAGAAATGGGTATGTAGACGTTACATCGAACAGGATGGATTGTTCCTAACATTGGAATACAGGACACGCATTTTGCCTTATTTTGAGACTCTTCAATTGGATGCGCCGGAATATTAGTATTTTTGTATACGTTTCAACGTAATCCGTACTAATAATTATATCGGATCGAATGTTACCAACCATCGCCATTAAAAATTGACATAAACACCACGCCTGTTGCGCAAGCTTGTGGCTGTCAGTAGTAGCTCAGTGGATGACATGGTAGTGCTTGAAGCGAATAGCACTGCATTTGAGTTTAAAATATGAACATCAACACTGGTATGCAGGTACATCGAACTGAAAAATCCTAGATATAGTGAAAATTCCCATTTTGCCATTTGGTAAATAAAGAAGGAACGAATTGAGCGAAGAAATTTCTTTTCAATTAGTTTTTCATCATGGCTCTACACTAATATATATATACGTTTTACAATAATAATATAATACTCATCGAATGGATACGTTACGCAAAAATTACATAATGACATTTAAATTAACATTGATTAATTGGAAGAAAGAGGATTATTAATATTCAAAGTGATCAAGAAGTTGCTAAGTTGCGTAATGTAAGAAACAAAGAAGGAACAGAATTTTAACGGATGGTCAATAGGATGGTAGTTACGTAAGAATCAAGAGATGAATGTTGAGACGTTATTAAGTTCAAAAGCAACAGAAATAAAATTACAAAAGTTAAAAAAAAAACAAATGGAAGAAGTATGAAAAATAGTTCTTTTGAAGGAAATCTTAAACTGATGGCCAGGGCAGGGAAAGTGGTTGTACGAATCTCTTTTGAATGCAAAGGTCAGGTTTGTGAACATCGATTGCGATGGCTTCCGTAATGTGCAAGAGGCGCACTCGTAAACCATGTGGCAAATTAGATGGGATATTGTAGATAACCTTAAAAGCTTTGTTCAATTCGACTTGATGACCTGTGTCAACCAAGTGCGAGAGAATAGAACTTTTAATCACTTTTACCTGTCCTTTGTTTAACCACGACGGATGATGTTCAGTAATGCGATGACGGACTTGTACCAACCAAGTGTACAAGCGTACAATTCGGCATGTATCCCAGAATCCACTTTTAGCCACAATCCATTTATGTCAAAAACAACTCATCATCATAAATGTCCTGTCGCTCCCCGACCGTCGTTGCTACCTTGACGTGGTGGTCGGGCTTGCCTATCGTGATGAAGCAACCGAGCTATACTGGCTGGAACAATCGTTCCTCAAGGTCCTACCATGTCAGACAGGTCGGTTGAAGAGCGGTAAGACTAAAAGCAACAAACCCAAGGTCCGAAGGCGAAGTCGTACTGCTGACTGTACAGAGATGTGACAGCAGTAAGGTGTTTCCTTCAGACAACCAGCATGACAGCGATGCTCAGAATCGATCACAATGGCGTCGGTGTATACACTCCCTGTCTTCCCTTAAACTAAGAGATTAAAATCACTTCATATCTTTCTTTCTACGAACCAATTTTTTCTTCTTGTACTATATCTCTATATGCAATCTTTCTCTTATATATTACCACCTCTGAATTAACTACTTTTATGAATCCGGTGTTCATCTTGTTGTGCTGATGCGGTATAGCAACCTGGACCGATGCACATATGTGCGTGGTCCTACGTTGTAGCTGACTGACTGACTGACCTGTCGCTCATAATGTACATATACTAACTAAAGTTGGTCAAAATTCAGTCCTGTTTATCCATAACGGGGTAATTCGGAACCTTAATGAAAAAAGTATGGATATTATCAAATTGAGAGATCGATAACTACTAGGTACAAGCTACTAACGTATTCACTATATAGCATACGTACATCTCCAGCTGACCTCAATCCGTGAAAAAATAATCCGTAAACGAAGTATTACATTGTTTAAATTTTAGGAAATGTTATTTCATCAGTACTTATTTTTCCATAGAAGACTATTTTTAGCACCATAATTGATTAATAAAAGGAAACTGGAATAATCGTGTGAAGGAGATCTCTCATCCTAACATAGTTCCTAAATGAAAAAACTGCTTTACTGAATAATTGAAGATATTTAACAGTTTACATAATAGACTGACCTTAATTGAACCAATTTTGGAACCAGGAACCACTGGGTAGCTGTGTGTGTTTATGACCTTACTATCTGTGATCCGACTCAGAAATTCCAGGTCTTTATAATCCTCTCATACTAATGGTAATCACATACTTCCCAATGACTAATTTCGAAAGTCTGAGAAGCTGTGAACAATGTAGTTTAACCATGTTGTTTGTAAGTTGGTTACCTACCAATCGTATGGGAAGATAGCATTAAATTGATTGAAGCCAGAAACTCAGTGGAGCCAGGTTCGAACCTAGGGTCCAACGACCAAAATGTGGTTGCACTGAACCCACTAAGATATTTTGAATACATCATTTAACATTTCTCCTATTTCTCATTATTAATGTTTACTTTCCTATTTTCTTTTTTCTTATTTAGGCTATGCGTACTGTGGCTAAATGTTATGAAAATGAGTTAGATAGACGGAAATCAGCTGAACAATCTTTTTCATATGCTATAGTAAATATAACTGATTGGTTAGACGAAGCAGAACGTCTATTTCAGACTGATGTATCATTTGATTTTGAAGAACAATTGCCTAATACAGAAGTTATTCAAGATAAATTAATTGCAAATGAAGAATTTTTAAGAAAAACACAAACAGCTGGTCAAGCTTGTTTAGTTGAATTGAATCGAAGTTATGATAGATTAGTAGAATTATTCTCAGGTAATGAAGAAGATATGGTTGAAAATTCTGCTAATCCAATTATTCAACCAGATGAAGTTAGTATGAATATATTGTTGGAAGCCGCAAATCAAGTGACTAAATTCCGTGATCGATTTGATGTAAGAATATTTCAGTTTATTTTGTTCAAAGATGTTTGCTAGTCACTTTTTTTTAACAATGATTAATTGATTCAAGTTTTTGAGGTTAAATACTACATAAGGTTCACCGATTGTATATATTACTAATCTGAGAATTTATGGATTGGAAGTCCCTTCAAGACCGATTATTAATTGACAAATATTTGAATGTTATCTCCAGACATCACAGTAAGAGAATGTTTCACAAAGGAGTAGGATTTTCTCATTTCAAACCATTTTTGTGTACAATGGTTAAATCAGTTGAGTAACTTTCAACTTTAATCACGTACAAATTCTATGAAACGTTTTACTACTCAATGACTCTATTGAGTAGCTTTTTATTGTACTGTAGTTATCACTCTGATAGACTTAAACGTTCGCTCAATGTTGACTCACATTGAGTCTTTAATGTGAGTTGTATTAAAAAAAGGAAATGTTAATTATCAAAACAGTCAGATTCTAAATTATTGTTTGTACAGAATATATGTCATGTGGCCAGAAAAGGAATCTCGGGCGTGTGTTTCGTCCCATTTGAGACTCAGTTGGATCTACTTGCATCCTTGAATTCCTGTTCGCGTTGGGACTCAAGCATAGTACATTCGCTCCAGGAGCTTAATGCATCATCTGTTGATGTACTGTGTTCATATGGTCACTCATTTTTGCAAAAGGTGTGAATTTTAATTTAATTTGTAATTGTTTGGATAATTCCATTATTTGATACTTTGTTTGATTTTCCCGAGTGGACGTCAATTCTGTGATCCAGGTATATCCAGCTGACTAGTGCCAAATCGAATGGAACGTTTTTACTGGGTTTCACCGCTAGTCGCATTCTATTTATTATATACAAACTTGTGTGATAACGATGATATTGAGACAATCCTTACAGGATGCACACACACCAGCTAAGACTGATCAAATTTTATTCAAAATATCAACAACAGGGTTATCCAGACCATTATAAAGTAAATTTTAAGTTCTAGTTTGTTTGATTTTCCGGTAAAAATCGAGATACACAAAAACAGTGTGGAGTAGAAAAGTAAGGGGAAGTTAATTTTTAAAGTGAGGAAATCAGAGCAAACGGGACGCGGCAAATGAATAACGTGTGGTACGAGAATCGAGTTTTAGGGAAAATATAAAACATTGATATTTGGTTATATAAAATAAGTTTTTTATCATATCAATTATAATCCTTTACTATCGGCTACTATATCACAGTCATTTAATGCGAACCATTGACAGCCAAACACTCCATTTCTATATGTTTATTCTACTTCACCATTGTATTTCACGGTAGGTGATGAGTCGTCCAATGTAAACAAACTAGAAATTAGTTAAGGTGACGAGAATCTGCTTGTTTGATTTCAACCTTAACATCTACCCACGAAGATATTACGACAAGACTTAAAGTTATTGGATTATTATTACTACTGTCATCATTATCATTATTATTATTATCATCACATTGTCTGTGAATTAAAGATTCTCAGTTGATGATGTAATGATTTTACAGCTACCGTGGTAGAATCTAATAATGGAATTTTTAATCTAGTTTAGGTTCGTTACTTAACCTATGTGCGATCTATCTGTTCATCTTTTTATCAACTTTGGATAGTGGTTTGTAGTGGAATGCAGGACGCTCGTTTCTTTCTATCCTAGGTTCGTCATCTGGATATACCTATATCACATTCTTGATGTTCTCCCTGAAATTCGAACCCTGTGCTTTTCGCTTCAAGTCATGACATGTTATTCATTGAGCTCTTGAGCCGAGATAGCCGTTAACAAATTAACCACAAACTATCGTTTTAAGCTAATAACGAACACATATTATGTATTGGTTATTGCATACTCGTTTGCTTATTCACATTCTTTTACCTTCCTTATTGTTGTGATTTGTTTGTGTTGAATCGATTTGGGAAGGTAAGGAGGCGGAGATATTAATCTCAGTATGTTTCTTGTTTTTTTTTTCACTATGATTTCTTATCACAGGAGTTGATGTCTAAAGCTACTCGACGTCAATATGAACTTAAATATGCTTTATTAGAAGCTCGTCTACGTGAACAATTAGATAATACTAATAAAATTTTAAATGATGAAGAATTTCGAATGACATCTGGTGAACATTTGGCTAGTATATTGTCTGATCATGAGGTAACTCAATCTCTCATCTTTCTAGTTTTTTTTCTTACAAATCCACCTATAAATGGAAAAAATGTGATGGGGGCTAATTGAAATTTCAATATATATTCTTAAATAGTTTGCCAATTCATTCGGTATTTAAAAAAAAGGAATCACTTATTGACAGTGGTTAAAATAGTTATAAGTCAATTTATGACTAGACTATAATGAATGAAGTAACCAATCAGATGTAAGATCACTGGACTTGGATTTTGGCGCGAAACTCACTCATCCATTTGGCGAAATAGCGTTTTGGCATTTAAGTTTATATCAGTTCGTGATGAAAACCCTAAATCTAACTCCTAACCCTAATCACCAACTTTAAATCATAATTCTAATTCCTTACACTGGTTTATAATCGTCATTTAGTCCTAGTTAGTAAGTGTACTCTCTCTCTAGGTTACTTCAAAGGTCGTCCATAAATTACAGTTTTACCCAATTTACATTGGATATTGACAGTTTTCTCATAGATCAACTATAATTACGATAAAACCCACTGAAAAATTAGATTACTTTCATTTTGGTGCAAGTAATCTTCAGTTCCAAGTGTTCATATTATCATTGCATAATTAGTATAAGACTTACCACGTTTTAAATAAATACAATAAGGGAAAATTAGAACCATTGTAGTTTAAATAACAATATTATTATTAATATTATTATTATTAACAGTGATAGTAAAAAATGACATTGAACGACAGAAATTATGATTATTACAACTCATCTGTACCCCAGTAATCAGTCTCATTCAATGTTTTCATTTTTCTCACGTAAATTTAAGATTACCACACGAACCTTCATCATGAAACCTACACTTCATGATACAACTCATTGATTTCATGAACTCATACAATTTTCTGATATAGAGCTGGACTTTAACTACTTTCAGTCTGCTTCCATACCAGCTAGCATCGCTTTAAACGATGTAGACGTGAGTAGCTTTTGTGTATCACACAATAGTTAATAGCCTCATTGACCGATTTACCATCATCACCTAACCTGCTGCAGCTAATATCAGCATTATTCACTGTTTAGTTTCATAATCAAAGATGGATAGTGGCTAGCAGTGGAGTACAGGACGGGTTTTTGGTACTGTTTCAGACTCGTCAGCTAGGTGTACCTGCATCCCAGAGTTGATGTTCACTCCGGAACTCTAATCCAGTACCATTCGCTTCAAGCGCCATAGTGTTATCCACTAATCTACTGAGTCCTGATAGCCACCTGCTTGTGTAATGGGGTGAAGTTTAAATTCACTTGGTATTGTTTGTCTGATAATCAGGATTCAGTAGCTAGATAGATAACGCGATGGCGTTTGAAGTGAACGGCGCTGTTCGAGTCCCAGAGTGAACATCAACTTTGGGATGCAAGCACATTCAGCTGACAAGTCCGGATAGGACGAAATGCACGCCGTAGATTCCATTGCTATCCACCATCCGTCTTTACTTATAATGTTTATAAATTAAAGTAATATCGAAGCGATCCGCATAGTATGCAAATATGCCAATAAGAGACTGATCAATTGCAGTCCTAAACATTAATGAGAAGATTCAAGTAAACAATGCCAAGTGAATTGTTTAGTTTCATTATGCGTGACTAATCGTTTGAATAAGACCTTATATATATGTATATACACAATTGAATATATAATATCCCATTCTTTATTGTTGGTTGTACAGATTCCTTATGGTCTGTCCATTTGAGACAATTAGTTTTAAATTGTCTTCTGTTAGTATTTGTTCTTGAGTATTCACTGTTTAACGTTTTTTATTTTTGTTAATTTGAAATAAAAATGAACAAAGAAACTAGTGTTGATTATCACATCATTTATTTTTTCTTTAAATTAATACGAAGGTTGTTGAATTCACAAGTCGATTCGAGCTAGACAACTATGGAAAACATGGAAGCACTGGATGGCCGTTTCGTCCTAGTACGGGACTCATCAGCAGTCGGAATCCGACGGTGTTAATGTCTAACTTCAACCAATTCATGATATTGTGCGATCGTCCACCATTGGTTTCAGCTCTGGTCTAGACGTTTAGTGTTTGTGCGTGAGACTGAAGACCCTGGGTCCGAGTCTCGCGTGAGGGACTGTGATATGCACTTCTGGGAAGTCTCATACTAGGATGAAACGGCCGTCCAGTGCTTCCAGGTTTTCAACAGTTGTCTTGCACAGATCGACTCATGAATTCAACTCATTGATTACTATAATCTACACAAAACCCCATTCCGATAATAATGCAAAGATATTCTATTTGTGTGGTTTTATTTACAGTCTTCATTTAAAAATTCAGAATTTTATACTATTTGTGAAAATATACTACGTGAAATGCGTGAATTAGATGAACAATTGTCTTGTTTATTTCAAAATGATGCAAATTATTATAGTAAACGTACAACACAGTTACAACAAGAATATAATTTATTAACTGAACGTGTTGGAAAAATAGCTGTGAGATTACGTAACCTACCGGAACAATGGGCTGATTTTGATGATAAGTAAGTTTTGATGACGTTTTATTGTTTGAGCTGGATTGTTATTCTAATTTTATTGATTCGTACATGGTGCTTGCTACTGACGTCAACAGATATAAGTAGTATGTACCACCAATCAAAAGTGAAATGCCTGGCGGCAGAAGGCCAAGAAAATCAAAGAGAAGAGAAGAGAAGAGAACGAGAACACAGAGTGATTGGTATGGAAACGAAGGAATAGTCAAGTCTGAAACAATTGATTGATATTTTGCAAATGAATTGTTTACTGTATGGTTCTCAGATTTTACTAAGAAATTCTGTAGTTTTTTGTTTAGGTACGTTTAGTTGTATCCCGCTTGTGTTCTCGTTCCCTAAAATGCTATTGGTAGATAGTAGTGATATCCGTTTCTTACTCAACATAACTAAAAAAAATGAGGAAAAAAAATTATCCCCATTTGTCCAAAAGGATTTGATAGGAAGTGATTTGAGCCTAGACTTTAAAATGATTTGACTTTTGTTGATCACTGAGATAGAGTTGGATTCATATTTGCTAACGGGTTTAATTATTTCTTATTAGTGTTGTTGAACAGGTCGATGTCAATCATTCAACTGTTTCCCGACTTACATTTCAAGTTGGTTCAAACGGTATTCGTAGTTATGTTTTTGAATAAAATTATTGTCATATTTAAAACAGTTAGTCCCTTTGATAAATTTCGGTAATGCAATAAGAAGACGAAGTTTTTCAGAATAATGTAATGTATATGCGTAATACATATACTTGTTAAGACATTTTTATATGAAAATTAAAAGATCAAATAGACAGGCTTAAAGTAAGCCGTAACATTGCATTGTCGAAATTTATTGTCAAATGTTGTTTTTTCTTCGGGCAAACCAAACACTGATTAAAAATTAGAGAGTAATGGACAAATATTTCATTATAGTATGAGATTCGTCAGTAGTGTATACTAACATCCTACCAGTGATCGAATAAAGACTTCAATGCGGGTACTTTATTATCAGATAATTCAGCTGACATCAAATGATCATCATAAAAAGTGATAATTGTCTCATTTCCAATGTTGTTGGACTCCACTAGTCGAAATTTGTCACTGGAACTTCAGGATGCCGTTTCCTGAAAATCATTCACTCAACAACAGCTGATTATTTATTGGGATGGAAGATAGTTTACATCATGGATTGACTTTAAGCAAACAACCATTTAAAAATAGAGCGAACAGTGAGCCAGTCATATTTTGATCTGCTTAAACGTGCCAACTTTGAACAGCACTCTTTTACAGAATTTTTGATGTACATTAAAACAGTGTTATTATGTATGATGATGTTGTAATCGACATCCACAGTATGTCCATGCTCCAGTATCTCAATTCTTTTAAGTTTCTTATTCCCTATCTACCAACCTACTTCATTTCTCAGACACTCGTTTTCATCCATTTTGTCAAAAACTGGTCGATAGTGGAAATACCTTGGAAGACAGCATTTATTTTGTATCTACTGACGTATCCGACATATCTATCTAGTCAGATTGGTTGTAAATCAATGAATGTCTTTTGTGATCATGAATAAATGTGACTATCAAGTGTAAATTTTAAATTTCTATTTATAATTTGTTTAGAAAAGAATATTTCTCAATTTGTATTCTTTGTTTTTCAACCATTTTTTTATTTACATAATTAGATTAAATCATTTATTAGATTGGACAAATGAAGTTGAAAAATTATTTAATCATTTACAAAGTGATCCATCTAATACAAAGAATAGTGATGAAAAAACTGCCATTGAATTAGCTTCACGTTATCGTGCTATGTTGTCGAGATTTGAAGAAATGACTGGTATGGTTAATGAACAGAATGCATTAGCTGATAAATTAAATTTAATGTTAGTTGATTTATCATTAGACGGTGGTGTATCAGCTGGAGAGATAGCAGCAAAACGAGCTGCATTAACCGCTGCATTAGGAGCGTTGAAAGATTTAGGCAGTGAAATGGATTCTGTACTAACTCGAGGTGGGTATACATGGATTTGTGTATGTATATGTATGCGTTTGTGTGTAGTTATTGAAAATATTTAACTAACATTTATCCAATGCTGTACAATTTGACTGCCTTTTAACCGAGACAATAATAAGCTTTTTTTTAATAAAGTGGTCAGATAATATTCTCCTAATTCAACTCTAAATCTCATCTTTAATTTTCTTAAGTTTCTAAACAACAGAATGACTGAACTCCATTGGATTAAAGCTGATGTTAGTTGATGATGAAAACCCTGTAAGGATTATAAGCTTAACTCACAACACTGACCCACTCGACACAGTTTATTTAAACTTAAATTTTTTGTTTCATTACAATGAATAATTCATAATGTAAGCGGTAACTAGTCGTATCAAACTATTCTTCCACCGTGATTATTTTGTTTTTCATTGTTAATTGTTCTATTATTAAACACTGTTTTCTGATTGGTTATTAAGTATTCAGTGTTATATACTTTTACTTAAAGATTCTTTGTTCTTTGTGTCGATTTTGGCTGGAGATACATCCTAAATCACTTACCAACTAGCTGTACAGAGTAAACAGACTAATTGTATTTATGAAGCTTCATTTAATGAAATGCTAGATAATGATATATACAACTCGTACTTATCTAGATTACCGGATTTACATGAAAGGAAATATTTCGCCTACAACAGTAGGCCGATCTAAGAATGCCTGGTGTTACGATACTGGCTAGTCCATAGGTTGAAGTTAGTGGGTTTAATGAGTTGTGAAAAAGGACTGTTGAGTTTCTCTTTATATGTTAAGACGTAGACTTTATGTATTTGAATTTGAATTTCCAGTAATCTGTCAATATGTCAACATAATAATTCTATGATTGTCAAAGAAGAACCAAGAAATATTAATTTTTTCAATAATCATTTGGATTTCACGTAATAATTGAGGCTATTGGTTAAATCACATTTCAAGTCGAATGACTGAAAATTCATTGAATTATTACAGATTCATTCAGACATATTGGGATTATGGATCTTGAATTTCAATATTACTTCATCTTATATTTTTATGCATTTATTTTCAACCATATCATCAGTATCATAGACATTATCATTACTTCAACTTCTTTACTATCTAATGTGTTGATTCCATGTCTATTTAATTTGATATGGTAATATCGGTCGATGCTTATATGTACCCAGGTTCTATGTCGCTTATAACTGATTGACTGACTGAATGTATGGATTAGTAGTAAACAATTTACAATCATCCATAAAATTAATTGTTTGAATCATATTCATAAATGTGTTCGTTTATTCATTTGCCGTTTGGATCACAATCAGGTTGATATCGTGAAATGATATCTAAATATAACTAAATTATGGACATATAATACAATCAGAACGATGCATTTTGTAATGTAATGATAGTGTAAATGTGTAATCTTACACTACTAATTACATTCAAAATCAATAAATGAAGCAAGTGTCATGGATTAATCATTACTTCTATATTCAATCGCTCGATTAATTGAACATTACACCTTTAAAATAATTATTGTATTTGATCCATTTATAACCATTTTGAAAATTACTTATTTGTCTGGGTTTTTTTGTAAGTCAATCAGGTAATGTTGTATAAGTATTTATATCACTAGGCAATAATTATGTTAATCTCTCTAAATTAACTATTGAATCGTGTCTTTTTTAATAGCTATTGGTTGTTTGGATGTATACGTTATAAGTATAAGTATGTGAAAATAGTTTGCGATGAACTTGCGCTACAATATGCGCGTAGTTGTTAGGACTGCAACTGTTTACTGAATATTAATAAGTAGTATAAAGTAATACATAAAAGAGTTGGAGAAGTGAATAGAGACAGAGAACGTAAAACAGACTTATAACTCACTTAAAATAAAACAACGTGTTCTACTCTTTCTTTTATACTGATAAACTGCCTCATCGATCGGTCGCATATCTATCTATCTTTTTTTAATTAGCTCCATTAATAGCTGAAACACTAGAATTTCGTGCCAATGCAGTAACAGAACGTAAAAAAGCAATTGTTGTTCGTGAAGCATTTGAACAAGCTGTACAAGAAGATGCAGAAATGTTGCCAAATGATTTAGAATCAGTTAAACGTATATTAGCTGAACGTGAAGCTATGGTAGCTAGATTAGCTGAAGAAAGAGATGCTAGTTTATTAGCTATGATTCAACGTGGATTAAGTGTTAAAACTGATGAAATGTTAGATTGGATTGAACCATCTAAAAATGAATTAAAAGCTACTTGGGCTGAAGTAGATAAAGTTGCTGAAACTGGTTTAAAATCTTTACGTCAAACTGCTGAAGCATTTGAAGCATTTGAAGAGCACAAACAACGTATTGCAAATTTATTAACTGGTACAAAACATTTAATTAATGGTCATGCAAGTGCATCCACGACAGCCGCATTTACTATGGCATTAATTGGTAAAGATGGTACGATTGATATTGATAATGTTACTAATGCATTACATATTGATGATGAAACAAAATTATGGGCTAATTCTTCATTAGCATCTGGTGTTGCTGGTGTTATTGTAGCAAGTGTTGAAGAAGCAACTAAAGCTGGTCAAGAAGCTGTACGTGTTCAAACAGATGCAATTCTAGCACAATTAGATGCATTAAACAATGCAGAATCAGATTTAAAAGCATTAATAGCTGCTGCACAAACTATGAAAATGCGATCAACTCCAGAACGTGCTTCAGAATTAGATGCAACAATTCAATATTTAGAAAATCAACTTAATACAGCTAAACAAGAATTAAATACTAAATTAGCTAATTTACGTGCAGCTAATGGTAAATGGGAAGTATTTTATACAAGTACAAGTGAAGTTGACAAATTACTTAATAATTCTGAATTAAATTTATCCAATATAACTAGTGTACAACCATTAGCTAAAGGTAATTTAAACGTTACTGAATTAGGTTCTGCTGAATCATCAGCTAAAGCTGCTGCCGCTGAATTAGCATTATGGTATGCATCAGTAAATAATTATTTAAAAGATTTACAATTATCTGAACAACGTTTATTATCTTTAAATGTTATTTTTAAAGAATTATCACATTATTCACCATTAGATACTACTGAAATAAATGATAATAATAATAATAATTCATCGGAATCATTAGTAATTAGTTCAGAAATATCTAAAGCCCAAAATAAAATTCTTAGTTTATATCGAAGACAAAAAGCATTACAAATTGCATTTAATCAACATTCACAATCATTGAATACATTAAAAGATTATTTATCACAATATCTTAATCTTGTGCCAAATATTGATAAATATTTAACAGAAATAGATAATATTGCTAAAACATTATCATCACCACATAATTCATTTATTAATTCATTGGATGATTTAATTAATTTACGTAATACACATCAGGCGCGTCAAATTGTACATAAATCAAAATATACAGAAGATCGTAATCAACTATTATGGTTGGCTAGTAATTTGACTAGTTGGTCACACTTAAAAGTATGTTTTTTATTTATTTATTTTTAAAAAAAGAAAATGCTTTTTAGTATTTATTTATTGTTCCATATTTTACTATTAGTATAAGATTACGGAGATTGTTGAGTTTAGATTGACATCATGAATGTATCAGTATTAAATCACTATTGAAAACCTACAGGTACTGGACGACCGTTTCGTCCTAGTATTTGACTCCTCAGCAAGTGTGTATCCACGGTCCCGTATACGGAACTCAAACCTAAGACCTTCGGTCTCGAAACGACTGTCCAGTACTTCCAGGTTTCCAATAGTGGTCTAACATTGATCCACTCATGATATCAATCTAAACTCAATATTTTATTGTTTGTTTTAAATTATTGATGTGATTCAGTTTTCTTTTAATAATTTTAATGTTATTTTACGCGTTGTTTTTACTATTTCTGTCATGAATGAATGAATATAATTAATTATTATCATTATATTATTATCATATATCTATTTAGAAGTTTATTAGTTCGTTAGGACTGTAAGCACTAAATTTCAAGTCATCATATTGTAGATTGGGATTTTATTTCGTCAATTTCAATTCAAAGTATTAGGACTTATGGCAACAAAACCGTTAATCAGAATATCAATTTCTATAACTTCGTTCCTCAGTTAACCAATGACACACTAAGCAGTACTAATACCCTTTATTCAACTCTAAAACATCCTTATTAATCTTCAATACATTGAGTTCAGAACACAATGGTCAGTATCCACGATACGAATATTATATTTTAGATTTACGTAGTTTTTATACAAACAGACCAGAACGCATCACATCATAAATTGAAAAATAACAATTATACATGATCGAGCCAAAGGTGGCTATGAGTATGGGAAACTGTAACTAATAGGCTGGGAATAAATTAAGAACAGCGAGTCGTATAGTAGTTAATGGGTCAAACGGAATGTAAATTATATATAGTATAGTATAGTTACTTGACAATTATGTAATAAATATATATATCCACTCGATTTCTTTTCCTAATCTCCTCTTCATTTGGAAGCTGGTCTGTTCTCTCTCACAGTAGACTGTTGCTGATGCTATCCGGTCAACGGACATTCAGTATCTTACGTAGACTTTATAAAACTGTTTATAAATACTTGTACATTTTTGATAATCGTTGTAGTAGTTCTCCAAGTTTCATCTCCGTGCAGAAAGACTGTCTTGACGTTCGTATTAAAGATTCTGACTTGAATACTGATTGACAGTTATTTTGAGTTCTATATGTTGTTCAACTGTAGGGATACTACCCACAATTGCCAATCCTTGTCATTAAATCTGCACACATATTCAATATAGTTTTTAATGACTTTTAAATCCGAAATCCCAATGGATATCAAACACGTTAACCGAATGTAATGTTCCTTTGCACTTTCTGTTTTGTAAAATTTCAGAGATATCAGGAGTGTGAACCTTCAAAATCGAGCAGTAGTGTAGTAAAATTGGCCATCGTTGGTGTACCTCTATTAGTTTATTTAAAACTAGTCACGTAAACTGACAACTAGATTAAACTGTGTTCATGAACTTGTTTAAACGTTTGTTCCAATTTATAGATTTTGTTACTAGCATAGGGTTTGTGGAGATTATTAAGTTATTGACTGAGATCATGAACCGATTGATTTTAGACCACCTTTGGAAACCTGGAAGCACTGGACGACCGTCTCGTCCTATTGTGGGACTCCTCAGCAGTGCACATCCACGATCCCGCTCACGGAATTCGAACCCAGGGCTTTCGGTCTCGCGCGCTAACGCTTAACCTACTGGACCACAGAGCCGGCATCCAATGGTGATAGTGTCTAACATCAACCAATCCACAAAATTGCGCGACCATCTTCCGTTGTACTGAGGTAGATACCTGTCTCTACCCGACATGGATTAGCTCAACTGGTCACTGTAGTCAGTCAGTCAGTCAGTCAACTACAACGTAGGATCAGGCACATATATACACCGCTCCCAGTTGCCATACCTCATTAACACAACAAGATGGACACCGGATTCATAAAAGTAGTTAATTCAGTTGTGGTAATATATAAAAGAAAGATTGCAATAAGGATATAGTACACGAAGAAAGAATTAGTTCGTAGAAAGAAAGATATGAAGCGATTTTAATCTCTTAGTTTAAGGGAAGACAGAGAGTGTATACACCGACGCCATTGTGATCGATTCTGAGCCATGTCACCAAGACTCTCCAACCATTGGTTACGATAGTCACGCGGACCCCAACCAAGTAGTCTGCATCTACCAACATGGCTCAGACTAGAAGTTAGTGACTTCAAGCACTGATGCCACGTTTTGGTTTGGCCGCCCCTAACTTTCTTCCAACCATTCCCAACACCGGTTAGCATTGCACGTCGTGGTAATCGGTGTTCAGGCATACGTAACACGTGGCCCAACCATCTCAGTCGATGAAGATTCATAACCTCATCAACTGATTTACCATCATTCCCTAATACCCTGCGTCTAACCTCACTATTACTTACCCGGTGATCCCAGCAGATGCCAGCAATATTTCTAAGGCATCTGTGGTCAAATACTAGTAGCTTACGAGTGTCTTCTACTCTTAATGGCCATGTTTCGCTGCCGTAAATTAAAACAGAACGGACTGCCGCGCAGTATACTCGTCCTTTTATTGATAGACGGATATCTCGCCTTCGCCATAGGTGACGTAAGTTGGCAAAAGCCAAACGAGCTTTTCGAATCCGTGCTGAGATTTCGTCCGACACCAACCCATTAGGGCTGATCAGACTTCCAAGATAAGTGAAGTTGTCAACGCGTTCGACTACTTCACTCCCTATCCTTAGTTCAGGTGTTGACGCAGACCAGTCCTGAAGCAACAACTTGCATTTAGAGGGAGAGAAGCGCATTCCAAACATTCTGGCATTGTTGCTTAGTGCTACCAAAGACTCTGCATTTTGTCAGCGTCTTCACCAAACAGGACTATGTCATCTGCGTATTCTAAGTCGATAAGTGGACCTCCTGGATGGAGATCAATACCCGAGAATTCAGTCGACGAGAAGTTATTTCCATCAGTAGATCTATGATGAAGTTAAACAAAAATGGAGAAAGTGGACAGCCTTGACGGACACCACTTGAGGTTGCAAAAGTAGATGACAGTTCGCCATAAGCCCTGACTCGACTAGTAGTGTTCGAGTAAAGAGCCTTTACAAGGTTTATGTACTTCTGGGTACGCCTTTCAATGACAGACACTGCCACAGAATCTCGCGGTCTACCGAGTCAAATGCTGCTTTTAAGTCGAGAAAGACCACCATTGTCGGACGCCGATAAGTATGCCTGTGTTCTAGAATCTGACGAATGGTGAATATGTGGTCGATGCAGCCACGACCAGGTCTGAAGCCAGCTTGATTCTCTCGTGTTTGCAGTTCACGAGTCTTAGGCGTTTGATAATTATCGAGGCTAATGTTTTAGATACAGGATGATTTTGACTCTCTTATATATTGGGACGATAAGTGATTGTCACCAGTCAGATGGAATAACGTCTAATTCCCTGATTTTAGCTAAAATATTAATCAATATAATCGCTAAAATTGGACCACCATCCTTAAAAACCTCTAGAGCCAATCCATCTGAACCAGCTGTCCTTCCTCGTTTCAGATTAACTATAGCCTTTTAACCTTCAGCTAGATTTGGGGGACCTACTTCAATGTTCCATTCACACTGTCTGGGAATGGAGGGTAGTTGTAGAGTAGCTGAAGGCTAGCTGAACTTTTCTCTGAAATGTTCCGCCCATCGTTCCAAACGTCTGGACTGAGAGCAGATGAGGGTGTCGTCTTTTTCCGAAATAGTCTGACTTACACTTGACTTATTAATTCCAGTTTCTTTTATTAGTCTGTAAAGCTGTCTTGTGTTCCCTGTAGCAGCCGCTTTTTCCATCTCTTTTGCTTTCGTTGCCCACCACTGCTCACGGTCGTTCCTTAGACTTTTGGTTAACCAAGATCTGATTTGTTGTCGCTCTTCATCGTGTTCAGAGCCTGATGGGATGAGTTTACGAGAATCCATCAGTGCAATAGACCTTGAGGAAATCCACTGGTTTTTTGTAACTGTTTGGTTTAAACCACTGATAGATGTCACTGTTTCCACAGCTGTTTGTATATCTTTCCAAGCAACATCTAGGTCAGCATCGTTTTCAGAACTACTTAAGTGTGACCTCAGTTGTTCTTGGAATCTATTTTCGGCTTTCTCATCACTTAATTCAATTCTAATGGGTCTTCTCAGTGTGGCTTTCCTGCGTCCAGTGAGGCGCAAGCAGATGCGTGCCCGTATAAGAGCATGACCGGAGTCCAAACAGATATTCCAGAATGAGCGACAATATTTTATCGACCCTCTCCAACGATGACTGATGGCAATATGATCTATTTGAGTCCATCGTTGGTTTGGTGCAGGGGGTCACCGTGTTATGCGATGTCTCTCCTTATGCTTAAAATTAGTGTTTGCTAAAAATAAACGATTGTCCGAGCACAGTTGCAGCAGACGATCAACATTATCTGTTCGCTGAGTCGGAATAACAAATTACCCACCTAAATGTCTTTCTGTTTGGTTTAAGCTACCTAATTGGGCATTAAAGTCACCTACTACAAGTACTGTGTCTGAGCTTTCTGTAAAATTCATCTTTCATTTCATCTGAGCTGCAGTCGGTGGGAGCGTAGGCAGAAACGGCAAAAAGGCAACGACGTGTGTCCCTATCCTTCCGAGTTCTTACGGAGAGCACATAGACGACTGTTAACGGGGACCCACTCTAACAGTGCTTTTTCCGCCCTCATGCTTAGTGCTATCCCTACTCCTGCCAGTCCACGAGAGCTGGCCATCGGGTCACCAGATACACGGAGGGTGTATCTCGTTGGTTCTCCGTTTTGCCGAGGTGAGGTCAAGTGAATGACCACACTAGGATCCTGTATGCGTGTTTCGGAGACACAGCATACATCGATGGTACAAGATTCTAGGGTTTTATCCAATAAAGCCCGTTGACCGATTTGACATAGGGTGCGTACGTTGAAGGCTCCAATGTGTAGTTTGGAGCGAGGTTTCAGTAGACCTGGGACAGTGTTTTGAGCACTAGAATCGTTGGCTATGGTGACACTTAAGGCGGAAGCCGAAAAAGGAAATTTAGAGGTGAAAGTCGATGTAGGAGGAATAATAGGAAGTGAAGACAGAGGTTGATTATGAATATAATGGTCTTGAGTGCTGTTAGAGATGTGAGGGCGGTTATCACTTCCCGGTTGCCCACACCGTGGAAGGGGTGTTCTGGAGGTACCTGAAAAGAGAATCGGATTAGAAATGGTCTTGGTGACCTGAGATCGTGACCGCAGTGCCCAGGGAACAACTGCTTGAGATCAGCCACACACGACCTTTTTGTGAGTAATTTTCGTGTTGGCTACGTACTTGTTGAGACCTTACCGCCGGAGACGGATATCCTTGGGACAAGGCGAGGTGTGTATTTTTAGGGTCAGCGTTTTCTAACCCCATCCCTCCTTTTGGGAAGGCAGCATCACTGTCATGCTGGTTGTTTGAAGGAAACACCTTAAGGTTTATGGTCTGCTAGATGAGTTTACACTTTTGACCTATTACCCTGAGCCAAATCTCGAAATTACATGCTCTGTAGTTCAATGCTTCGAAGACACCTATGATCAAATATTTTCAGTTCACATATGTCTTCTACTTTAATAGGTTATGTCTCGCAGTCGTACTATAACTGTCATATCTTTCATAAAATAAAATTTTGCCTTTGGTTTAGTTCCCGCGTAGTTGAGTTACTTGTTTTAAGAGCAGATAATGCGTTGTTTATTTATTGAATAATTCACTTTATATCCTCTTTACGACCAATGACGTTCTACGTTACCAATGAGCAACCACGGAGCTTGAGCTCTATTCAACCCAGTGTTCAATGAGAAGACAAAGTTAGCAAGCTTGTGTCTTTTCTATTACGGAGTTGTTGGAGTTATTATGACGCAATTATTCAGTATTAGGATAATTACTTGATCACACGTCATCATAAGCAATAGATCACAATATGGTCATAAACTAAGCCATAAATAATCGAAAATTTAATTGATGGTTCCATCATTAATTAATAGTAATATATGTAGGTTAAAACATAAAACAATAGTTTACACATCCACTGAAAGCTAACTAACAGGAAATATAGGAATACAATAATAATCCGATTGTTTGATATTTATTCAATAAACTTATTAACAATAATTCTTGGTACATTGGTTGCAAATATTACATCTTTCACAATATTTAAGCCGTTATAACACTTAGCACAAGACGAACTGCTGCTCAATGTATGCCGTAATGGAATAATGATCAATTTTCAGGATTGTAACGCTACAGCAGCAGGAATACATAGGGAAAATGGAATATGACTAGCATGAAAACCCAAAACACTCGTTTCGTTCCGTTTGGGACTCCTCACATAGATGTTGCATTCCAGAGTCGATGTCCGCTTCAGAATTCGAAGACAGTACCTTTCACTTTGAATTCTAGTTAAAATAACAAGAACAGAATGATCTAAATGTTTTTCAATTACAGTAATGGGAACAGTTTAAATCACATTTTTTTCACACTGTATCATTGTTTGTTTTTGAAATATAATATTCTGTCCATTGAATGTACATCATTGAATCTATGTATGATACTAACCTCATCGTTTCTAAATGTCTTCTTATTTTTAATATTTCTGATCTATCTAGGAAGCTAATGAAGCGTTACAATCGCGTTGGGAAAGTGTTAACTATTGGTTAATTGAGGAATCTCAATATTTAGATGATTTATATAATATGTGGACAGAATGGAATAAAGAAGCTGATCAGTTTACATTACAAATAACTAATATAGAAAAAGATGTAGAACAAGAATTAAACAATATAATCAATGATATAACTAATCAAAACTCTAAAGATTCATCTACTGATCCAATGAATAATAATAATACCAGTGACTTAGATTCTAAAGTGAATAAAGCTAGTGCATATCAAGATCGTCTGTTGATGCTGAGTCTTATTTGAAAGCGTTCAGTTTTAAAACAGAAAAATTGTTAAAACGAATTTTAGCACAAACTCAAATACACTGTCGAACCTTATTACCAGTGGATACGGCAAAAATAACAAAATCTACTGATCAATTGTCATCATCATTAACAGTATCCACACTCAATGACACTAATAATAGTACACAATTCACTAATATTGCTATCAGTCCACATAGTATAGCAATTAAATATCGAGAATTAGAGGAACATTTAAAATGTGTACGAATACAATGCGAAAAATTAAATAATGAATTAGAAAATCAATTAGATGCACGTGATCGTTTATTTCGTGATACAGATAGACTATTACAATGGATTATGTCAGCAGAGAAACGTATGACAAAACTTACACGAATTTGGGTAGCAGCAAGGCCACCAATTACAACGAATAAATCCTATGGCGTATTACATAAACCATCTTCAATTATGAAACAACGAAATGGTATGTAGTTGCAATGGGAATGATAGATGTATCTTGCTTCATTGATCCATTTTCTATTATTTACTGACTTTGCTTCTTCTGTCTAATAATATTATGAAGTGTTTTTTATTCTAGTGTCATTCATTGTGAGTTGGATATAAAGTTAGAGTTAAGGTCGAGACAAATAAATTTTAGTGTCGGTTAAATTGTTTTATAGCATTGTTCATATTTATAATTTGACTTAAGCTAAGTAGCGGACCCCAAGATTTTCAGATGACTCAACAACAAACGTTCAACCTTTTATATCACTGAGTTGCCATACAATGATTCACCTCTCCAGCTTCAGTCAGTCGGCAGTATTTGCCAAATCATTATCCATTTCTAACAGTGGTAACTTTCTCATAGGTATAATCGTTGACAATGGCGCTTACAGTGAGTCCTAGATTCAGTGTCTAGCGGGATCGTAGATGTGAATTGCTGAGGGGTCTCATATTAAGACAAAACAGCTATCCAATTATCCCTAGTTTTCAATGTTTGTCTGGCCGAATTCAGCCTATGATGCAAAGCACAAGTATATGAGTAAACCCCATACTACTCCATTCTAAAATACGATCCGATTGTTGTATGAAATGCAACCTGTCTTGATTAATTATTATTACTTATTTTTAGATCAAATTGATTCTGATAAACAACAATTAATTGGTGTTGACTTATCAGAAGCATATGAACAATTAAAAACTTTGCAAATTGAAGCTACTGGTCCACGAATGATTGCTTTAAAAGAATTAGCTAATCAAATTGAAGGTGAAGACGTTGATTTAAATGATTTATACAATAAAATGGGTAGTCGTCCAGGGAGTAATCGACCTGGAAGTAATCATAGTAGACCTACTAGTGATCGGTCACGTAGTCGACGTTCTGTTTCATTTGATTTATTAGGTAAGGAAAATAGTTTTGATTCAACTACAAATGATGAAATTAATCGTCAGTTACATGAACGTTTAATTCGACTTTTAAGTAAATTAAATCGTCTTATCAGTCATCTTAATCAACGTACAATACTTTGTCGTTTAACTATTGAATATGAATATTGTCGTCAAAATTGGATACAAGAGATTAATTCATTGAATTCACGTTTAAAAACATTTGAAAATAATTCAGTTGTTGTAGAATTAAATGTAGATAAGAAGAAAAAACATTCATCGAATAAATCTATTGAAGATGATAGAAAACCATCTGTTCAAGAAAATGAAGACTCTGTAGGACAACAACATAATGAAGAAGAAATCAATAAGAATGAAGTCAGTATAGGAGAAAATGTCACAGAATCTACAAATTTAACTCACCATGACGATAATTCTATTCAGACTACCACTATTACTACTACTACTGATACTAGTAGTAAACAGCCAATTACTTCAATTGATCTATTTCAATCTGCCGCAGATGATGCTGAACGTATATTATTTCGCAAACAAACAATACAATCTGGTATTGTCTATCAATCAGAATATAAAAATTTAAAAGATGAAATTGATAAATTAAAACAATTAATCAATAATTGGCAAGTTACATTAGATTTTACACGATCAAATATCATTGAAAATGAATTCGATGAAACACCGAATGATTCGAATTTAATTGGACCAAAAGAACTTGATGTGGCTGTTGTTTCAGTTGGTCTTATGTTTGTCACCAATATTGATTTGAATTGGTCATTTAGTACTGGATTCAGTACTACTACTTCAATGACAACCACAACGAGTGCTTTAACCACTAGCACCACTACCACCACCACGACAACTGCTTCAGGTGGTACCATAATCACTTCAGATCAGTCGACAATATTACAATTAGAACCATTTAGTTTTTTTATAGATATTGCTAGATTATCTTCTGAATGTGATAAATTACATGGAAAATTAAAAGCTAATTTATTACATGTGATTGGTGTATGTGAAAATTGGCAACAGTTAGTTGAAGCACGTGATAGATTATTAGAACAAGTTAAAGATTTACAATATCGTTCATCAGGAGCTTGTTATACAGTTGTTCAATTAGGTGATCCATCAAAAACTGATAAACCTATTGGTATACGTTTGACACGTTTAGGTCAACAGTTATTAAATTGGCAAGTTGAATTAAATTCGGCTGGCACTACTACAGATGATGTGAATGCATTACAAACTGATATTAGTAGTAATAATAATAATAATACTGATAAAACTAATTTACCAAGTGAAGCTGCCACTATAGTTCAAAGATTAAGTGATCTTCGACGGGCAGGTGAACGAATTGTTGGATTAAATCCAGCCCGTGGTCCGAATGTTGATAGTTTATACAATACAACTGTACAAACAATACGTTTGTGTGCAATTTCTCTAGGTGAAATTGGTCGACATAGTATACTGTTATTTCAAGCATTATCAAAACGTTCAGAATGTTTACATCAATTGACAGAATTTCTTGATGAAATTGAAAAACAAAGTGGTCTTATTCCAGCTAGTGAACATCAGTCAGTTTTCGGTAATGCAAATTCAACTGAACAAAATCAAATGATTACAGATGATCAACAAATTAATATTTCTGATAAAAATGTTAAACGACCAATACCTGAACAAATTGCATCACAATTCACAATGTTTGAATGTATGGATCTATGTAGATTGTTAAGTGTGGATAACGTCAAAGAAGTAGAACAACAACTAACACCATGTCAAATTGCATTAGATTCATTAATGAATAAACAAAATACATATTTTATACAATTAAATCAATCATCTTCATTAGCATTACAGACATTTAATGAATTTCAAACAGAAATATGTAAATATAATAATAATAAAATTGAGGATATGGATGAAGAACATAAACTATCCGAGAAACAAATAAAATTAGACCCATTTCGTGATGCAATAGTTAATCGTTGGCAACGATTACATTTTCGTTTAGAAACTATCATACAACAATTATATATTCGACGTAGTGCATTCATATATTTAGAAGATGGTTTTAAACAATTAGAATATTGGATTGAAACAAATGAATTAAAAATAGAGACATGTAGTTCACAATTGGCAGCGAATGCAGCGACTTCTGCTATCCTATCACCATTTAATCTTCATTCAATATTGCCAGCTGACGAACAATTAAAGTATACTGAAAATCCTCAATTAATTCTTGATACATTTAATACAGAAGTTGTTTACTACTCAAATTTATTAAACAGTATAAATGATCGTATCGAAGCTGATTTAGGAGATCGTGTATTATTGAGAAAAACATTTGATAATTTAGAATGGCGTTTACATAAATTACAAAAATCTTCAGATCATTTATTACAACAATGGAATGAAGAATATGAAAGATGTGAACAGTTAAAAGTTGATCTACATCAATTTAACACCCTTCTAGAATCAATTAGTAAAGAGTTAACATATTGTTTTGATCCTGCTATTTGTAATGTTGAAGAGGATCCAAATAGTTTGACGATGGTACAATATAGCCTCACTGATATACAAAGCATTAATATACAAGCAAATAATTATTTATTACAATTATGCAAAGCACAGTGCATTCGTCATCATCTTGCACGATTACGTGATCGTTCATTATGGTTACATGATAGAGCTCATTTATTAGCCATTGGACCAAGTCGTTATCATCATCGTTCTATTCAGCCATTAAAAATAACTCAACAAGAAGCGAATTTATCCACCAATAGTGAGAATACATCTACTGAACTATTTACCGCATCTGTTCTATTAGAAAGTGAATCAGTCTCTTTAAATCATCGTTTATTAGGTTTAGTTGCAAGATCTACAAAATCTGTGCATATTTTACATTCAAAAATTAGTCATATCTTTTTTGATGCTATACAAAATTTTCATAATTGGTTTGATGATTTACATTCAAGAGTAAATGAAATTCATTCAGCTACACTTCCAATGCATATGATAACAAAACCAAATGATTCAAAGCAACTATTGACTGATACAAATCAATCAGTGGGAATTTTATCCGTAGATGTGTTGTCATCTAATTTGAATACAATTCGTGCAACTGTAGAAGTTAGTGGTTATATTTTATTTGTTATATTCACTACTTGGTTATCTGTTAGTAGTCGATTGAGTTCGAAAGAAATCATGAACTGTTATGAGTCATCGGATTAGTGATGTCTTTAGAGTATACGGTTGTAAAGATAGGATACTTATGTTAATCTGTCATTGTGAAGTTGCGAACATATTGTATATCCCTTAGCACTGGTCAGATTCTATCGATCAGTTCATAGTCTGACTTCTAGCCTAAATAAATTGATATTTCGGTTCACTTCGCTATTTCACCGATAATCTCAATCCGACAGTGTTTTTGTGACCCAAATAACACATTGTCAATGTTTGTGAGTATGAAAGCAGGTGGAACGAGTTTGAGTCCAACAGAGAGCATCATTTCCTTAAGACTGGAAATAACTGCCGGAAAATAGAAAACCTAGATCTCACCAATCACTTAAGGAATAATAATTATATAAATCTTGATTCTTCTCGATCATCTCTATTTATACCGAAAGTATTCCATCGTGCCATTTAAACAAATCATCTTCCAATGAAAACTACAAACGAATTAGTTTTCCATCGCTTCATTCACTCACTCTTTCGTCCTAACATTACTTACGAAATACCACACTTGTATATGTGTGTATATTTGCTAAACATTACGTTCGTGAATGTTTCTAATTCGAAAAAATATAGCGAACTTGATAAGAAATTATTTTATCTCTCGATATTTAGTATATCTGAACAGTAACCAACCGTCAAATGTCCTTTTAACATGTATTCTTTGTATTTGTCTAAATGTTAATCACTTAAAAGATCAATAATTTTTCATAGAATAGACGTATTGTAGGTACCAGTAAGAATCCGGAATTCCCTTTTCAACCTATATTGGATTCGTCAGCTTGATATAACTGGATCTTAACGTTGATGTTTATGTTGCTACTTGAATCAAGTATCTCTCACTTCAAATACTACTGAGTTCAGAAAGCCATTAACTTGTTTAAAGGTTAAGACGTTTATACTAGGAATTTGAAGGGTTTAAATTATTCCGTTTTTAATAGAGGTAATTGAAGTTTGATCAATCTTTGTTGGTATATGTGTATCCCGTGCAGATTACCTCGATTTAGCTAAGTCGTAGGTTATTTGTAGAAGATTTGTGACTATGAGTGGAAACCATTTTTGTTTACCCATGTTAGAGACATCTGATAAGTTAATTATGGATATTTTAGGAGTTGGAATCACGAACTGATCTTAGCTAGACCACCATTGAAAACCTGAAAACACTGGATGGCCATTTCGTTCTTATATGGGACATCCTTCGCCTCCGGTGAATGAAGGGTTACGCAAGATCATTGATTGGTTGATTTTAAACATTAACATCGTCAGTGGTCTAGAGGTTAAACGTTCACGAGCGAAACCGAAAGTCCTGAGTTTGGTTCCCGCTTATGAAATTGTAGGAGCTCACTGCTGAGCTTCAAGGTTCACTATGGTGTTGATATATGCCTCCAATTCCCAAAGCGATGTGTTTTTGAGTCTTCCTCTTTTCTTTTCGCCTTCAGGATTCCGGGTTAAGACTTGCCTCATAACGCCCTGACTTGGAATCCTGAAGGCAAAAGCAAAATAGGAAGGCTCAGGAACACACAATGAAAATGTTTGCTAAGTCCTACGAGAATGTTAAATGTTTCTTCTGAGCACATAATTTAGAGTTTCGGGCTGGAACCCTTTATAGCCTTTACAATATGTCAGAAACGAGATGCAAAACTGTTGAGGAACTGCGAAGGTAGTGAGCGTTAGATCACATGGAACGATTTACATTTACCTACTATATGACCATGTGTGTTGTAACCTTTCCAGGTCACACGGGCGGGTCTCGCTCCATTCGTTAATTAACTTGGTCATACGTTGGTTACAGCTTTTTCCACAGAAGCAATTGAGTCGGTAGATACACATCAAGTAGATATAATCAGTTAACTAGTTCTTCGTTTTAGTAGACATCACTAGTCGACTAGGGAATAACTAAGTAAGATTAGCTTCTTAAATTGTCATTTTAATCACCCTCATCATTCCATCATGTAAGATATCACGAGCTACATACCCGTTGTATAGTACTTTTGGTTAGAGAGGTTTCTTCAGAGCAGTCACTATCTATAACTAATCCCTGTATACATTGAAAAACTTTATTGATAGTGTGTTTTCTATGAATCAATCATTTACAGTATGTGTATTCCCACTCATACGGTGTAGGATAACTAATTCAAATCATTATTATCTATTCTATCTATGTATAGGATTTAGCTAAGAAAGTTCAATGTGAATCTAAACTCGACATTTTAAAAGAATTAGCTAAAATAATGCTACGTTCAAACTATATAGACATCGAGCCTAGTTTATCTGATCATATAAAAGATGATGAGGTTGACGATGTTGACGCTCAAGTGAAGAATGAAAAACAACCATCAGTTGATGATTTGCAAACATCACTGCCAACAGCTGAATCTCTTTTACAGTCTGTTGAAGATAAAGTCGAACAATTCACTAAAGTAGTAGAAACAACTGACAATAATCCACCTTCATCATTATCAATATCATTATTATTAACAAAACTCAACTCCTCTGATGCTTCTTCCATCTTTATGGAATCTGATAATTCAATAAGTCAGTTGCTTCGATTATGGGACAGTCAATTAACCAATATGTATAGTGAATTGAAACAGATCGAGTTGAAGCTTGATGCAGCACAAAAAGTTGCTATACAGTCTAAAGAATATGAAATTAAATTATCCGAAAATGTGATTATTTATGAAGAACGATTTAAGCAAATTATTTTATGGCAACAATCAATTACTATTGAATCGTGTAAAATTCGTCTTAATAAATTACAAGTAAGAAACATTCGATATTATTTGAGTTAATGGTGTTATATTTGGTGTACCCAATAAATTTAAACTTTAGGATTTTTTGTTAGTGAAAAAAGAACAAGAGATTAGAAACTTCTGATGAGTAGGTTATATTTTTTTCTGCTAAAATAGCGATAGAAGTCAAAATAGGCGTCTTATCCTATTTTGAAGTCGTCAGTTGCATATAATAAAAAGCCAAATATGAGTTGCACTAGAGGGATTCATTTCAAGCATTCGTTTATCCAAAGAGACATTTAGAATGTGAAGCGGGAAATCTAAGTGAAGAAGGCAACTCGCTAACTCGTTTTGGTAAAACGGGACTCAACATTTATAGTCAGCCAAAAATATGTGAGGAATAGGGTGAATACGTGGATAATCGACAAGGTCAAAGTGTATGACTCAAGAAGAATGAATGAATCGGTTTGTTCGGCGGTTAGAATGACTCATATGGTCACAAAATAGCACCAGACACTACAATATACTTTTTGACCAATGCATATTTCATAACACAACGGTGTTGTTTATTTTCAGTATAAGGTTGTGAAATTGTTAAGTTTAGATTGATATAATGAATGGGTCAGTATTAGACCACCATTGAAAACCTGGAGGCACTGGATGAGCATTTCGTCCTAGCACGGGACTCCTCAGTAGTTCACGTCCACGATTCCGCACGTGGGACTCGAACCCAGGGGCTTCGGTCTTGTGCGCGAACGCTTATTTATTCTAATTAACGATAACACTTTATTTCATCATTTATTTATATTTTTCTGTAATTTGTTATAATCTTAGGATTTACTTGTCCAATTAAACGGGGATAGTACTGAATTAAAACAAGCTCATGAAGCATTTAATCAATTAGTTAAATTATGTAATCTATCATTGTTTCATGAGTTCAATAATCAATCAACCGATTCCATTAATCAAAATGATAGTCCTGAGAAATTAAATGAAAGATTTATTTATAAATCTACTGTACTAACGGAAATTGAGTCTAGATTAAATGTTTTACAGTTATGTTTGGAAAAGGCTATTAATCATACTATTGAGGTGACTTCTGCCTTAGAAACTCAACAACGTACATGCAATGATGCGAACAATTGGATTGAAAATGTTACAAGTCAACTTCATCAGATTATCACAGAAAGACAAGAAACACCAACTAATCGTGATACTGCTCAAAAATATCTTGATTTAATACATGTAAGCTTATGGGCATCTTCAAAATGGTGTTCAGTTCTTGTTCTTATAATTACATTTTATTATATTTTCTTATGTAATTTCCATTCTTTTCCAAGTCAGGGGGTTAGGTAAAAGTGAATCGATTGGATTCCACTTCTGTTTCTGTAGTCTTATCATTGTTTAAACCAATTATCATAAATTAGCCATATATATATATATATATATATATATATATATATATATATATATATATATATATATATATATTTGCGGATATCTGAAGATATGAAATAACTATATCAGCAAAGATTCGATCACTAAGTGAGCATCTGGTGGTTTAAATTAATAATTATGGTTAATTCGTGCTCATCAGTTACCATAGAGCATAGGTTTTATTTCGTACATGGATGAGACTTACTTTACTTACTTACTCCTGTTACTCCTAATGGAGCATAGGCCGCCCACCAGCATTCTACAACCCACTCTGTCCTGGGCCTTCTTTTCTAGTTCCATCCAATTCCTGTTCATTCTCCTCATGTCTATCTCCATTTCCCGGCGTAATGTGTTCTTTGGTCTTCTTCTTTTCCTTTCGCCTCCAGGATTTCATGTGAGGGGCTTGTCTTGTGATACAGTTGTGTGCTTTCCTCAATATGTGTCCTATCCACTTCCGGCGCTTCTTCCTGATTTCTTCCTCCGCTGGGATCTGGTTTGTTCTCTCCCATAGTACGTTGTTGCTAATAGTGTCTGGTCGACGGATCCGAAGTATTTTGCTTAGACAACTGTTAATAAACACCTGTATTTTCTGGATGATGGCTTTCATAGTTCTCCAGGTTTCCGCCACATATAGTAGAACTGTCTTGACATTTGTATTGAAAATTCTGACCTTGGTGTTTGTTGACAGTTGTTTTGAGTTCCAGATGTTCTTCAGTTGTAAATATGCTGCTCTTGTTTTACCGATCCGCGCTTTCACATCTGTCTGGTCCTGCTGCTTTGCCACTCTTGATTTGTCTGATGGCCATGCTGATCTCTTCAATTGTTGGTGGCCAACATTGATTGGGAGGTCCGTGGGTGCTGCTTCGATATTGGGTGGGTTCAGTGGGGCTGGTCGATTCAAGAGTTCATTGAAGTGTTCTACCCACCTGTTTCGTTGTTCTTCAATGTTGGTGATTACCTCACCTTCCTTGCTTTTCACTGGTCGTTCTGGTTTGCGGCGATTTCCAGAGAGTTTCTTTGTCGTGTCATACAGTTGTCTCATGTTTCCTTCTCTTGCAGCCTTTTCCGCCGTCGTTGCTAAATCTTCCACATATTTACGTTTGTCGGTTCTGATGCTCCTCTTCACTTATCTGTTTACTTCTGTGTATTCAGCTTGTGCCTTGGCTTTTTCTGCTCTTGTTCGACTGGTATTGATTGCTGCTTTCTTGTTCTTCCTTTCTTGAATCTTATCCAGTGTATCAACAGTGATCCATTCCTTGTGATGGTGCTTCTTGTGACCCAGGACCTCATGACATGTTGAAGTGATTGCCTCTTTGATCCCCTTCCAGTTGCTCTCCACAGTAGTTCCTTCTCCATTGAGTAGATCATGAAAGGCCTGGAACTTGTTGCTGAGGACTATCTTGAATTTGTTGAGTTTGTTAGTATCCTGAAGAAAGGCCGTATTGAACTTTTGTGATATTGTCCGCCCCGTTGTCCAGTGCTTCTTGAGTTTCAATTTCATCTTGGCGACCAGCAAGTGATGATCTGATGCTATATCAGCTCCTCTCTTGGTTCTCACGTCCTCCATCGTCCTCCTGAACGTTTTGTTGATGCAAATATGGTCGATTTGGTTTTGTGTAGTGTGATCCGGTGAAGTCCATGTGGTTTTGTGAATGCGTTTATGTGGGAATATGGTGCCGCCTATGACCAGTTTATTGAAGGCACATAGGTTTGCAAATCTCTCACCATTTTCTTTCTTTCTCCCAGTCCGTGTCGTCCCATGATGTCTTCATATCCAGTGTTGTCCGTTCCAACCTTGGCATTGAAATCTCCCATCAGAATGGTCAGGTCCTTTGTTGGGCACTTCTCGATGATTGACTGCAGCCTATTTTAGAATTGATCTTTAGCGTCTTCATTGTGGTCGTTGGTAGGCGCATAGCATTGGATGAGGTTCATTGTATTGCCCTCTTTCCTTGTTTTGAAGGAGGCTTTGATGATCCTTGGTCCATGAGATTCCCATCCTATAAGTGCATTTTGTGTTCGTTCGGACAGCATCAATGCAACTCCTTGTGTCTGTGGGGCACTTTCTTCATCATGGCCGGAGTATAACAGGAGCTCTCCTGAAGTTAGTCGTTGTTGTCCAACTTTCGTCCAATGCGTTTCACTGATCCCAAGCACCTTTATGTTGTGTCTTCTCATTTCTGCAGCAATTTGGAAGGCTCTCCTGGTCTCCCACATTGTACAAGTATTCCACGTACCTGAATAAATGTTTGCTCTGGTTGTCAGAAGGGGCATTGGCCTCGTGACTTCCGAAGGAACTCGGCTTTCACCATGAGGCATCATAGTTCTTCTAAATGAAGACCTTCTGACTCGCAGGGCAGAGTTTAGAAGGTTTGAATAATTTTTTCTGGTTAGCGTTTTTTTAGCGAGTTAGTTTTCCATGAGATGGAGTCGCTAACCCCATACACAACCCTCCTCCTTTATCCGGGCTTGGGACCGGCGGTAGCCCTCAGAGGGACTCCAGGTGGAGTTACATGGATGAGACAACTGTTCAGACTTTCTTTGTTCTCATTGGTTTTTTAACTACAGTCAGTTCTTGACTTAAAACTACGAATCCAACAAAGGAAAGGGCTATTGCACATGCTTTTGTTTAATTCAGTGGAATAGCGGAAATTGGTATGAATATATAACTCATCAAACCTATTTTTATGTTTGAAAATGAAAGTAAAACGTTATACGTATACCATATTGATTGTTCATTATTTAATGAGTGGTCTAAGAAGATTTGAATATCAACTATGAAAAAAAGCACTATGAAGTGATAATAGTCGCCCATTTGGATTGTTTTTCAGATATTCCAGATGTAAACCATGGTAGGTGTGAGACATTATTTGATTCATTTGTTTTTACAACAAACGAAATGAAACTATTAAGATTACGAACTGACGAATATCCATTCAACAGTCTAAAACATTTCAGTCGTTTCATAACATGAAGTTTTATTGTTTTCATAATGCCTGCTACTAAGTAAATAGTTTTTGCATTTATACGTTCAACTTCGATTTCAGTTCGTGGCGGAAACTGTCTTTAAGTTGAAATAGTAATATTCGTAAATCATTTACCTAAACTATGCATGAAACTTATTATAAAGTTTTTCATTTTGGAATCAGCCAAGTAAAAGAACAAAAGTCTTCAGACTATTAATAAAGTTCCATATCACGAATTGAAGAAAATATATTATTGGTCATTAAATCATTGAAATGACTTGAGATATCCCTTGGAATTTGACTCATTTCCTGCTATGACCTTGATGCTCTGGTAGACCACGATTGGATTTGGCCATGGCTGATTCGATCTTGTGCTAATTCAAATTAAAATAATGCTAGTTGTAGAAACAGACATCACTTGATAGAGTTGAAAAAACCATTATTGCAGATAAACATGTCAACTAGTTACTCACAGTTCTAAAGTTCAGGAGGATAAAAAATGAATGTGTTTTTCAGTGTACAGTTGTTGGGAAATAGCTGTAGGATTTAATTTGTTCTACAGATATCATACCAGAACTGTGAACGCCATAATGACGTCGCAGAGTCTGTGTGAAAGCTATAGTCAGAACAAGGACAACTTGGCTTTAAACTTAATCTGTTTCTAAATGTATACACAATTTGATTAGTACGATAATTAAAGGAATTATAGTCATCAAGTGAAACGCACAAACATACCGACCAGTATTGCGTGTCTTATCGAAATGAGTAAAAAATATGAGTTGTAGTCATGCTAATACAATAGGATAATAATGTCTTTCAATTGGCAGGTCACATGCAACAGGGATAGCCTAAAAACACTTTAGATCAAGTTGACGTGATGGGCGTTTAAACAACAATTTGATTGGTTAGTAATGTGCATAACTAACAGCAGTTGGTAACAAACCCTCGTTGACTTAGGTTTCATGCCAGTTGACATGTCAACAAGATGTATCTGTAGTTTTGAGGGAAGTGATGCTCCCTTTAGGACTCGAATTTCTGATACTCAGTTCTACAGTCTAAAGCCATACCAGTGAGCTATTCGGCCACGACTCACCTCCTGTAGGACTGAAATATTCACGCTGATGGATTATTGACCGATGTCATCCATGTTTAGTCATTTATTGTTAGTCGACTTCAGTCGATCACTTCCTTCTCATTCATCATAATTTACAAAATACTTGTGTATTAACATATATCAAATTAATGCACGAAGATAAGATTACACATGCCTAATATGCTACATTTGGAAAGTTTTAAAACACTATCTGACCATTTCTTAAAACATATTTATTATTAATTATTGCAGACAAACTACTTTCAATGAACCAATAAGTTGTACTACAACGTTTTTTATCAAACAGCTTATCTGTCTCATATGCTTCATTAAACGTGTTTTTCCTCTCCCCCTCTCTCTCTCTCATTCATTATTTACATCACTTTCCCTGATTCTCTCCCTCTCATTCACCCACTCTCTCTCTCTCTCTGACAAAAGAACCTCAATGTAATATCCGACGATGGACGTGCAAAAATACAATTAGCTCAAAATACCATTGAAATTGCATGTAATTTGATTTTAACATCGGAATCATTCTACAATAAAATTAAAAATAATTATAGTTTGCCACCTAAGATGGAACAATCAAACAATAATGATCAAACCAAATTGGATGAATCAAAATCAATGGAATCATTTACAGAGAATGTATTATCATTTCATTCTACATTTATATCAGAATTCAATGACCAATTATTAAATTACTCATCTATGTTAAATAGTCGTTTCAATGTTTATTTAAATGAAATTGGGACCGTTTTAAATGAGATACAACTTGACTTAAATCAATGGACGTCTTATGTTGATTCAAAATTACGTTTAGAAAAATGGTTGAACATGGTGGAATTTGATTGGAAAGTGAATCAATTAACTGATTCTGATGAAGTCGGAGATAATTTGACGAATAAAATGTACTTTGTTACATTATACAAAGTACGTTATTACACATTACATGTTACATGTGATTATGTGTTATCATGTATTTTCTTTGTTTTTTTTTCAGTTGATAATAAGTGAGAAGCGGTGACCAGTAGAGTCCAATCTGTGCCGGGTGTGAGACAGTCACTCACTTAAGGCAATGCATGAAAACTGTTAAAAATTACAAAAAAATATTTCTACTTATTAGTAGTGTTGAATTCTCTGTTCTAAAGAAATTTTCATTATCTTTGTAGACAATATCGACAAAAGAAACTTCTTTAATATTTCGGCTGATTTCTTAGTGTAATTAACTGTTACCGAGATTTCTATGAATTAAATATTTGTCCATGATTGTTTTCAGTAATTAGATTTGAAGAATATATATATATATATATATATCATAAACAAATTTTATGATTCGTGCTGATGCAAATAAAGAGGATGATCATTTTGTTAAAGTCTGTATTTCTGTCAACTGTAATAGTTTATGTATCATTTAATTCCTTCAATTCGTTAAAGTTAAACAGATTTTGTTCGACTTTGAGTTAAGGTCATTCATGAATAGTACATTAACCACAGCCGTTACATCTGGATGTGTAGTTTTCCAGTTTTTAATATGCTTTACTGTATTAATTTAGATTCTTCCTCGCTTTCTACAATCCTGGCTCTAGTTATTTCAAACAGTTCACCAATTAGTCAATACCAGATTAGAATGTAAATTCTAGACAGGTAGATAGCTCAAAAAACAATGTAAACCTTATCAAAAGCAGTTCCGTGTCATTATACGTAAATATGTCTAAAGTTTTGTTCCAGCGTTCTAGGGATTTACTTTATTTAACAGGTCATATCTTTAGATTCCTATGTATTACATAACGAAGTTTTTTCTATTATTATTATTATTATTATTATTATTATTATTATTATTATTCACGCCAATATGGTCATTATAATTTTGTTTTTATAATCATATTTCTTTTAGCAACGATTACAGGATATTGATTCCCATGAAAGTCTTCTTAACACTGTAATTAGTTGTGGAAATCAGTTCAATCGAAGAAATTCAGACAATATGATTAGTACTACTGGTACTACTACTACTACTAATAATAATAATGATCAAGTAGTTCTTCCTACTGAAGAAATCCAAAATTTTCGAAAACGTTTTGAATCACTTCAGAATTTTATAAATACACGTTTAAAATTACACCAAAGTCGTTTAGAAAGATATAAAAAATTTATGGAACATAATCAGAAATTTGAAGAATGGCTTTCTAATACAGAGACAAAACTTAATTATATGATAGAAGATATCGTTGGAAGAATTGAACATTTAATTCCAGAAAGTGAATCCTATTCTATTACATCAAATAATGAATACAATCAGAATTTATCAATAGGGACTCAATTTATTAATAAAGATAATAATCTATCAATATACATTGAAAAGATTGATAAATTATGGTTATCTATCATGAATAATGCTGAAAGTCAATTAGACACATTCAATTCATTATTTCTATCAATTGAAAAAGAAGTAGAACATCCAGAGAACTTCCAAATAAAGATTATTAACTTTAAAAATCATATATTTCTTAATTTAAAACAAAAGATTAATGATCTTATCAAAAATTTAAAAGAATATCAACATTACAATGAAGAATTTTTAAATCAACTGTCAAGGTCACAAACTTATATGAATAATCAAGAAAAAAGAATTATTCAATTTTCAACACGACAATTATGTAATTCTATGCCAGATTCAATAATGATGTTAATTGGTAGTGATGGTATAGTGAATTTACCTGATAATTTAGATGGTAAATTATTTTATATTCAAACATTAAAACAAATTTCAAATGATTTAAATCATTCAGAATGTTCTAATTCCATCCAATTGTTACATGATTCGCGGGAACAATTAATTTCAATATTGAATAGAATTAAACAAACAAGTTTATCTCAACAAAATATTCTTATAATAAATAATAATTATTTAGATAAACATTTAAATTATATAAATAATTATTTGAAAAGATTAAAAAAATATTGTGAAGATTTAACACAATGTTGGCAATTAGCAGTAGATAATCATTTGAAATTTCAAGAAACGTTTCAATCATGTTCAATGGAATTTCAAATGATCAAATCAGAGTTTATTGAAGGTTGTCCATTTAATGATGAAATAGAATTAACTAATACATTAAATAATAATGATAATAATAATCATGAAATATCTCCGAAAACAAAATGGAATAGAACCGATCAAATTTATAATCATTTCTTAGGATGGTTATCAAATTTAATGAATAAACTTGATCGATTCACTGTAATATCTTATCAATCTTGTATAGAATTATTACAACTTACTTCATTAACAACTAGCTTAAAAGGATATAATTTAATGAATGAACAATTAATTGAATTAAAAAAATCAGCTGAACAATTATCAACTGATCTTGTTGAATTATATCATCGAATTGAATTAACAATGATTGAACATTTAAAGATGGATCAAGAGAAATATGAATTAAAAAATTGGTTAAATGAACATGAACAAAAATTAATTGAATTGAATAAACCATTAGAAGTGGTTTTATCATTTGATAATATCATTTCATCATCATCAACATCATCGGAATCTTTGAGATCATCTTTATTTTCATTAAACGCAATTTTATCATCATGGTCTATGTTAATGAATGAAAGACAATCAAATTTACAAAGTTTTCGAGTAAATAATTATTATCAGAATGGGGATTTGTGGAGATTATAATAATTTTAATAGTTGAATTTATGAGTCCATCTAAACTAAACTATCAATAAAAACCTGGAACCGCCAAATGGTCGTTTCATTCTAGCATGAGACTCTTCAGCAATGCGCAACCACGATCCCATACACAGGGCTCGAACTCAAGACCTTCGATATCACTCGCGAACACCTAACCTCAAATGACTAAGCCGGCATCCAACGGTGGATGAGTGCTGCTGAGGAGTCCCATAATAGGAAGAAACGGCCTTCTGGTGTTCCCAGGTTTCCAATGTCAGTCTAGCTTAAAGCGACTCATGAACTCGACTATTAAATAATTATTGTTTGTTTTTGTAATACGAATAACTGATATTAAACAAGAGAGTTTATTAAAAGTCAAGAATTATATTGTTAGATAATAGTGGGTAAATTGAAAATAGTGGAACATTTTAAACTATACAGTGAATTAATAAATTTGTTCATACTGTGTAATTATTCGATTATTGATATATGATATTTTCATATTGTTCTATTTATAAGCTTCTATTCGACTTATAAACTGTTGAACTGTTCTGAATCTTTCCCGAATTTCTATTAATTAATTGTTTCAGTATGGCGATTTGTGAAGATTTTAGTATTTTCACAGGTGAAATCATGAGTCAATCTAATAATACTACTAGGAATACTAGAATCTGTACAAATCCCCATACTGATTAACAAACATGTACTTACTAGTGACTAGCTTCAATATGTAACTTCTAGATTCCTAGCGAGAAGCCAGTGGAGTCCAATTCATGTCCGGTGTGAGACAGTTATTCACCTCAGACAATGGATGAAAAGTTGCACAAGATCATGGATTAGTTGAAGTTAGACTTTAACACCGTTGGATGCCGGCTCAGTGGACTAGAGTTTAAGTGTTTGCGCACAGGACCAAAGGTCCTGGTTATGAATCCCACGTGCGTGATCATGGGTGCGCGCTTTTGAGTGGTTCCATTCTAAAACGAAACGCTTTCCAATGATTCTAGGTTTTCAGTGGTGGTGTAACTGAAATCAGCTCGTGATTTCAACTGTGAAAATTAATTGTTTGCATATTGCTCAGTTTAAAAAAATCTTATATGATTTGTTCATAAATTATTGTTTATTTATAGTGTATTATGGTCATGTAACTAGTGTAGATAAACCAATAAGTTTTTCAGGCATGAAAATGGAGAACAACAGAAGGCTTATCGGTTTACTGACAACTGGCTATTGAAGGTAAAGGAAGAGACTCTAGTCTATCGGGATTTAGGATTTCTTGGCCGTAGTTTTCAGTCATTTGCGTCATTCGTTAAAGAGAAGACTGTTAGTTCAATCAGAGTAAGCCAACTAGTAATTAGCGAACTCTTGTGACCTGATTAAGTGAACATAGAAATGATCGGAGGTCATAACACACTGTTGATCCAACAGCTATTGCTCCGACCTGGCTTACGACTTTTCAGCAGTGTTCACTTGCTACGCTTTATTGAAGCGAACTCAACGATCTTAAAGTCTTATAATGGACTTTGAAACTATTGAGCGTTTAAGTCTATATTCAACGTTCTACACTTCGCACTCTAAACCGATTATGCAATAGCACAATTCTTATTTATTACCATGGATGTTCTATTACTGCCTCACTTCTACATCGGCAAAATTCACTAATCACAGCGTTTAATTATTTAATGGAATCGTTCTCATTCCAAACAAGAATGAGATATTTACTAATAAACATTGATTACATCGCTATATAATTTGGATATAAATTGACGAATGAATCAAATCCTGAAGTAAATCCATTTTCATAGTTTCTCATTGGGTTTAGAACTTTTATTGAAAGTAATACGTCAGTGTATAAATCTAAAGTTACTTACATTTCATAAGGTCATTAAAAAGTGACTGGAAAAAGAATGGGTGAGTCACCTTGTGTATTGCTTTTCTTTTTGAGACTCGGATATAGGATCAATCGCGAGTTAAGAATAGTCATCTCTTCTTCAGTCAGTATTGTTTTCATAATGTATATCTGTGTAGTAGAGTATAAAGCTTGATGAAAATTCAACTCATCTTTGAAATTCACTTACTTCAAATGGATTAGTGTAAAAACATTAAAACCACAAAACTTGAATGATTAAATTAGTGTTTCTACCGGATACAATAGATATTAACTTGCTTGATACAATCTTTCTTATGATATAAATCTCATCTTCAATTCATCAAAACAACCATGATTATGACTAAAGTTGATAAGATGTGAAAAAGTTTGAGATTAATAACTCATCGATCAATTGTTAAGTCACACTGAAACCATCGACGAACGATTACTATTCACCTAACTAATTAATTCGTAAAAGTTTCTTATTATCATAAAATTGTTTTTAACATTTCAACATTTCCTCTTTTATTTTTCCTCATAGCGAGTATTCCAGAATCTATCTTCACGCAGTCAACACTTAAGATCATTTGAAGAACGTCAATCTTTAGTTATTTCAAATTATAAAACTTACATAGTTGATCGTGTAAATAAATCAGTCATTTCTGATGACATTAAACAAATTATTTCTAATGTATCAAATAGTGAATTGAACACAGATTATAGCAATTTGATAAATTATAACAAAGAGTTGATAAGTAAAATTGAAAAAATCATTAATCAAGACACTAAATTTAATGATCTAGCTCAGTCATTATTATCTGAGATCAATACACTCTCAGATAATCTTCGTATTCTGGAAGAAGATTTTTGCGACATGAAATCTCATATTGTGATGGATAATAATAATAAATCAGTGGTCGATTCACAAGAGTTGTTATGGACACGTGATCTAGTACAGTATAAAATCAATGAATTAAATCAACAAACACGAGATGTTTCCTTAAAGAATATCCATGAAAAATTGAACATACTCGAAGAGATGTTCAATAGTTTAATTAGTTTAAATAATCCAGAGGAAAATTTGGCAAATGAATTACTTATTTCAATGAAAAATCAATTGAGTAAATTAACCGAAAGAATTGATCAACAGTCAGCTTTATTATCTTTGATACTTAATCAAATGAAAGATATGTCTGAAAAGATTGTTCAACATAAAGAATGGTTTTCTCACTTGCTAATTAAAGTAGAATCAATTGAAACGGAGTTACCTGTTGACTTAGAGTCTAAAAAGACATTATTAGTACAATATCAGGTAAGAAATATATTTTTACAGAAGTATTGATGAAATTAAGCGCTATTGACATCGCTATAATTATTTATTCCAGTTCATAAGTTCTTATAAGTAATAATCTTTAAAATAAATAATTTATAAAATTTGAAAGATACTTATTTTCACTCAGAAGATCAAATGTCATCGCTTCTCCTATCATGAAGATGAGATAAAGGATGATTCATCCTGCAGTAGAACGCAAAGGAACTTTCAGTAGATGCTAATTTTCTCGTAGACTATTTCGAATAACTATGGATTGTAATTTTTTACTATGATCTTATTCTTACAAGTCACTGTAGTTTAGTTTGTTAGTGCTTATATCTTCTCGTTGTTTATGTTGGATTCTGCAGTCGATTAGTTCCTGATGGTGTATGTTCATCTCATCCTCAACCGATCGTCTTGATATTACCATTCAGTTATAGACTAAGTAAGTCAGCGAATAACGCTTTGGCGTTTGAGGTACTGGGTTCATGTCTCCCTGTTGATATCAACAGGGAGCTAGATGTATGTCCCGACAAGAATAATGAATGGTAACTTTTGGGATCTGTTGATGGACCAATACTAAACGTATATTTCTATTGTATAATTATTAAGTAACTAAACTATGCATATTCATATTCCTCTTATTATAAGCTTTATGTTGACCCATAAACTATTATTATACGTTTTACCATTCTTGAGTTATACCCGGTATATTAATTACTACCTCCCTCATTCACAGCCACATCTGGCTAATTCTTGTACAAATGTTGTTTCATATTTTATTGGTACGTTGTGGTCTGTTTGATTGGTATATAAACTCAGTATGTTTGAAATATAATGATTCACATCGCAGAGGCTCGGATTGGTGTTCTGGACTTAACTGTCTGGGCTAGGCAGGAAGCAGGGTCAATCGTAACCCTAGGCTGCTCGCACGTGTTTTACGCTTCCTTGGTCCGATCGATAACTCACTGCTCCCTAATTAGCAGTCACAAGATATAACAATGAGCAGAAACAAAATAGCCATGTTAGGTTTACAACAGATGTATGCCTTATTCCAAGTACTATTTTATATTTGTCAAATTTGACTATTAGCGTCAGAATAACTGATGAGACTGCACATGTAGGTTTATTGGGGTCCATGAAGGATTTGTAAGACTTAGTGAAACCAGTTTGAGAGTCAAATCGATTTCCTGGAAGTATTGGTTTTTATGTCATGTATAAAACATTGGGTGTGATCACGATGCTTTGTTGATTGACGAATACAACATAGAGTGGTCAAACTGCACTTAATTTATTACTCGTATTATACCAGTAAGAATAAATCCCATACTGAAGCGTTTAACTATAAAGGATTCAAAAACCTAAGTACTTCTCATAAATCTAGAATGTCCTTGTATGTTGTTTTTTTTTTACACTCACTCATCTATTTTTATTACTTTCCCCAGGATATTCTAACTGAAACTACGGAACGCATTTCAGAAATAAATGTAATCTTAAAAGATTGTTGCTGTAACAGTGCGACATCATTTGTTTCTCAGAAATCAGAAAAAATTACTGAAGAGTCAACAGATCTCAATTTGAAACCATCATCACATCCAGTTAAAATGTATCCTGTTGATGTTCAATTGGTCAAAAGTTTAAAATCACTTCATTATGATATGAATCAAGCATTGGAAAGAGTAAATTTAAATTTAACTCGATGGAAGCGTGCTATAACTCGGCATGAGAATTTAATTGAATCTTTGAAAAATCTTGAGATAATTTTAACAAGATGTATTGTTAATACTTTCTATTGTGCTAAGCATATGTTGAATTTAGAGATGGATATGAATGATGAGACTACATTGCTTAGATTTCCTGTAAGTAGTGTACTTTCCAAATGCGTAAATATTATACAAACATATGTCAGTACTGATTTAGATGAAGTCAACAGATTATTGGATGAGATCAACTTGACTTATGATAGTGTCGTACAAGATACATGTCCAGAAAACATGAATATCATTAAATTACAAATTAGGAAAGATCAAAATCAGTTTACAAATTTAGAACATAAAATACACACATTACAAGCTTATTTAACTAATCTCAATGATCGTATTGAGTTATTCACATCCATTGATAATAATTTGAATGAACGAATCTACAGCCTTTATAATCGTCTTAAATCTGAAAGTATAAATTTATGCTCAACTCAAATTCAAGAAATTAAAAGATATCTTAATATTTGGCGTGGAATTAATGAAAAATTCAAACAAATCCATCAAGATTATATGAATGAAATTAAGCCTTTAATCAAAGAATTTCAACACTTGAAAGTTGAGCATTTACAATTTTTAGAATTGTATCAGAAAAATTTCTCATTTGAATCTAAATCAGTTACAAATGAAGATCATTGTTTACTGGAACAATTACCTACTATTGAATCAATCACAATTCAATCTATTTTTGAAGAACGAAATAATAAACTGCTAGAGATTATTGAATTTATTAATGTAAGTTTTTAATATACGTCAATAGTGAAGTTTAAGGTCATCATTATACGTAGTGTCGAACTCTTCCAGAAGTTTTTTTTGCCACATATGAGGCTAAATTATTTTAATCGAATAGTGTTGCGTAGTTAATTGTAAGCGATCTGCAAAGATTTCGAACTGTTAGTTTCGCAGTAGTTAGCACTCGACGATGAAGTGTATATTTAAAACCTTTTAACAACTATCTTTCCAAGTGGTATTCGAGCCCACATAATTACACAGTGTTATAGTCCCCAAATATATTAGTACGGCCGAGGTTGGGGAGTCATCTCTCCCTCTCGAAATGCCCTCATATGGCCACGCGTATACAGCCACTGCCAGGGAAGTCCTACTCAATGCCTCTTCGCGACGGGGTGTTGTTTGAGAAATTGTACGGACGAAATGCGAGTGTTTGGCGCTTCAACCGGGTTGGTGGTAGATATGGAGGGTCCATCTAGGGGATTTGAGAAACCTTGACTCCGAACCAATGTAGCCTATGGGCTCCAGGATCCTGAAGGAATAAATGGCATATGAACCTATTTTTGGTCACCGACCACCATGAGACTGCATCTCCTAACGCTGCTGCACAGAGTTTTGGATTAGACTTTTACGTCAAAGGCTTGTAAAAGCCACGTACTTCGGTTTGAACGCACGAGCAGTATTCCAGCCCTCACACAAATCATTCGATTTGTGTGGTTCATATATATTTGGTGCCTCCGTGTACCGGTGTTTATATGTTCCAATACATAAATAAATAAATAAATACGGTGGTATTACAAGTGAGTTATTTCATCCCATGATTGACCTCATGTAATTTTGTTGTGTATTTGTTTGTATGTATTCATGAAGTGGTGATCGGTGCGATTAACGTCCAACACTTGATTCTTACCAATGAAAACATTTGAAGTCAAACATATATTTAAAAACAAACAACTTTAAAATTTTTCTGACAAAGAAATTGGTTATTCATTCTTGTTATGACACACGGTTTCCGAGTCATATACAAATACACAAAACTTCCTATATGCAAGCCACAGTTGGCTACTGAGTGAAGAAATTAGGGGTGAAGAATGAAGCTCTTTGGGTCAAACAGATTCACTAACATAAGCACTCGTTTACATGGCCAATAACATACACTTATCATCAGGCTTTTACATGCCACAACGTGGCATTATTATCTGATAACTTTTGATTGGTCCACTTTATAAATTCTTAGCTCTTATTTTCCAAAAAGATGTATTTGACATTCTAAATTTCTTTTTCGAAAAAAAGCATACCATGTTAAGCTTTGCTTTACATTTCCATAAAGATTTTCGGAAAACATACACTCATATTCTGTTGTAGTAACTCTACCAGCTGAAAGATGACTGGGTGATACAGATAAATAGATTCTTTCATGAAGTTATGTACTGTTAACCACTCAAAAAGAATTGTATCTTGAAAGATGAATTCCTTAAGAAGCACCATTTTCCCGCAAGATTATAGATACATCTTACTGACGAGTGTCAATTAGCTTGAAAATTAGATTCTTCAGATTTTCTTAATGACTATCTCCGATAATCCGATATCCACACGGTGTCGAACCACTTAGATTAGTGAGCACAATAATGCTTGATTGACGGACAACGATCGACGCTCAAAAGTGGCTGGACAAGCATGACATGGGTCACCACCTAGTGATCACTCAGTTATCAAAGATGAGGTATTTACACCACTTCATAATTTATTTGTAACAATCTTTACTTTATGAATATACTGATAATTGAACAGTGATAACCTCTCCCATTTAGGCGGTCATCAAATCAATCGATGCCATCAGTTCCACCTGGTCTCAATCTGAACGAAAGTTCATTCATTGTCACTCTTGGATTAATGGACTTTCAAAAAAATTCATGCAAATTTCTCAAACCAACTTGAAAACTGATATTACTAACACTTCAGATGGAGGGGAAGCAGTAGTAACTGAACCCAGTAACCAGTCATCACCAGTATCGCCTTCTAGTCATATTTTAAATCGATTAGATCAATACACAGCTCAAACTTGTTTATCACTTCTAAAAGTGAGTGTAGTTCATACTTTACCTTTATGTTTTCATGATTATTTTAAATCTTTCATCATTGTGATATTGTAAAATTCAACCATATTTGTTGGGTTTGCATCTAACTGGAAATTATGTTGCGCACTGGGATTAGTAGAGTTTAGAGCGGCGTATTTTAGAGAATCTGGAACAGAAGAGAAAGAAAAATGGGTGAAATTACACTGTACTAACGGCCTTGAGTGGACCAAGTGGAATTGAGATTAGGGCCTCTATACATTTTCGCGGGAAATCGCGGAAGTGCGCTATAAGACAGCTTGTATATTATTATAAATTAACTGGAAATTCACAATATTTGGTTCGTAAAATATTCGATATTGACAAAAAATATCTATTATGCAACTCTAAACAGTGAATATTACATGGTACCTTAAGCTAAATCTCAAGGAAATATCTGCTCGTGATGCGGATTATATGTTGGAGTACTTTGTGTGATTCAATCATAGTCGAGAATGTTTGTGTAGTCAGATGATATTTTCTAGTTTACCTCGTAACGCTGAGTCTCATTCTTGATTTTCTTGAGTTTCTAAACAACAGTGATTAGGCTTCACCGGATTAAGGTTGAAATTAGTTGCTGACGAAAACCCTGTAAAGAGTATAGGCTTAAAACTAATGTGATTTCATTTGTGTGAACTTAGCTTTTTTGTTTCACTATAATGAATAATTCAAGATGTAAGCAATAATTAGTCATATCAAACTATTCTTCCACTGTGAATATTTTACTTTTCATTGTTAATTGTTTTATAATTAAATATTTTTTCTGATTAACCAAAAAGTTGAATAAATTCTTTGGTAGAGCTCACTTTTGCCAGAAGAGTGAGCTGACAACTGAGTAAGCGCTAAAGATCCATTTACTTTTGACAACGAAGCTGTTTGGCAATAACCTACAACAACACTCGAGTGAAATTCAGATAATCTATTACTTCGAACTAAAGGTTGATAGAGTGCAGTTTCGGATGTGTTTGAGTATGTGAATGATTTTTAAAAAAGAAGAACACGGTTCTCGAAATAATAACCAAAAGGAAATGAACGTTTACAGTGTGATAAGTTCAAGTGAATAGCTTAGATTCATTTCATTACAATTATCATACAATTAGTAATATTTTAATATCAAAATTGAAATATAGTCTAATGCCTATGTTTTCCGCTGAAATAAAGTCTGTTTAAGAATTAATTTGCTGACATTTATCAGCACTGTGTAGCGTTATGTTGAATTTATTGTGAATTTAGAGAAAGTTTAAAAGGTTATATTACACAATATGGATGGTATTGGGATATTAATGCAAACAGTAGTAATCAAAAATCGTAGGGTCTACAATAAACGGTTACATTATTCAATGATTTCAAGTTATGCATATCTTACCCTATCTTATCTAAAGTGAGTTAATAAGCCAACTGATTTTCGAAATAAATCTTTATTGAAATATAAGGTTTGTGGGTATATATATATATGGCTGCGTCGTTGATACATACTACTGAGTACTCATCTTAAACTAGGGAGAAACTTTTCACAATGCTCCATGATTTTTTATAGTTATCTTTAGTCGATCTCGCAAATAACGTTTTACAAACTGAACATTTATGTTGATGATATGATCTTTTGTTATCTGATCACAGTAATGTCTTAATATTTCACAGGAATTTCAAACTGAACTGAATCAAAATAATTTATATTTTGATGAATATCGCAATGCATTGTACAATGTTCAATCGTTAGGTTCAACGATCGACTGTTTGTTTAATATATTCAAACAATTTGATGTTGACGTTAATGATGATTTAAAATCGAATCATTCTAATTTAATACAAAAATTAAGCGAAGAACTTGAACAGTTTCAAATGAGTTGGGAACAATTACAAACTGAAGTGAATACTACCCACCAAACGATGTATCAACATTTAGAACAAATGGAACTATTTAATTGTAAACAATTATCTCTACGTAAATTACTCACAGAAATTGAACAAAAAGCTTGTCTAGGACCTTGTTCAACTACTAGTGTGGTGGATTTTAATGAATTGGAAAAGGATACAATGAATTGTTTAAATGAACAATATGTTGATGAAGTTGATGGTAATAATAATAATCAAGGTGAAAATAGTTATGTTGTCATTTTTGACAAACTTATGATTGCTCAACAAAGTATTGTGGATTGGTGGGAGGTAAGTTGTATTATGATTTATACGGATACCCATTAATTGACAACAAAATGTCTCCTCTGTTTATTTTTTAATACTTATTGCGATGTTTATAGAATCTGTGTGACTCATTTTGTAAATGACTGAACTTGTTACGGTCTGCGATCGCTCGATTTAAGATAAAATCGCTTCCTATACTCTTCTCCATCCAGCAATATGAGAAACGGTAATAAATTAATAGGAAACTGCAAGTGACAAACCGAATAATTAGGTACACAATTCATTAAAATATATACACTTACTCTTCTAATCAAGAGCAGGGTATGTTGGCTTCGATCCTGACTTATAGCACAATTGGCTTCCTCCAATAATACCTCTTTCCTTTTTCTAATTAATTTCATAGATTCTTATTGTCCAAATAATCCCCATCGAAATGTTTCGTTTCAATACGTTTCTTGTGATATGAACTGGTATACTATTATGATAGATGACCCGATTTGGATCATTATTTTCGGAGGATTTAACTTCCAGCCAAATAGGTCCAAGGTTCAATATCGCCAGCCGTCAGTGTTGAATATATAAACCTATCCCTAGTAGATATGCTGTTTTAGACACTTTTTCTGTCAGCCGGAACAGCTTCTTTTTCTCTCTGTGTGTTGAAACCGCTTTTTCCTCCTTCCTTGCTTTTCCTTCGTTTTTTAACCACTTTTTTAATCTTTAAAACATAAAATACAGGCTTTTATTCAACAAATCGAAGAAGAAATTCCTAGAATCAAAGATGAATTGAAAACTATTAACAGTATTGTCTTTCCCACTCCCACTGGATTACTGAATCAATTGTTACATGTGGAAGAGATCTTAGCTAAAGCTCATGTAAGTTATGAAAATTCATTCATTCTATTTCTTTTATTGGTTTGTTTCTGTATTTTTGACAAACTTTTATTGCAATTTCAATGGTTTTTGACGTATTCAATTTCAAATAATTGGAGATATAAGATCCTAAATCAGTAAATACTAAAGATATCTTGATCGTCTAGAAGACTTCAAGATTTCACCAGTATGATCATTGGTTCACACTGGTGGACAGTCATAAACTAAGAATAAGTCATTTTACAACACTACATAGTGTTATCAACCTGTGTATTTGTTCGTAATGTGAACGTTCTTCAAATCTCTGCGATCCCTTCCATTATCTTATACTAATTAATCTATTCAATGATTTTTAGGTAAACCAGACGGATTTGGTCTCTATTCATCACTATTAGGACTGAAAAGCATAACTGTATCGCTTCTCTGAGATTTGAATTTATATAATCCAGTAATTTTTACTTTTTTGTAACAAAAATATTTCATTGAAATCATGAATCTAAGTAAATACCCATTGTTGATCAGTATCTGTTTTATTTTATCAAGTTCAATATCGATTATGTATTCGTTACAAATTCGTTTAGCCCTCGTACATAGGGATTCAGTCAGGTTAGCCCTTTGCTTCAAATGGGACCTAACTTTGAAAATTCGTGTATTGATTATTACAGTTTGACTTGCTATACATTGATTCTTGGAGTAAATTATAAGATCTCGCTTTTAATAACACATCTAAGCAGTGAAATTCTGAATCCAATTATCTTCGCCTTAACAGTTTTTACCAGGCGATTATTACATAACTCTTTTTCAATATCTGAATTTCGTAAACAATTCATGATAATTATTCAACACCATTCTATATTACTATAGACTGCTGTATTACGTTACTTGTTTGTTTTCTTCACTAATACTAACGTACTCTCGAAATTAGCTTAATGTTTTAAGTTTGTTTCTCTTTTTATTTAAAAAAAAAGGAAATCTTAAACGTAAACAAAGAAGGTTTAACTGGTTTAAACGATATGATTGAAGCTTGGAAGAATTGGCAACATTGGTGGTTTGTTGACAGCGAAGCAAATACTATTCATGATGATCATGGTGAATTATCTAATTTTGTCAATAATATAAATGCATTTAACATAGATGGTTATTTAGATAATAATGAATTCATTAATTTACAAAGAAAATTAGATCAACTTTATAAATTAGGTGAATCTGAAGGTAAATTAAAATTGATTGATTTAATGGAAAAATCAAATAATCTTCAATTGATAAATGAACAACAAAAAAGAATTTTATAACATTTATGGTTTTATCATCCAGTCAACAACAACAACAACATCAACCGTCTTCTTCTTCTTCATCATCATCATCTATAACAATAACATCAATTCAACAACGTCAATTACCACTAAATTTAAGTATTTTATTTATTCAAAAATTAATTCGTTTAGCTAATCATCAATATTCATTGATTTTTAATGATCATCTCCCTTTAATTATTGATTATTTAAATCATAAAATTGATTTAATTAATAAATTTCTTGATGAATTTCAACAATTTACTAATATACTTAATGATAATGAAATAAAATTAAAAAAATTCGAGACATTTTTATTATTATGTAATTATAATCATCAAATGAATAATTTAAAAGAAAATTCTTACAAAAAATTACAATTATTAAATATTGATTTTAATGAAATAACATTAAATTATATACAATTAAAATTTTCTTCTGATATATCAGTGTTTTTATCGATTCAATGGAATGAATCAATATTTATTGATTTTTTAAATCAATTTTCAATCAATGTTAAATTATTGATGAAATTAATTCAAGTAAGTTAAATGAATGCAAAATTGTAATTTTAATAATAATAATAATAATAATCAATGATTTGTGTGTGATATGGGGATGGGGTCAATTAATTTATAACTTAAGTTTTGTATTAACTATCAGATGATAAGTCTACTCATGATTGCGTCCAAACTTATTGGCTTCCATCATACTTCATAGGTTTTTCAACACCCGAGAAAGATTGACTCGCGAGGAGCAGGTTGGTTTCCATTCTAGTCGAGGATGTGTTGAACATATCTTCTTCCTCCGTCAAATATCAGAACACCGCCAGACTTATCATAGGTCAACAATCGTAGTGTTACTTGATATTAGGACCGCCTTCGATTCGTTGGACAGAACTGTTCTCTGGGATTGTCTATTGAAGAAGAATGTGTCTGAAAAGTTGAATAACATATTGAAGTCCTTGTATATAAACACCTAAGGCTGAGTGAGGGCATACACCCATCTCTCTCCACCGTTCCATTCAAGCAGTGATGTTAGGTAGGGTTGCTCAATCTCACCATTCCTCTTGAACTTTGCCATCGATGACGTTCTGGAAAAAGCTCCGGTTGATAAGTGACCGGTTATAGAAAAGCGAAGAGGTAGACAGTGTACAACAGTGTCATGGTTTGGAAGAAAGCTGGTTGTATTCCTCCAAAATAAACTGTTTCTCCCATTATTATTATTATTATTATTATTCACTGTTTTTTTTTCATTGTACGCACTTTACATTCTTTATCTCTCCGCATTTTCATTGGTATTGTGTGGCGCATACGTATTTGGTGCCTCCTATCAATGTTTATGTGTTCAAATAAAAATAAGTAACTAAATAAATTTTAATAAGAGATACATCAGCAACATACTACAAATAAGTATTTTAATATAATCCTGACTTACTGATATATGTATAAAATATATATGAAGCTTTCCGTGACCACCCGTTTTTTTTCAATTTTCTGTTTGCATTTTTTGGAATGCTTAGTTTATTTAGTGTTGCTAAGAGCTCTAGGTAATTCCTCAGTAGAGCGTCAAGAAGTCAGAAAAATATTGTCAACTGATTAGGTTTTAGAAAATTCCAATTTTACACATAATCCCTCAAATTAGTTTGTTTTTTCTCGATACAATCTAACCTTTGAAGTAAGGATCTTCCGATCATGCAACCTTTTTTCTGTTTTGCGATTAAAAAGTAGAGAAGCCTTCTCGGCTGAAGGTCGGAAACAGTTAGACAACTTGGTTATTCACTCCCAAATCTAATTATCCAAGGGACAAAATCTTTCTGCAAGAACTACTGTCTACCATTGGGCTTGCTATGTAAGAGTGGAGGGGGTCCATGTATTTGGTAACATTGTTGTATTGTAATTTAGATTATCAAAATCTACATTAATCAGCTCTAATGAGTTTAAAAACTTACTAAGTAATATTCAATATAACTTTTTCAATATGATACTATGAGACATAAAATCTATACTAATCATCAATTGGGATATTAGCAATGATTGTCTGTGTAGTAACGAATATCTTGTTTTTCTAGTTGTTGATAAATACCAAACAAATTCTATGTATTCAGTTTTAATTAGGCTATTAGTCCAAATGACAGAATATCCTATGGATTATATCCAGATAATACTCATTTGAAGGCAATTAACAGGTGACTCTTTATCTATGGATCCCTGACTACAACGCTTTGTGATATAATTTTGAATTACACCAGATCACCAGTTCAATAATAGTCACAAATACGCCTCCTTGTTTGACTAGTACTTGCTAGCACAAATCTTAAGTTCTATGGATTTTTGCTGATTAATAGCCAGACCATTTTATTCAAATAAATGGGTCATGTTAAACGTACAATTCTACTTAACATCTCTAGTTTTTCCCTGTTAAATTGAAACGATAAATGAATAAATGTAAGAAGAAACTGCAACAATTGAATTAACATTACTGTAGCTGAAAGCATCTATTATCTTCATCTTCAATTTTGAATTTTTAAAATATGTAAATGATTTTTGAAAACATGTATTTGATAAGTTGATGTAATTATTCACATTTTACATAACTATTTCTCATGTTATTATTTTTCCTATTTCCAACTATAGTCAAATAGCGAAAAACTCTACTCTCTGGAAAAATTAGCCTGTACGCTTGAAGTTCCAATAACACAGAGAAGAAAACAAATGACAACATCGACGGAGACAACAACAGTGGTAACACATGATGACGGTCGTAGTGGTCGTAAATTAATTGAATTAGACAATGTCACATCTCGTTATTCAGAATTAGTTAAACGTGCTCAAGTGGTTGTTAAACAAACAGATTCTTGTAGAGACTTATTTAATAAATTAATGTCTAATATTAGTTCAACTAGTGAATGGATCAAGCAATTGGAACAGAACATTTCAAATTATGCCAATCTCTCTGGAGATAGACATGTTTTACAAACTAGACTTGAATTAGTGAAAGTAGGTAAACAAATTCCTTTCTTTTTTGTTGTAGGTGAAATATTATATATATATATATATATATATATATATATATATATATATATTACAGAAACACAATCTTTCCATCTAGTTTAATAATATGCTCGATTTAAATTCATTTGTTTTTTTCTCCCATCTTCAAGAAAAGACTTGTAAGTTAGTTACTTGTTGTTTTGTTAATTATATATTGTTCACCTTTCTCTGTTGTCATGATTGTCGTTGCGTTTTGTTTTATTGAATCGAGTTGAGTTGTGATAAACTGTATTTCTTACAATTGGTCAAGTAACTTTTGGAATGTTATTTGGTCTTCTTAGTATGTCGATACATAATGTACATGTATGATGTGTTCTTCAACTTCATTTGTATGTTTATGAATATGTTTAAAACGATAATATTATCAAATTGTACTGGCTAACTGCATAAAAAGTTACTAGAATCTATGATAATACTTCATAAATTTCAATGCAAAAGTTTGTGGAATACAGTATAATGTCCATTCAATGAATAAAAAAATACACTTTTGAGAATTGCTTTTCACCATATATCATCAGCAGAATTGTTTTGTCCCCGTGAATTAAAGGATAAAAAATAATTCTATTGTATCTAACGGTTCTAAATTTTTATTCTTGTACACATTTTAATGTGACATATATCACTATGTTTAGACTTTAATCTATAGAAAATCCAAACATTTTTGATGACTGATCATCCACTCTGGATTATAACAGGTTTATACATAGGATCAATTTCAAAGTCTAATTTACATATGATTCTTTTATCCTTTATTATGTGTATCTGATTTGATTTTGTTAAAATTATCAACAAAAAAAATGTAAGTAATCTCAAGTAGTGGATACCACAGTGAAAATCTGCAAATCATTAAAAACGGAATCTTTGAAATCATATCCCTTGTAATCGACTTCACAATTTCCAATGTTTAGTTTGTTGTTTTTTTCTCCCGAATAATTAGTCCATTAGTTATTTCTTTTTTCTTCATATTGTTGGTCTCGTTATCCTGTTTTATCCTGCAAAACAAATTAGATCTATATGTGGCATTACTTTATATGTTTTTATAGGTGAAGTGAATAATTTTGATGAAGTTACGATATATGAGCTAGGCAGTTGAATAGCATGACTTCCATTGTCTTCCTATATACAATATCATTCGTCAGCGTAAACTCCAGAAAATGATCTCTTTTTCCCTCTTCTTCAGAGAATTCAATTTCATCAAAATTATTCTAGATAATGTTTTATTTTGTTGTTGGTCAAACGACGTTCTAACTAATACACCGGCATATGTTTGTATTTCACCTATAACCAATGTTGTTTTACATAGAAACCTTTTAAATTTCCTACCAATATTGTTGTATTATAGTCAATTTTCTTTGAATAATCACTGATTTTCATCCATCCCTATATCCTTCGGAAAATTTATGAAGATTTATTTTTTCTTTGTAAATTTTTTTTTATTAAAACAGGATTTAAACTTATTGGACAAAGAAGCTAACGATCGTTTCACTGATATGAATAAATATGCTATGAATTGTTTCCAACAATATATACCTAATAATCGTGAGAGTTTGGAATTAATTGAAATTACTGATAGTGACAAATCTCAGCAACTTTACGAGAGCTTTTTAACCATACCTATGTACTGTGTTAAACTGTATAAAATGTGGTTTGATTGTCGTGAAAGAATTGAATTTATTACTAAATCTTTGTCAGATTCTATAGAGACATGGCAGGTATTCGAAGCAACATGTGATACTTTACAATTTACTTGTCGTCGTATTGAAAATTGGTTGAAAGAACAGTCTACTTGGCTTGTGGATGAACCGGAACAAATTAACGAGAAATTGGAATTACTACAACTTATTAATGATAGGTTGGAGGTGAAATTCAGCATAGATGCTTCCAAATACTGTGAATCATCTAGTAAGAGTCTGTCAAGTTGTCGACATGAACAACAACGAATTTTAGAATTGCTGGATGAGTCAGAATCACAAGTTGATCTTTTAAATTCCACTCTAAAACGTTTACCCAATCACCATCATCAGCTGTGCTCTGAAGATTCAACAACTCTGGACGAAAACAACTTGGATAATGTGCATACAATAACAACAACGGTAGAAATGAAAACTGACTCGTATGATTTAGCTTTGAATTGCATAAAAAATCTCATGGTCACATTTAATTATTTACAGAAAATAACCAGAGAAATGTCAGATCTTTGGAATACTCGTTTAAAACTTTTCACAGAATGGAATTCCAAAATACAGAATGCAGAAACTAATTTGTCGAAGTTATGTTTGCGTATGGAAAAAATAAAAGAACAATTTAGTCCTTTTAGTGAAGAGTTAGAAAAGTCAACAATAATTTCCGACGAAAATGATAACAGCGGATCTTTTAAAACTATTGAAGACAATTTGATGTTAGTAGATGATATTATGAAAGGGCGTGAAGTAATTGGTGCTGAGTTTACTGAGTTACGCAGTCGTCTATGTAATTTATCTACTTTCATGAATCATAATGGTCATAATGATCGACAACAAAGAATGGGAGATCTACAGCGTAATTGGGAAGAGTTAGGTAATAATCTGTTGAATTTACAACGAACTCTTGAACACAAAACTACAATTTGGACTGACTTAATCTTACAAGTGACAAATATATTCAATTGGTTTAATGAATTTAGTGGGCGTATGAAAGTGTGGCATGAATCTTGTCCATGGCTGTCCATGAATACACCTACTGAACTTTCCGACATTTTATCACCAAATACTTCCAAAGATTCTTCAAAGACTTCAATAATTTTAAATGAACTCAAACGTCATTCAAAAGATACTAGTAAATTCCTTACACAATGTCAGTCTAATTTAAATTTAGCTAGAGCACAACATTCGAAATTGTTATACTTCCAATCAGAATTAAATAGTTCTCAGCGTCAGTGTACCGAAATTCAATCTGATGCCTACAATCAATTGTGCAGCATGATGAATGAATCTATTGAAACAAGTAATCAAATTGAAAATCATCTAGACACCACAATATCGATTGGAACAATTTCAAAACGAAATTAAATCAATTTACCAAGGACTATGAAACCTGTTTGTCTTGTATCAATCATATCAAGACAGAATTCGATCAATCCATAAGTTCCATACCAAAATGTGATGTATTGATGAAGTCTGAGGAAGAAAATCGAGAAGTCCAATCGTTAATTAAATTACGCTGTCTTATTTTAACCAATCTAGTTGAACAAATCGGTGATGCTAAACAATTAAATGATTTATTAATTGATACGTTGAATGAAAAGTTAGAAAACGTGAATGGTGACCAAGTTGCAGAAGAAAATAGAAATCCAGATCAACATGATCAAAATAAAGATGGACAAAATCTTATTCAGAATTTAGAAGAACTTTTAAAAGAAGCCATTGATCTTGACTCTTTTTATCATTTAGATGATATTAATAAATCATCATCGAATGATGTACAACATTATGCCTATTGTATTGCAAGATATTTAATTTATGAATCAATACAATTACGAGAAATGGTATCACATAAATTAATTACAATTACCAATGAAACAGAAGAACAATTAAAGCTAGATTCTATGTTAAATTATTTTGAACAACAGTTGACGAAATTTCAAGATGAAATGAATCAAATTGTAGTTAATTTGTCAGTTTATCGCTCAAAATCATTTGATGATAACGGTGATACCATCATCATATCATTGAAATCTTCAAGTTTAAATGTTGACAATTCCACTGTTTTGTATTGGTTTCATTTGAGACAATCAGTAGATAATTGTGAAAATCGAATAAATCAATTGGATAATTGTTTACAATGTATGATTGATATAGGTAAAGATCACCTATTGAAAATTGAACAAGATTTAAACAATTATTATCATCGAACCGGAAAGTTGGATTTAAAATTTTCACATCGTTTTAATGAACTGAAATCAAAATATGAAATTAATCTTAATAAAATGAGAAAATTGAAAAATCAATTCAGTAAAGAATTGGAATCTTGGCAAGAGTTTATAACAAATTTAGAAAAAGCTGAAAATTGGTTAACTATAAATGAATCACTTAGTAAAAAAGTACTTTATGTCGTGACAACAGATGATAACAAACAACCAGATGGGGTCCAGCAAACAATTACCGAGACTAGTCATACTAGTTGTATCAATCCAAATATGTCGGAAAAAGAGATTAAAGCAGCCAATGATAAAGAGGTACTTTCGAAACAATTGACAAATTTAGAAGAATTAGAAATCGATTTAAGAGAGCATGGAATTGAATTGCGAGAACAAACTGAACAATCAGCACGTTGTTTATTATTTAATCTTATTCCTAATTCTGTGAATTTAATTAAAGATAAACAGTGCAGGTTGAATAGAAAATCTGAAATTATTGATTATATTAATTTGGCTATTGAAAATCTACTTAAACGTTATAATGAATATAAAATCAGTTTACAGATGATACATTCTAATCTTAGTGAGAAATATTTATGCTGGTCCAAATTAGATAGTAATTTGGAACAAGTGAATCGTTGGCTACATACAATTGAATTACAATTAAACACTATGGAAATGGAAACAAACTCATTGTCTACCATATTGATTAATGATATATCAGTGCATAAAACAGATGAATATTTTGCAGTACATCAATTAAATGCATGGTCTAATTCAAAGTTATGCATTTTAACAAATTTAATGGATGAAATGCGTAGATATAGCGAAACAGAATTAATTCAATTGAAGGAACTTGTACATGCCCAAAACTCTATTGATGAAGTGTTTAAAGAATATTCCAAGGATGGTAATACTTCAGATGATGTAGTCATTTCATTAGGACAAGATGCTTCTAAACGATTGAATGATATATTGGAACAACATCATAATTTAAAAAGTCGTTTAGAATCTTTAATTCATTTGAATCATGTTATTCTTAATTTGTGCGAAAAATTTGTTCGTAAACGATGTGAAATATTCCAATGGTTAATTAGTCAACGTCGTGAACTAGAGGGTTTAATAAATCAAACTGAGACATATGGCTCACAAACTAGTCTTCTTTCATCATCTCATGTTTCATTAAACGATGAAGTTACCAAATTAAGCAAATTATTTCACAAAAACTACATGTGATTTAGAAGCGTTTAAGACATCTGTTTCAATAAAATATGAAGAACGTCTAACTGATGTTATTAAACTTATCGAAGAATTGGGTCAAATGACTCCGTTAAGAATGGAACCAGCTGAAACTTACATTATTGATATAAAAAGAGATGTTACAGAATTTTCAGTCAAGTTACCGATAAACTAGAACATTTTCGTGTTTGGAATGATAAATGGTCAAACTTTTCAACTGATTGTAGCTCTTTAACTCAATGGATTAGTGAACAAGAATCATTTATCATCTCAACATTGAACTCTCAGTCTACCATTGAATTGGAAGATTCTTCCTTCCAAATCACTAGTTCCGACGTAGTTGAAAAAGAATTGAATCAACTAACCAGTCAAGTTGATCGTAACCGCCAACTCAGAATCATTTTGATTGGGCATCAACCGGCGATGGAATCATTGGTTGTAAAAGCTCAAAGTTTAATCAAGTCCAGAATGTTCTCAAGTAGTGCATATGTGGGCGATGTTGGTAAATCAAAAGCGTCTGATATATCTGACAAGTCATTGTTCGCGAGCAATACGCCTGTCGGTAATATAGCAATGAATATGGCCACCTATATAATGCAAAGATATCATACGTTGATTAGTATATGTGATAGTCGATCTGAAACATCTCAAACTGCACAAAAGATGGTTGAAGAATTATTAAATTCATGCCGAAATTATGATCATTGGGCTTGTGAATTTCGAATCAAATTGTCTGATGTAGATTTTATGCTGAATTCATATGATTCTCATTCCATCCCCTTACAAGAATCAGACAGATATTCATCAATTCGGTTATCTATAGTTGATCTAGAAACTAGAATTGAATCAGGTGAGAGTTTTGTTCAACATATTAAAGATTGGACAGATCATTATATGACAGAATTATTAGTACAGGTTAACCAGCGACGTTCAGAACTCGAAACTCTAAGCCGTTTAGCTAAGATAAGCAATGAAAATTCCGATCATGACAATGAGTTATTGCATTGTGATTGCAAACTGAAGAGTGTTACAAGTTATGCTGAGACGGATTACCAAGTACTTAAGGAGATGGTTCGGTCATTACGCAATCGGTTTGAAAAAATCATCCAAAATGTTAATCAACGAAGTTTATCACGAGACAAATTCACCGCATGGATTGATACTACGGAAAGTCAATTGGATTTGATTAATACCCATATGAATCTGTCTGGTTTGTCCAAGATCATTTTGGAAGCACCCATGGATGATTTTGACAGATTGATAGAAAAGGTTATAAATTATATGCTTACTGCTTCAGAATCAATCACTCAGTTAACTGTAGACATTAGAAAACAAGGTGCAGAGATTAAGAATTCAGACTATACCGATGAAAATTTACGAAATCGTTTTGATCAATTGACTGAAAATATTCATTCAACTCATCAAGATATTTCAAGTTGTTTAAAATTGTTCCATCAGTTTCAAAATGAAGTACAAAACTTCTCCAGTTGGATATCAGATTGCGAAAATAAATTTATTCGTCTATCCGATGGTGATTCGAATCAACTGGCAATGTTTCTTCAGTCAAACAGTTCAATAATGATCATGAATGATAATGATAATGATACTGAACAAATCATGCATCAACTAGATATTTCTTGTCGACATTCAATATGTCAGCTTACTGAAGCTAAACACAAGTTATTGATTATAAAAGAAATTAGCTCATCTCTTGAGAATCGAGGTCACCAGTTGAACAAACAATTAATTGAATCTGGTGAACAATTAACTAGCAAGTTGAAAATTCTGGAAGAGTTTTCCATGGGAGGAGTTCAAACTAGGTCCGTTGGAGGGGAAGATGTTGGAAGATCCCTTAGCACATTAGAATCATCAGATCGTTTAAGCGTAATCATTCAAAATTATATAGATCAATTACAATGTCGTTTAATCAGATTGGACAAAATTCAAACTGTTTTCACTATCAATTTAACTGAGTTAGTAGATTGTTGGTCTGACTGGAAAAATAGTTTTGACAGATTAATTGATTGGTTGAATGGAACTGCTACAAATCTAAGGCGCCCAATTTTCCATTCACTCGATTCTTTATCAACTAAACAACAATTGGCTAACAGTTTGAAGGTAAGTCACGGTTTTTCGAAATAAATAATCAAAAATAAATATACATTTGGATTTTCAACGATTCCTCTGATCGTTCATTAAAATAAAAATCGTTGTTTACTTTGTAAGATTTTCATCGCTCCACCTAATTTTTGGAGGATGAGTGTAATATTTCTTTTCTTATGAGTAAAATATATTTGTTAAATGTAAGCATCTGATCATACATGTTTACCAAGCATTACTCGCGTATTATGAAACGGTAGAATGACCAATATTACTGTTTTGGGTAAATGTGTCGAATTGGTTGATGAGCCTGAGTGTATTTTCGACTGCCCTCTAATGCCCTGGTATGGCCGAGAGTGGGGTGGGCACGCCCTCCCTCCCTCTCGAAATGCTCTCACACGGCCACGCGTATACAGCCTCTGCCAGGGAAGTCCTACTCACTGCCTTCTCGTGGCCGGGGTGTTGTTTACGAAAATAAGAGGACGAAAAGCGAATGTCCTGCGCTTTAACCGGATCCCAAACCAATGGTGCACATGGACTCCAGTATCCTGCGGGAACAAATGGCATATGAACCAATCGTTGGTCACTGGGACTGCATCTCCTCACGATGCTCCACTGTCTTGTGGGTCAAACCTTTAGGTCAAATGCTCGGGGTGTGGTCCCCTAAGAAAACCACCTATTTCGGTCTGGGCACCTGGGTAGTATCACAGCCCACACACACACACACACACAAATATGGTGTGGCGCATATATATTTGGTGCCCTCTTGTACCAATATTTATGTGTTGAAATAAAATAAAATAAGAAATAGTAATTGTACCTGTTATCCATGTTTATTCAGTAATTAGTTTAACGTGCAGTGCTTGGTTTAATCGACGGTAGGTTGGGAAAAGATATCAGTCAATGAAGTCATTAATTGTTAATCTGAGGTATTTGCTTTAGTCTTTCTAATTTGACTCAGCATGATTGTTATAATTTTTAAAAGATATTCCTGGGTAAGGTTTCAATACTTACCATTTTAAAATGGTTATTGCTCCTTTGTTTATTTTTATCAATTCATTAAATGTATTTTTTGAAGAAAGTCTTGTTTATTGTTTGTTTTGTCAGTATAAAAATGTGAACATTGTTGACTTTCAGTGGAATCACTAACCGATCAAAGTTGAACAACCATCGTGGACGGATTGAAATTAGACTTGCACACCATTGGATCCTGCTTCAGTGGGTTGCAAGTTTTAAGCGTTCCAGCTCGTGACCGTAGGTATTGGGTTTAATTATCACTTTCGTGGTCGTGGATGTGTACTGCTTAGGAGTGTCTTACTAGGATGAATCGGCCATCTAGTGCTTCCAGGTTTTCAATGGTTTCCTAACTTTGATCAGTTCGTGATCTCAATGAAATTATTTGTTCGTCAACCTAGTAAATTATCAGTCATCATTTTCGAATCCCCCCTCTGTTTTTTTCTCTAATATTCCTTGAATAGGCATTTTATCAAGATTGTGTTGGAAAGAAGGTGGATTTTGATATGTGCTTGTTAAAAGCTAATCATTTGAAAAGTTTGGCATCAAGTTGTAATTTACCTGATCAAAGTGAACAATTATTTGAACAATATAGGAATACATTGGATACAGCATATGTAAGCATAGTTTTGCTTGTTTCAATTTTGGTGTGATGGGATATGTTAAAGATCTGCTTCAAATCGTTTTTAACTGTACACTGGTATAAACGGAATCTGTTTAAAATCAAGCAATATATATATATATATATATATATATATATATATATATATATATATATATATATATATATATACTGGTGACAACTACCATAATGTCGATAGAATTTGTGCATTTATTGGAAAATGAAAGTTGTATTAAAATATGATGGGATCTATTTAACAAGCAATCAGTCTGTTGTAAAGTTAGTGAAATGAATAGTTCAAAGCTTTCAGCATTATTGTAAAATGTTCCTTAGAATAGTATGGAGAAATTTGAGTTGCTTCTTCCTAAATCTATATTCATTTATTTTTCAGAAATTACAGAATTACAGTGAATATTAATTTTTCCATGTTTTTCCACGTCTTTTTTTTAAAGGCTGCGTTACAACAAATGCAAAATGCAGTTGAAATTCATGAACAATTCGATCAAGTTGTATCCCGTACTACTCAATGGCTTGAAAGTTTGACTTCAAAGCTGAATAATCTGTCTGCTAATGACAATACTGATCGTGTTGGATTAGAGCAAAATTTACTGACCTGTCAAGTATTTCCTTATTGTTTGTATTTTTTTCTCATTTTATGAATAAATAGGGATTGTGGAGTGTTGCTAAATTTCTTCCACGCCAGTAATTGTAGTTTTTCTAACATTATGTTATGTCCATGTTTCCTCTGTTGTGTCCGTGATCTTACTGCTTATGCTTGACGATAAGGAACCACTGTAATTCTCATGGCACAAAGTGAAAACACCAAATTCTCTCATTTTAAAACACGAAGACTGATAAAATGAAGATTTATTGATTCTAAAACATACGTCATCAACAAGTCATCCAAAAATATTATTATTATTATTATTCCATAATGAACTTATTTATACAACAGATAAGGAAAAATACATAGAGTTACTACTAACATACATATTGGATGTAGTTCAAAGAGAAATATTAATGTCACACCAGAAAAAAACATTTCATATTTCTCGTATTGAACAAAGTTCAAAGTAAATTAATACAAGAAATATTAAAATAATATTACACTAAACAAGAATTGACATTTATCACCTTGGATACAAATTTTTTAATGAATTGATATGAAAGATATTGACATCTTTTTATCCATCATATTATTCTGTTTCTGTTTATTTTTTGTTTATGTGATTAATTAATGTGAACTTTCTCAAGTTAAAATAGTGTAGGACAACTGAATGTTGGAAAGTGTGATACAAATTAATAATCAAACCATAAATGTATAGTACAAACTTACATGCCCCAAAAGGATTCATAGAACTTCAACACTTACTGACAAGATCGATTGTTATTTTTTGACTGAAAAATTGAAATTTACAATAATAATAATAGTCTGTGAGGAAGCTTATAGTGAGACTGTATATAAATATCATAAGCCAACCATTTTATAGTAAATACTTATGAAAAACAATAAATCAATGGACTATTGCAAAATTACTCATTTTTCATATTTTCCTTTCACACTTCGTCCTAATCATGGTCCGTTGAGTGAATAAAGTTACCGTTAATCTTGTATCTAAATGGTATTTAAGGTAGAAATGTAAATCATTACATACCAACTCAATGGTGTAAAAGTTAGGCGCTGATTGTAAGACCTTTAGGTCCTTTATTCGATCTCCAGTAGAAAGTTATGAATATTAGAACTGCCGATGAGTCGATCCGTCCCTTGCTAGCATAAAACATCGTTTGTTTTTAGAGTTTTTAAGGGTTATGTGACTAAGGTCAGTTCGTGATGGGAATTGTAAAATTACACACGGTATTGTTACTAGCCCGTCAGAATGCATGTGACGTGGTATACAGTGATGTTGTGGTATGTACTACTTATGCAGCCAGACATAAATAGTATGTAGCAAGAATTGGAAGTGGAATACCTGCCAATAGAAGAATGAAATAAAGAGAAGAGGAAGAAAAACAGAGAACAATCGGAGTAACATCGGGATCGGAAGAGTAGTGAAGTATGTAAACGAAAACTGAAAAAGGATATGTAAATGATGTACTCATTGTATGGTTTTCATATTTTCATAAAACATTCTGATCTTGCACCTAACAAACAATTGGTTTTCCCCAAGTCTTTGTTCTCTATAGCGGTAATGAAAGCAAGATAATGGAGACCTAAACTTAGCTAATTGTGCATACACTATAACAAACTTTACATCATTTGCCATGTTTAGTTGATATCACTGTTATGAAAAGTTGAATCGTCGAATGGAATTCGTTTAACTTTAGCTTATTGTAAAGTAGGTCATTTAAATACTGACATAGCTTAAACTGTAAGATAGTTGTTTATGTAAGATACACATTCATTTTTGTCATACATGGTGCCAAGTTTATGGAGTCGATTTCACGAAATATTTTTAGTTTCTTGAAACAGTGCTCCAAACCACATGATGTAGCTTTCGGTGTTCAAACCCTATGTCAAATCAGCCAATAGGCTTCACTATTTATAATTACTAAATCTCGTTCTGTGTCTCGGAAACCCATCTACGGGACCCACTTGACCCTCATTTAGCTAATATAAAGATCCGACGTAATTATATATTCGTCTCTCTGCAGACTCGATTTCAATATGAACTGGAGAACCCTTGCAAACTAGTAATGTGCATTAGAAATGTTTCCAGAGACTAAACCGAAAACCTTCATACATTGAAAGTACTTGAAGTTCGATAGATCTCCAAATGAAGTCAGTATCTAATTAAACTTACTCAATAAATCTTTATATACCTCTCCAACTTTAAAAAAGATAATATGTTTAATATGATGAAGAATGAAGTGGCTAGGACATGTATTACATGTGCCCAACTACCCGCGATGTCAACCGGTGTAGAAGTAGGTCAGAAAACAGTAAGATGCAATCAAACCAAGACATATTATTGGTTCATGGAGACTTTAAGTGCTAACCTGAACTATGTTGGCAACTGTTGACTACCTGGTAAAAGTCTGCAACGTTATCGCAACCAATGGTCAGAAAAGTTGGATGACATATCTCTGAATCGGTTGCAGTTCAAAGATCCACTCATTATTTATCTTCCCTTACTTCCTGAATTGATACACTTCCTAGATTTTATATTTCTGATGATTAACTGACTAACCGACTGGTGATATAACATATCTATTCAATTCACTCAGAAATCCATAAAGAGATGTTAAACATTTTTTTCTCCTAGAATCTTTCAGAAACTATCAAATGTCAATCAGAAACTTATATTTCTCAATTAGTTGAATTGGCCGATCAAGTTTGCCGTACGACTGATTCAATGACAAATAAAGAAATATTAGATAAGGTCGATGTATTTCGTCAATTAATTCGTCAAAATATACAACAGTTAACAGATATTCAATTAAGCATTGAATTAAAATTAAATACAATAAATGATTGGGAAAATGTAAAATCTGTCATTGTCAGTATTTTGAATTCAATATCACAAACGATACTAACAGTTTTATTGGAAGAGAAGACATCTATAGAACAAATTCAACCAATGACATCAACTGTTTTACTAACTATAAAAGAGGAAACTTTAAAAAAATTTGACGTAAGTGGTAATTTAATTCATGTAATATAATCTATAACATAAGCAAAGATGGATGGTTGCTAGCAGTGGAGTCCAGGACAAGCGTTTAGTCTTATTTGGATGGGACTTGTCAGTTGGATGTACCTGCATCCCAGAGTTAATGCTCATTCCGGGACTAGAACCCAGTATATTATATAATATTTTGTGGTTAACTTATGTAATTTATCATGACTATACATTTTCAAATTGAGATCATTTAACTGCTGACTTTAATTACACTGATTACGCTGTATCAAGAGTTAACAAGAGTTGGAAAAAAATATGAATCCTAAGGAATATAATTCAATGGTATTAAGGTATTGTGGTCTCCCATTGAAAACTGAAGGTCTTTTCGAAAGTTTAAGGTAATCAATGGTTTTGTACATTTGAACCACTGCCCTGTTGTATACCTAAACATGCTATTGATTTGGGGGGGGGATCGATAATCCTCTCGTAAACGACCAATTTATACCTGAAATTTATCTTTAAATTACAAGAATTCTTCACGAAACAACCGTTTTTTCGTTTTATCATACTTACTTTTTTTCTACAATCAATTTGATAAAACATCTGGCTAAAGTATATTCTTTTATAATCTTCGGACTTTTCTTCTATAGAATGTCAAGCAAGAATTGGAACCAGTTCAATTAAAAATTGATGAATTAAAGAAATATACAGAGAAATATATCGAATTTGAGCATAAATTAAATGTCACGCAACAAGTTGATCAACTATTTGATAAATACTCTAAAATGCAAAAGGAAGTTGAAGTGAGTTAATTGTTATGTTCATTTGTTTGCCCTATATATAAATGTTCCTAGTTATAAGCGATAGGGAAGCATTGATTATCATCTGTGTATAATAAACAAATTCAGATTTGTCTATTGAGAAGTGAATGCCTACGGTATATGTTATTATTTTTTAGTAAGCTTCTGAGAGCGACTAGTTTTCTCTTGTGCGAGTCAGTTGAAGGAGCGGATGTCACTTCTTTGGGTGACATGCTTCAAGAATTGGCTTGTTTACTAGCCTGCTATGTCCTGTGAATTGTTCGGATCTGGGAGGAAGAAAAGAGAGGATATATCATGTCCAAAATAATAACAGAATCAAAAACTTAACAATCTCCACAACCCTTATACTGATAATTACCATCTGTTCACTAGTGACTAGCTTCGTGAGGGAATTCTCGGAGTTCTAGTGAGAAGCCGTGACCAGTGGAGCTAATTCTTGTCGGGTAGAGACAGGTATCTACCTCAGTACAATGGAAGTTGGTCGCTCAATTTCGTGAATCGGTTGATGTTAGACACTAACACCATTGGATGCCGGCTCAGTGGTCTAGTTGGTTAAGCGCCTGGCGCGAGACCGATAGGTCCTGGGTTCGAATCTCACAGGGAGCGGGATCGTGGATGCGCACCGCTAAAGAGTCCCATACTAGGACGAAACGGCCGTCCAGTGCTTCCAGGTTTCCAACGGTGGTCTAACATCAATTGATCCATGATCTCAATCAAAAACTTAACAATCTCCACAACCCCTATACTGAAAATCAGATCACCTCTTAATATGCGGTAGAACAGAGTAAAGAGGTCTAGCTTCCCAGACCGTACTTTGTACGGTAAACCTCGGAGTTCTGGAATTGCACGGATAACTACCCTAAGTACTTTTTCCAAGATATCTTGGTCACATTTTAAACAGGGGCTCGCAACCTGAACGTAGTTTTCAAGTTTGTATCTCACTAAGATTGTTTCAGTTTGAGTAGTCATTTAGTAAACCATTAACCTACTATTTGAATGGCTAACTTTTATTGAATTGTACACACAAAACTTAACAAATTCATTCCTATTTTAATCGTTCACACATTTCAGATTTGCTTAGTTAAAACTAACAAAGAATTACAAAATCTTCGTACATTTCATACAAAAATTGATGAATCCAAAAATTGGATACTACAAATCTCTTTAAAATTAATGGCTATTCATGCTACCGATCCGGATGGACCAAAAGGTGTTATACGTTTAGGACAAGCAGAAAATGAATTACGTAAACGTCTCATTACATATCGTGAAGAGAATTTAAAAGAATTAAAATTGTTTATTGCAAATTGTCCATCAGAAAAAGATTTAACCATTGAAACAGATCGTGTGATACAATCATTATTTCAAACACCTAGTGGTGTATCAATTACAGTTGCTGAACAAATTATGGAGAATATGAATAGAATAAATGATCCTATTCAATCAGAAAAAATTGGGGATAAAAACGAACAGAAACACTTGTTAATTGAAGAAGATAAAAAAAGCACTTCTAGTCAAATACCTCTTGCAAATGATTACAATACTGGTCATTCTAAAACTTGGGCAGAATTATTCTCATTAGAAGTTGTTCAATTAGAGTCAAGTTGTGAAAATTTAGAAGTTATGTGTAAACGTATCAAAGTGAGTTTTATCTATTTATTAATTATTATTATTACCATAGAATAAGTTCATCTATTCAAACGAAACAATCAGGTACCACCTGAAATCTCGAAACCGGAAGATTTGTGTGAACTTACTAAATATTTACAAAACACGTATTATAAAGTATTCATGTCACATTTACATTACCAAGTTTCCTTTTCAAAGATTTCATTTCATCCAATTAAGTGAATGACAATCAAACTATAACAACTGACGACCTTCAAATGAAAATATAAGCGTTCAACGAAAATAAACTAAACACTTTGTTTCTTAATTCATTAATCCGTACAAAATGTATAAAGTAGTGAGATGGAGATTGTTTGTAAATTAGATTGAGAATTATGGAGTGTTGTTTACTTTAAATTGTGAAAATAGTAGTACGACTATGACCTCATTATTGATCGATCCTAAGACCTGAGCATCTTGTTTAGGGTGTATTAATTTCACAACGCTAAGTCGTCATCGAATGGTCTCTATACTACTAGTTCCATTCGATGCACAAAATTGCGCGATCATGACTCGATGCGTTTCTGTTTAATTGATATCAATGTAAAGTGAGAGTTATTCCCGGAATTTCTCCTGTTTTTCAGTACTATTCTTATTAAACACTTTGATAAGCGGTCAGTTGTTGCTTATGTGCTCAATGACACTGATTTATTTTTCACAAAAAAAGTCTTACCATTCATGTCGTTGCAGAAATCTTCTGTCGATGATTTCCAACAAACCTGAAAGCCTTGATTTTGTAACATTTTTCCTTCTAACTGTCTTCAAATGATAAACTATCATACTCAGATCAAATCATCCTAAGTCAATTTATGTAAGCAAAGTAATTTTATCTCATCTCTTTACAGGATAGACTAATGGAACAACAAAAACGGTGGGCTAAATTTGTTTCACTTCTTATCCGGATTGATAAATTTTTACGCATAGAACTTTCTAAATGGTGGTTGACAAATTCGAAAAAATTTATCAATAATGCTGATGGTACAGTGGCTACTATTGATGGTAACGCTGATGATAATGATAAGTGTGATGTTGATAATGATGACGATGATGATGTATCAATCAATGATGATAAATCACTTCAGTCTGAAACTTCAAAAGAAGTAGAATTAGTATTTTATGAAGAAAATGTACTACTTCAAAAAAATGAACAACAAACTAAAATGCCAAAATCATCATCAACAATAACTTCCCCATCTATACAAGAATTATTAGCTCAAATAACAAATGTTAAAGCTATGCACGCTAAAATACAAGTGAGTTATTGTCAACATATATTAGTGACTGTATTATTCTTTTTACATATTTTTCAAAGCCTAAAGTATTTACTCTGTAGACTATTCTGGCTATCTGATATACTACGCCAATCAGACATAAGCCAAATAATAAATAAACGCTATTTGCCAATATTTGGTTTCTTTTTTATGGAGTCGAACACATACTATTGGTCAAAAATGTGACCTGATATTCCAATGGACGAATATATATATATATATATATATATATATATATATATATATATATATATATATATATATATATATATATATATATATATATAGGTGGTTAGGCGCCTGACGCGAGACTGATAGGTCCTGGGTTCGAATCCCGCGAGGCGGGGTCGAGGATACGCACTGCTGAGAAGTCCCACAATAGGACGAAACGACTGTCCAGCCCTTCCAGGTTTTCCATGGTGGTCTAGCTTCAATTGACTCATGATCTCAACTATTGAAATTACTACAATCTCCACAAAACCCCTTTTGTGGTGTTGTATAAAAGTGTAAAAAAGCGTATGCTAAGGTTTATTGAAGCCTCAGCCATATAAAAACGCAACCCCCCTTTGTGTATTCAAAAACAGTTTGTTCGCACCTTACTTAAACTTACCTTGGTAATATTAGCTTATTATCCAGAATGATGAGGCTTCAAGTTGTTTTCACATTATTTCCTCATTATCCTTGTCTCCTCTTACCCTCCATTCCTAGTCCAGTTGACCTTTTATTTTTATACCTGGAATGTTCGTAACAAGTATATTATGTATGATCAGATTGTTCGAAATGTATCGCGCTAATATATCACACAGTTCTGATAATCTTCGTCTTCTTATTATTGCACTATCGTAATAATACTGAGTAAATTGAAACATTTATTTAAACGCATGTGACATGATTTGACGTGATCAGGGCTTAATAAATAGTTGTCAGTACGAATGTTCATGAAACTTCACTCTAGATTATCACAATGAAATTCTTACTGGTTACTTAATGCAAGTGAATAATAATGAAGTATACAATACACTAACTCGGGGTTTTGTGGCTTACATTTTGTGTAGTAGTTGGTGATATTACATATATCTGTCACACAAATTGATGTAAATCAAGGCATTGATTTTTAACCCACAAAAATTTAGTGGCTGGAAGTCGATTGTTTTAATTGCAAATCCCCCTATATAATGATAACCAGTTTCCAATTTTCATAAAAACTTTTAATGTGTTTTTATCATTTAAAGAACGATCAAGAGTTTTTGGTAACTGATTTAACTCTATAGTCAACTTGAACTAATCCACTCAATCATTTTTCGACGATACACAGCCTTTGTATGTAAAAATGTAAGTAAGTAATAAGCTAGGAAGTTTTGAGCGTATCGTCATTAGAAATTGATAATCCAGAAACGATAACCAAACATGTGTTAACAATTCCAATTAAATGTTTTGATGATCAAAACAAATCAAACTCTTCTTCATGTAAATATTTCTTTAGATTTATCTACAAGAGCTGTCAGCTGTTAAGCACCGATGTTCAACACCACCTCCTCGTCCAACCATATCTACAAGTTTGGTTTCGTTGAATAAATATTATAATCCATCGACATTATTAAGTGAATATTAGATAATAATAATTATTATAATAAAACCACTCAAAATGTCAATTTTGCTCTATCTATTAATGATTTACCAACTAATAATACTACATCCACTAATTATGAGTTATCCAATATGAATGCGCAAATATCTGAAGAGAAAATGCATGCTTTAAGTGGTTTGGAACTACGTCGAAGAGCCTCCCATATGAATGAACAACTTGAAAAAGAATTAAAACAAGTGAGTTACTGTGTTCCCAAATTCACTGTATTTAACCTTTTCTTTCATAATAGTACTGTTCTTTCAGATAAATTTTTTTATCCGTTAATTGTTTTAATATATTCTTAATTGTTATGTTGGACCCCTCATACAGTTTATATAGTTTTGTATTCTGCGTCGAACATTACAATAATCAATCCTAATGGGTTTTATTCCGTGAATCACATCAGAGAATTTTAGACGAACTGTAAACAGAATAATCAAATCATCTTCAGAATTAGTTCACTTGAAAAGTAGTCTAAATATTTTGATGAGAAAGTGTATCTTCATTGGCTGGCACAACAGATATATATGATACGAAAGCCCAAACACTTCGTACATTAAAATAAAATGTTGACCGGAGTATAAATAATTAGAAGAAAAACTTCGGGACAGCAAATCTAATAAATGACATTAGTTTACGAAGTTATATGATGTTGTACTGAATCATAGTGATAATTATAGACTATCAGGTTGGAATCCTCACTACAACCGTGATCAATGGTTGGAGATGTTGGATGATTGTGGCTCAGTATCTGTCTTAATGATAGAGATTCACTAACTCTTATCCTTAAAATACCCATATTTCTTATATTCTCTAAATCCCTTCCTCTCGAATAGTAATGTTCTATGCTTAATCTTTTCTACTACTAATGATACCACTTTAACTTGTATTTTTCGTGATAATTTCATTGATCTGCTATCCTGATATAATTGTGATGTGGCAGTTTGGATTGATATACATACGTGCCATATTCTACATAGCTTCAAACTGACTCCTACTAAATCCTATTTAAAAGTTCATTTGATGATATGCATGGTCTAAACATTTTATAATTATCTGTTCATAGTTTTATAATAAATATATTTTTTGTTATAAATCATTGAGTAGAAATTTGTATTCCTGGCGTTTCGTCACTTAACGTAAGCCAAACAAATAAATAACCGAAATAAAATTAACACAAGTTTAAATAGTACAAAGGAAACTATTCAGAATATTCTTCGTACAATCAGAATCATAGTAGGTCTGAACATGTCAGCGTCACTTTATTTTGGATCAAAGTGAATTTGTATGACTTTTCACTGTGTTCATTTGTGCTTCAGAATTTTGTTATGAAAAATGTGTGTTTTTGTAACATGAAGTTGAGGCATTGAAATTGTGTGTATATATATACAGATTGTGTGGAAAAATAAATAAGGTCAAATGTAGTTATTTGGATTAACAGTCCAGATTGGATAAATAGTTAGCCCTTCTTTCCTACTGGAGGCAGAGGGATATAACATTATTTGAAACGCTTCAGCTACTCACCTCTTTTTATAGTTGGGAGAACCTTTGCAAAATATTTTAATTATTTTTAATATCAGATTGGTAATTATTGAAAATAGCGTGTACTGCTATCGGTGATTTGTAGGTTTTCCAATTATGTAAGATTATTAAGTATTTTTGTGTAACTTGTGTTGCTTGGCACAAGTCGAGATCTTATGGGAAGACTCTCCAATGTAGAACGCATCACAATCGACACAACCTAATCTGTAGACACAATTTTATTTAGAAGTGAACGAGATCTTATCTTTTATTTTAGCTAAAGCGTTCTTTAGAGTCTTAGTTGACTTATAACAAGCTATAATTTTGTACGTTTTCGGTATCTGTTGTAATTCTTCTGTCGTACCTTGGCAATAAGGTAAAACTACTGTACCAATTCAAGACCTTTCAAGAAAATTGTCATTTACAGAAAGATAGTTTTATTTTAATGTATTTGTAATAATATTGTTAGGAAAATTATTAAATCGTAGAATGTTTATTTTATTCTCTTCTTTTTGCTTGTCCTCTTTTGAAGTAATCATTTTGGTTAATGTTCTGAAAAGATCCAGGGCTCGTGGAGTTTCGCAATTAATGAATTGGTTGAGTTAAAAGCAATATAGCAATTTGAATATATCGGTTTTCGGTATATTCTTAGATTTAGACTTCTGTGAGAATTTCTTTAAACCAAACAGTCCAAAAATAATAATTCACCATGTTCATCTTCCTTTTCGAAAGTGAATTTAGTGTTTTCTGAGAACGATTTTATCTGTTTAGAGAAGTTTCTGTGAAGAGTCATTTTAATAATAATAAATATGTCATCAATGCATCTGAACCATATGTGTGGTCCGGTGGTACTGGCAGAAATAAGCAAGTCAATATGGGATAACAATCAGAGATACTGAAGATCTATTGACTTATTCCATTCGCTTATTTTCATAAAGTCCCTTTGACAGTGAATATTGTTGAATTCAAGCATAGTTTGAGGGATCTCATGATTGAACTACTGCTTAACAGATGTCTGTTAGATTGAGTATTATCATCCTCTAATAAACCATTATGGAAGTCTAAAGATCTATCCATTAGAATGCAAGTGTATCAAGATATAACATCATAGCTTACTATTGTTTCATTCTTGTTAATAGAATAATTCCGAGATTATTGATTTGAATTTGTATAAATCCATTACAATATTAATTAGATTGTATTGATAGAGAGTGGCTTTAGTTTCATATTTCTTAATAATCATCATCTCACTTTTATATTATATTTATTATAGTTAGATAAATATATTGAAAATTTACAAGATTTAAAAATACGATGGGATCAACAACATTTATGTGAAATAGAATTTCTGAATTGGTTACATAATAAACAAACTGAATTTGATCAAATTATTCATTCACAACATAATCTATCTCATAATGGGAAAATACATTCTAATTCTGAGAATAATAATAATAATAGTTATTATTATTCACAATTATGTAATTCAATGGATACAGTATGTTTAGAAAATTTACTCAATGAATTAAATTCTAAAAAATCAATTATTAAACAATTAAAATATCAATCAAAATTATTGATTAATAATAATAATAATAAATCAATTTATTCACATAATATTCAATTAATTGAACATGATTATAAAATATTTATCAAAAAAATTCAAGATCATCTTAAACATCGTCGTTTACTTACAAATCAAGTTATAGAAGCTACTAAATTAACTGATAAATTACATACGGATTTACATCAAGTTGTAAAACGTTCAATAGGTATTAATATTGTACAATGTTCAATGGATAAGGAACTTAAAAAAATTGGAGTAAGTGATTGTTTGTTTATAAATTGATTTAATGTGTTAATGTAGTAAAGTGTTGTTTTGTTGGGTTTTTTTTAAATAAAGTAATGTATAGTATTTTATTTGTACTTTTGGTGTTGTTACATTATTTATCATTTTGACATGAATTAAAAGTGTTGTTTACAAATAGTGTGTATGTATAAATAAATAGTATATTTGTAATATCCCGATGAGTAGAAAAATTAGATTTTCTGACGTTTCGTGGCTTAGGGTAAGTTACTTCTTCAGAGAATAAACAATCACAAAACGTCAGAAAATCTCATTTTTCTACTCATTGGGATATTACAAATATACTATTTATTTATAACAATCTACCTAATGCTCAATTTGTTCGAAATTATCAAATCAAACCTTGGTAATGATACCTATAAAGTGTGTGTATATATGTTTTCTTTTCGTTGTAAATCTACACATATTATGTAATATGATGCATCATTTTATGTTGTACTCTAATCATTGTTGTTTTAATTCATGTATTATACTTATGTATTTTATGTTACTTGTTCATATTTTGATTGTACGTTTTTCTTTCTTTCTTCATTTCTTTATACATATATGTAAAAAAATATATATACGTATATACTTTTAAGTGGGAACATTCCAATGAAAGATTCAATGATATCAACAAAACATCTAATCAATATAAAATCTCTAAACAACCATCTTTTGGTGTAAGTAATTCAAATTTATTAGTATCAAGTTCAGAGATAAAACAATCTGATCGAGTACCGACACCAATTCCATTGTCAGATGTACAACCTCTATCATCAATTAGTCAATCAGATTTTAATACACATAAACCTTTAGAAATAAATGTGAAAGGGTAACTGATTGGTTATGGTATTCTGCTTCATCAGTTTTACCTGATTCATCTTTATTACCTATGGATGCTAATGAAACTTGGGAGATGGATCAAATTCCTGCAGTGTCTGATATTAATGAAGAACAAAATTTAGATAGATCAAGATCATCTTCTAGAATTTCACTGACTATTCAACGACCTTGGAGTGCATTTAGAAAATTTGAACGACAACGTAAACGAGATAGTGTTGCAGAATTCAATGTAAATATATCAAAAGAAACAAAAGCCACATTTAAACATAGACCAAATAAAATATTTAGTCATATAAATCCAATTACAACACAATCTACCGGAACTTCTTTATGGAGATCTCAATCGGCAAAAGTATTACCTCTTGAAACCAACATAGATAAAATCTCTAGTCAATCAATTTGCAACATTTCAACTGCTATAGATCGGTCCGTTGATTCAAATATTATATGCGCTGAAAGATATTCAACACAAAGTCCTATGATTCCAATGCTATTACGACGCAGTATATCTCCCATAGTTAGTAAGACTCTGGAACACAGAACTCATAAGATGAAAAATACAAATCATAATAGGATTCCAATTCGATTCGGCAGTTCAGTTAGACAAAGTGGAATAGTCGATCTACGTTCACCGTCTATTATTGATCAAAATAGAGAAGCTTCAAGTTACCCAAGTTTGTTTGACCCGCTTACTTCATATCCTCGTATTACTACTAATGCTACTACTACCACTGCCAAACATTCTTATTTAAATAAAATTAACAATAGTTTATCACATTCTTTTCTATTTCGACCACCAGTTAATTTATCTCAACAAAGTCTTCATAATCAACCACATAGACCACTTCATTCAATTCGAGTCTCAGGATTAGTTAGTGGTTATGATTTCTCTTCTCCAAGTATTTCTGAATTTGAAAATGCATTTTGTTCTGGACGTCCACAACCAATGGGTGCTTCAATATCGGATAATTTACTATCACCAAAACTGAAATCAACTAGTGAACATGGTCTATATGATTTAACTAGACGAAGAGCAACTGAACCATTTCAATTTACAGAAACTCCTACCACTACTACTAATGCTGCTGGATCATCTACCAGTTTCATCCGAAATTTACACAACATCACTTCATCAATATCAACATCTATTCAACAACAACAACAGTCGAATACAAATCCAATCGATTCAATTCGTGTAGTTCGACCACAAACTATAGCTCAATTAGCAGTTCAACGTTATCGTAATCAACAAAAACAACAGAGTCACTTCAAATTTAAACATTAATCAACTTACTGTACTGCTGTTCAATGATGATCTTCCATTGAATATTTGCTCGTTCGTTTTTTTTTAAAAAGAACTATTACATATCATATGTGTTCTAACCTAGCTTTGCGGTTATTTTTTCTTTGATATCTCTCATAGTTTTTACCAAAAAAGTATTCTGATTTATTTCTAATCAGCGAATTTTTTTTACACAAATACATAACTATTTAGAAGCTAATTGATATCAATGAATATCATATATATATTATGTATGAGATTTTTATTCAGTAGTAGTTTCGTTTATCTCTCATTTCTCCTCTCTTTTCTATTCTTTTTATTTAACTTAAAACATTTGTATAGTCACACAGGAAGAACTCTTGTTAACAATGGGAAACTTAGTAGTATAATTGTGATATTCTGCTAATTATACAAGCTTTTGTTCTAATGACAATGTATATGCATAATATTTAGTTTTCTTTCGTGTGTTTTTCTGATTGACCTTTTCATTTTATTTTAGTGTTTTGTGTCCAATGAGAAATTTTATTCTTTATCTCTCCTCTACCAAGACATTTGGATTTTTTGTATACTTCTGCTTTGAAATACGAATACATTCGGTGTATCTATCATATTTTATCTGTATAATCCGACAGTTATGTACATATAATATTGCATTGTGTGTGCGCGCGTGTGTGTAAAGTTGGCATTTGGTACATCCCCGAGTTGCTACTCAAACAATAGTGAATATGATTTGTGTCTTCGTTTCCCAATTGTTTTCCAAACTGAAAAATTCTTCCAAACAATCGTGTAGAGATATTTTTACTGACCGCTTCTTTATATACAAAATGGAAACACTGGATTGACTTTTGGGAAAAACACTCCTTGAATTGAGATGATTTTGAGTGGTTTAGAAGTGAATGAATATGTATACACGTCGTCATTATCGTCATCGTTTTCAGAAATTGAAATGTATTGATAGGATATAATTTCAAAATTTTCTTTGTCTTTTCTTATTTAGTGTGATTTTGCTTTTTCTCTGTCCTTTCTATTTTCTTAGCAGAATTTCTGTGTATTGGTTTTCTCTTTTTCCTTTTGTAACGTTACTTTGTAAAAGTTTGTTCATTACTAATGATAATAATCAGATCGTAGTTTAGGCATTGGTTCAAAATGTAGAAGTACTTGAGAGAAAATAATAGATACGTGTAAATAGGTATGTAGTTAACGTAACTCTGTTAGATGGCCGGAGGTAGTCGGTGTGAGAATCTCCTCGACCGTAGGTTATGTTCTACTTGGAACTTGTCAACAAAGTGTACATACAATCCTGATGGAAATGATTCTGGTTGTGGGATTTGGACCTGCGACACTCATTTTCATAGTCTGAGACGTTACCACTCAGTTATTCGGGTTTTAACTGAATTTCGTTAGATTGAGTTATTTACACCGACTGATCGATGAATAGCGACCAATGTCATGTTTGCTCAGTTCTTATTGCTGTTAGAATACCAATTTCAGTAGGTGAATACATATGATCAAAAAATCATACCATTTTTGGTACGCTTTCATGTGGGATGCTTCTGCCTATATTCTCGATAGCCAATTTAATAGTGTCAACCTTTTTTTAAATATCTGGATATATACAAGTATGCTGGTACAATAAATATTCTAAGTTTTGCCACATCAGATAGCTGCTAGGCTTCAGCTATTTGGTCTATACTTACCAAAACACTGATTAGCTCTCAGAATCCCCATAGATCGACAGTATGGGCCCAGTCCTGCCATCCTGAAATATATTTTTGACGAACACTATAACTTCTAACGTAATATTCTGTTTAGATTACCTGAATTCAGTTGTCATAGGGTGCATTTTTCCCTTTTACTAGATATTTTGGGCTTCACTTTAAACTACATTCTCTTTACGACTTCATGACACGCGAATAATATTTGCTAAAAATTGTGAAGAGCTTGTAACGTCATTATATCTCATACTGTCAGTTGCCATACAAGTTTTATATCAGTAGAGAACTGTATATTCAGCTTTTTTTTAGCCAGTCACTGTAACGTGCATTTACCATTTCATCGTCATTTACTTTTTAGTCAAAACAATTTCTTTGCCGAATGTGAACCATTGCTGTTTGTTGTCTATAAACCTTGACTTTATTCATTTATGCCAATAGTCACCGATCAGTCACTCTTACTAATTATGTTTTCAACATAGCGAAAAGATAAGTCAGCTTAAGTTAACTTTCATAAAGATACCGGGATTCTCTAATTGTTTTCAGTGGTTTGTAAAGAAATTTTTATAAATATCTATAATTCTGGCAGGAAACATTCGGTGAATAAAAGTTAACTATATGTAATAAGTAATTGACTCACTTTCCTTAGCCACAGATTTCATTTAGTTAAGGAATGAGACTATATGAAAGCTCGTGATTCAAAGTATTGAAAATCCAGTTCTTTATGATTAATGACATTTGTACCGGACACGTTAATAACAGGATTTCATATATTGAGAAACATTTTATCAATGGAATGAAAATGATGAAATCCTTAGTCACTGTTAATTTAGCAGAATCGAATTGGAAAGCAAATGGAAGGAAGTATAGAGTTGTGTAGATTGTTGATTCACCTTGAAATCATAGATCGATCTAAGTCAGACCACCATTGAAAACCTGGAAGCACTGGACGGCCGTTTTGTCCTAATATGGGTCTCAACCGTGCACATCCGCGATCCTACACTCCAGGAGTCGAACCCAGGATGTTAAAGCTCTAGACTGTGGTCTGACTTTGATTGGTTCATGATTCAAATGAAACAGAAGTAGTTAAAAAGTGGTATGATATTAATAACATAAAATGTGATTGTTTATTTCGTTATATATGATTTGAATAGTGATAATCATCAACTGAACAAGACATTTAACCTCAACACAATGACAATTTAAGATATAAAAAAACCCTGCGAATATCACCAGAATAATGTAATTCAACGCTTACGTAGAAATTAAGAAGCTATTTTATGAATTAGGAGCTAGTAGTGTTATCCCAAATTAAAATGAGAACTCCATATTCAAATCACCATCTGGTTCAGAGAATTCAATGCACACTAGAACCATTCACTCAAACTGTTAATCTCAATGATTTCTTAATGATATGAGATCGTCAAAAATAATGTAATTCTAATGTGTTAATTAGTCGATATGACCTGCCATTCTCATCCAAAAACCTATGAATATACAGCAAATTATTCTAGACCAATAAACCGTTAGTCTAGAACAAGTATGCTATAATCCCAACGATTCTACTTTTCAGCTATTCCCAGGAGTATTTCCCGACTTAAGTTTTTGATTATCTCCACAAAAATTAAATCCGCCAAAGCAGTTTATATAAGTACAGAATGTCCGATTGTGAGCTTTATTTATTGTCCAGGTCATGATCAGGAAATAATTGTAAAACTTTAGATAATCCAATAAGAAGATCAAGTTTATCAGAACCAGTTATATATTAGCGCAATATGTTTCAAAGAGTGTGATCACACAACCTTTTTAGATATTTATTTGTGAGAAATAAAGATCAACTGAACGATCGAAACAAAAGAAAGTAATGAGATGACGAGGACAAGCTTTATGAATCACACCACTGTGGATAATAAATCAACATATTATCTGAGTACGTGTAGTGTAAGTAAAAGTTGTTTTCTAATACTCAAGATGGGGTAGTTGAACTTAAGTATACCCATGGCTTCAAGAAATCTAAGTATTCACCCCAGATAACTTTTATGTAAAACGCCAAAGGTTGAGTTAAGATCAGTCTTATGACATATCAACAACCTATTTACCAATAGAAGGTATGTGTTTATAATTTAGTTTTATTACATCTTTTGACGTTATTCTTTTCCGCAGACATTTTGAGGCATGTTCACACACATTTGTTTGTTTCTGTGTATGTACGTCCACGCAGACATGTAAATTAGTAAAGACAATGGAATATAGTACAATCGTTTAAATGTTGTTTAAGTTTTTGGTGAAGCATGAACTTTGTTTTCTTCAAAAATAATAATAATAACCCTGCATAATATGTTTTGATTGTAACCGATGTAAGTTTTCATTTCAACACAGGGCAGTTTGATTCATGTAACGGTAGAGTGATATAAACAGGTTTTTAAGTGTCAGAAGCATAGCAGATGTCAACATACTGTTGAAAGGAGAGGCATACATTTCCTCGTGCGATTACTTTCCTACACTATTGTAAATGTTTAGATAAGTCAGTAAGGTATTGTGATTTCGCAATGTCTAGATTCAGGACTGCAATTTATCAGTCTCTTTTGGTTGTCTACATGCTTAGTGAATTTTCTCGATATTGCTATTTAGTTACAATTATTTAACATAATTGGACGTAGACAAGTAGTAGAATCCAAGACATGCGTTTCACTATGTTTGGAACCCATCAACTGAGCGTATTTCCATCCCAAATCTCTTATTCATGTTTAGATTCAAACCCTAGTAAGTTTCGTTTTCGATACCAACGTGTTATTCATTGAGTTACTGAGTTCAGTTTAATTTCTGTGAAGTTATTAATAAGACCTTGTGACTGCTCATTTTTGTGTTTCAGGATTCCAATTGATTAATCCCTGTCTCCGTATATGCATCCTGAGCAAATTGACTCGATATTAATGAGTATTTATACTTAAGTAAAGATATATTATTTGGTTATATTAGGTTGATCATGTATTTTAATTGTACTGAATCCATTTTTTAAAATAACTATGAAAAGTATATAATCATCGAGGAGATCAAACTAAATTTATGTAAGTTTAAAGAATAAACAGGTTTTCTCTGAAGGATTTCTATTCAGTTATCATCCTCTGACATTAGAAAGTTTTATCATCGAAATCAACTTTTGAGAATTTCCGGTTGATATATTCTATAAACAGTCATCTACACTTGTGGTGTATGCGACTTATGTTGCTAGATATAAGTAGTATGTAGCATCAATCGGGAGTAAGATGTATGCGTACAGAAGATTGGAAT